CCACCCCGCCATCAGACCCACCTCTTCCGCCTCGACCCTGAGCGTTGCGCCAATTGGACATCATGAGCTCAGAACTGAAGCACGAAGACGAGGAAGAGAGCACGGTCTCCACCCAGTCTGGGCGGCCAGAACACTGCTTGATCCATTGGAACTTCCATCCCACACTGACGGCACTGTAGTCGAGTCGAGTGGTACCTATCTCTATCCACTACAGACCTGGGAGTGTACAACTACGTCCGTTATCAGTTGGTACACTACATACCTCCAAGTATACATACGCCTTGTTTGAGCTCGAATACTTCGGGCCCAGTCCAGATCAACTCGCGACGACTTCTCTCTCGACCAAACCATCACACGACAGCTCCGAAAAAGATCTGAGAGAGATTCCCGATTCGTAATCTGCGTCCGTAACACTCGACGGCCACCCCACGCAATTACTAGCAACCATGAGCGCGACTCCCGCTGTTCTCAGAGCTTCAGCCTGCTCAGCCTGCAGGTTTTCGGCTTTGCGGCTCTTCGTCAGCAGCTTCGCGACTCCCAGAGCTCCTCTTCCAGTAGCTCGGACCCGCGTTCTATCCCCAACCGCCCCGTACTCAACCTTTCGACCTTCCCCTCGACTACTGGCCAGCCCGTCTAGCGAAGAACACGCAGAGCCTGCCGCTCAAGAGCAGCCGAACAAGACCGAGGATGCCCAAGCAGAGGCCAGCACAGAGACGAACAATGAAGGCGGCGCTGACGTGCCTTGGTATCTCCAAGTCGACGCTCCCACACACCCCACCCTGGTACACGAGCCGCCGCCGCTGCCAGACATTCCCGAAGGCTCTCCCAAGCTGATGGAGCCCTTGGTCAAGTTTGTATCCGATGAGCTGGGCATGGACGACCTAAAGCTTCTCGATCTACGCGAAATCGACCCGCCACCTGCTCTGGGGCCCGAAGTGCTGATGCTCTTTGGCACTGCCCGCAGTGAGCGTCACTTGCACGTCTCTGCCGACCGCCTGGTACGCTGGCTGCGCAACCGTGGAGTCACGGCCAAGGCTGATGGCTTGCTGGGAAGGAATGAGTTGAAGACCAAGCTGAGGCGCAAGGCTCGCAAGGCGAAGCTTCTCGGTACCACGGGCCTTCCGAGCGGTGCTGACGACGGCATCACCACCGGCTGGATTTGCGTCAATCTTGGCACTCTTGGATGGTCGGACATGGAAATGGAGTTCAAGGACGAGAAAGGCGTGACGAGCGGCTTTGGTGTGCCCCAAAGCGGGACCACACTTGTTGTGCAGTTGATGACGGAGACGCGGAGGGAGGAGTTGGCTTTAGAAAAGCTTTGGAGCGGTATCTTGCGGCGCAGTCTAGAGAGGCAGGACAAGATCGCAGGGAAGCTTCCTGAGGCCTCTTTCACCACTTCACCCGACACTGTATCGGAACAGAGTTTCTCCCCGTCACCCATTCGTTCAAGTGGACGGAACCGAAAGCGACCTGATCGCTTGTACTTTTCTACTTCGGCGCGACACCACGCAACGGCCGTCGACGTTTCCCAGACTGACTTGGCTACAGCAATGGCTGGATGGGAGTACAGCAACGCTAGCCCGTCTTCGATTGACAACCTTTTGGCCCAGGATACCGATTCCAAGGTTCAGCTTTTGATCCAGATGCAGGACTACCTCTTCAGCCTTCCCAGGGACCAGGCCCTTTCAGCAGTATCCCTTTGCGAAGACGGCTCCCCCAGCACCTTTATGCGCCTGTTCAACCGTGCCATCGAGAAATTGCCCTCCGCCCAGGCGTGGGAGGCCCGCCTTTGGCTCGAAAAGGCTGCACGTGCCCTTCAGCATCCCGATCACGATCTTGCCCGCCTAGGCGACCTCATCCAGGAAATGAAGCTCTCGGGAGCAGCCAATGTCTCGCGCGAAAAGTTTGTGGACCTCCTCCGGATGATATTTGCCATACCTGAGACGACTGACGCGGGCGTTCGCCAACAGGCTTCCCTTTCGATGGATGTAATCGACATGCTGTTTTCCCGCGGCGAAAAAGTGATTGAGTATGACGTGGTTGTGGCTGTGATCGAATCCCTCCTGCAGACCCGCGCCCGCCCACCCGAGGCGCGACGACTCCTCTCCCAGTTTGAGGACTTACTTGGCGAGGCCCAGATGGACTGTCCGACCGAAGACGAGATTATCAGGTTGCTCGACGTGTATGCCAACCACCGCGCCTGGAATAAGTTCTGGAACGTCTGGCGCATCTTCCCCAGGTATTGCGAGCGCAGGACCGAGCGCATGTACACCAAGGTTTACGAGCGCATTGCAGCAGAGGATCACCAGGGGATGGCCACTGACGCTCTGAGATGGTGCGTGGAGGAAATGTGGCATGAACAGCCGCCTGTGCGGGTTACGGCAGCTATGCTCAAGGCGCTTGAGGCGTGCATTCGCATTGCCGACCCGGAGGCGGAGTCATTGGCCAAGGACATCGATGACAGGATCTCAGACGCACAGTATATGGATCGCGAGTTTGTCAGACTTTGGCTAACTTTACATGGGTCCGCTGCCTGGGGCGCATAAACAGAGGATATGAATGTACGATAGCATGTGGATGTAAGCCTTATATGTATTATTAGTATGGCTCAGTTTCTCCCTGCACAACATTCTCAGCCCATCTTATCTGGCCGTCAAGGGAATTTTTGTCTTCTTTTTTACTTCAAAGTTGATATATCAGCCAGCCATCAATATCTCCTTAAATGATGAGTAATGTCAATGATGTCCCACCACCTCACTCCCATTCAAAGCCTAGCCACCTCCTTCATCGCATCCCTCAACATGGGCGCCACCTGCTTCCTACTCTTGTCCACCCGTCCTTGCGTCCAACACCTCACCCACTCGCCTTTTCCATCATCCGAATCCAACTTCCCACTACCCCACGTCTGAAGCTGCAACCCCTCTTCCCCATTCTTCTCCACGAACCGCTTCACAACTTTGACCGCCCGCTCGTTGAACGCCCAGATGAGCAGCTCTCTGGTAAACTTCCCATCCGGATTTGACACCGTCATGACCGCCGCAATGTCCAGTTCCTGCTCTTTCGCCCAGGCCCGCAACGCCTCGGTGAACTCTTTTTGGTCTCCGATTTCCGTCAAGAGGTACTCGAGTCCCCTGACTACCGTCGAGATGCCCACCGCTAGTCCGCCATCTTCCCACCGCTTGTAGTCCTTGCGCAGAATGTCGCGGTAGCTTAGCCCGGCAATCTCTTCTTTGAGGGAGGTGATGTGGTTGAAGTAGGCTGTCCTGTCATACCCTTGCCCTCCACCGGTAGCACTTGTCTTTTGCGATTGTGTCAGACGACCTTCCAAAAACTCCACAGCCCCCGTATCCCACTCCGTCGTCTTGTCCTTGCTGGTCAAATTCGTCGTGTCAATCAGTATCGGCGCCAGCGCCAGATGCGCCAACTGCGACTCCCACTCTTCCCGGCTGTTCGTAGTCCCCTCTTCACTTTCAAGTCGGCTTAGCTCCTCCCAAACAGGCTTGCAATATTCCACCACCAGGCTCATGCAACTCCCGCTCTTCTCAATCATCCTCGGCTTTACGGTCGGGGGAACAACGCCCTCGTCATCATGGTGGTCTATGCACCCTATTATCCTTTCTGGACCCCCAAACCCGCGCGCGGCGAGCGGGCCGGTGAGGCTGTTGTGGTCTACTAGTAGCCATCGAGTGTTTTCGGGGGTGACATTGTCGTCCTTGGGCAGCCCATCGAGGGTGATAAGGTCATTGGTGTGTAGACCAGCGGGCTTCAGAACGGCGGTAAGCTCGGGTCGTAGGGCGAGGTCGGCTTGCGGGAGGTTGGAGACCGGGATGTGTAGGGTCGGAGGTGTGGTGCGGTAGGTGCAGAAGTAGGCGAGGAGGATTGAGGAGCAGAGGGAGTCGAGGTCTGGGTTTGATGTAGAAAGTTGAGGTTAGTAAAGGTGACTGACTACTTATGGACAATTTTCTATTGTCAATGTCATGTAGTTCTTCTCGTTACCTGCTGATTCGTTTCCTATGACAAAGACCAAAGGGTTTGGACGCTGCGCTGGCGGTGCGAGAAGCGCCTTGCGAGCTGTTATAAGGAACTTGTTGAGGGAGACACGGGCTGCGGGCGCCATTGTTGTCTATCCCGGGCAGTCAAAGATAATACCTATGAGATAAAAGTAAGTCGTAAGACACAGCCCAACTGAAGCCAAATTTATGATACGACAACTACAATCGATGTCCCTGCAGTGCACATGCGCGCGTTACCTCTATACAGTATTCACCTAGGTACTGCAACTCCACGACGGGACGAGGGGCCGCTGCGGTTGAGGGACGGCGCGGCCTTGGCGGTGTCTCGGCCCCTCCCCGCCCGACTTTCCAGCCCCACCATCCGGGCGAGTGTTTACCGAACCTAAAGTGAACCCCAGTCATCGTCCTCCGAAAGCGGAGTCTGTTCTCGACCGGTCGGTCGTCGTATTGATAAGAACCCCGCCAGCCACGGTGAGAAGTTGGTCCCTCCACGCCTCGAGTCATGGCGCGCGGACATAGTCTGATTCCGCGAGTACCGGCCGGTTGCTTAAGTTAATTAAGTATTGTGGTGGGAGTCAAGACTCGGTTCTTGTTGGCTGGAGTTAGGTGTAATCTGAGGTTCCTCAACAGAGGAAGACGGAACGTGCATTGGTGAGCTTGCCATTGCGAATATACTGTAGATGTTGCGAATTACCTACGAGTGTGCAACGTCTTAATCAACACGCACATTGTTTCTCGTTTTGTCTCCCCTTATCACTTTACAAAGTGTCAGCTTGTGACTCTCGTAAGCTTTTTATAACTTGCACTTTACTCCTTACGGCTGCTCACTCCAGTTTCACTGTATCATTGTCAACGACCCCTCCCCTCCTCTTGGACTGCTTTAGTTGCTCTCACTCGCCAAGTTGGCATTACCACTCTCTCTTCAACATCACTTACTTTCTCAATAACCAATTCCCAACCACACCACCTACCTCATCGCGGCCACACCACCATCCCACCGCCTCATTCTACTTACCACCTCTATCACAATGTCTTCTCCCCTAACCCCACCCCCTCGCCCCATTCGCCTCGCCATCCTCGAAGCCGACACTCCAGTACCCGGCGCACACGCCCGCTACTCCGGCTACCGCGGCGTCTTCACGCACTTATTCACCCGCGCCCTCGCCTCCTCCTCCCCTTCCTCCTCCTCCTCCTCCCAGGACCAAAAGCAACAACAAGGACATCAACACCCCTTATCCTCCTACCTAACCATCTCCGCCCACGACGTCGTCAACAACCTATCCGACTACCCCTCCCTCTCCGACATCGACGCAATCCTCATCACGGGTTCCAAACACAGCGCCTATGAGAATGACCCATGGATTGTGAAATTGACCGAGTTCGTCAAAAAGGTTCTTACTGAGGAGGGTGACGGTGACTCGGACGGAAGCAAACAAGGGAAAAAGATCAAAGTCATCGGTGTCTGTTTCGGACACCAGATTATCGGGCGAGCGCTGGGGCAGGTGGTGGAGAGGAATGAGAAAGGGTGGGAGGTTAGTGTGACGCCGGTTGGGTTGACGGATGTTGGGAGGCGCTTGTTTGAGGGGAGGGAGGAGTTGGTAGGTTTCAGTTCCCCTTCCTTTTTCCTTTTTCTTGAGTTTGGGTATCCCTATGGATAAAATCAAAAAAATAAGAAAGAAAAAAAGGGGTGAGCCGTACTAACTAACGAAATTGATACAGAAAATCCAACAAATGCATCGTGATCACGTCGTGGGCGTTCCAGACGGAGCGCAACTCCTTGCTTCTACCGATGTGTGCGAGAACCAGGGGTTCATTATTCCGGGGAGGGTGTTGACGGTGCAGGGCCACCCGGAGTTTACCACGGATATCATGGAGGAGTTGTTGGAATTGCGAAAGGCGACTGGCCTTTTCAACGAGGAGCTATTTGGAAGTGGTATGGATAGGAACAAGGTAGATGATGGCGTGTTTATAGCCCAGGCCTTATACAAGTTTCTGCTGCAGGATTGAGTGAGGGGGCTGATGGATAGACTATTGGATTGGATTGGGTCCAGAATTTGTCTAACATCGCAAGGCACGGGCTTGTGTCAAACACAGTAAACGAGGAATGAACAAATGATGTCGTTATGTTCGACTTTGCAGTCTTCTAGAGTATATTCTGTGTTTGGTGGGTATATACAGTGTGCTAGGCGCTACGCAAAACCAGCCATGCTAAACATCTGCTTCATTTTTTAGATCAATGAACCCACCCACCTTTCTTCGCCTTACCTGTCCCTCCGTCCAGCCCTCTCTGTGCTGTGTTTGATACAAAGGAGAAAAAGAAAAACAAAATCAAAGAGCAACTGGAACTTGAGAACGCCACAACACCAATCGAATATGCTTTCGATCCCATGTGTCAAGGCTGACAATCAAACCGGAAAATGACCAAGGTCCAAAAATACGCAAGCCAACCCAGGGGTATAATTTGTTAGCTCCCTTTACAACGACAACAAAACAGAAAACCAAAAAACGCCAGGGCTTGAGTGAGGATAACAAAAGAGATGATACAAAAAAAAAAAAAAAAAGACGAAGAAGAAAAAAACTAAAAGCAATAGTGACCACATGTGGCTGTATCCAAAAGTAAAGAAAAAGAAGAAAGGATAAAAAGGTGAAGAAGATTAGCAGGGTGGTAATCAACCGAGGCTCGCGTCGATCAGTCTCCATTCAACCGGTAAAGCTGAGCCCAAAAATCATCATTCGCATCGTCGCGTAGTTCTTCATCGTCATCGATCATCCCATCGAGTAAATCGGCTGTATCCCACCACTCAACCGCTCCAGTCTTCCTCGTCGCAGCACCCCTAGCGCCACCAGCACCAGCTTCAACATCAGCACCCTCTTGAGTGACCTCGTGAACAGCGCGTCGGGCTCTCTCGTCCGCGATTTCCTGCTCCCGTCTTTTCCTCGCAAGCTGACTGTCATGGAACATTTCCTCTCTGGTCCTGCCCGCGAACCCGACATCTCTCCAGCTGCCACTGAACCGCATCCGTGCCCGTAGCGCAGTCCAAAAGTCCCCATGGGCATGTTTCCAGGGTTGCTCTCTCAGAGTAAAGAGCATGCAGTCGACCGTGCCCTGGATACCGAGGCTGACCATGCTCACAAACAATATCCACTGCGGGTCATTCGGAGTAATTTTGTCGTCGTAGCCTACATGGGAGAGGAAGGGAAATATCCAGACAATTATGTAGACGAGCGGGTAAGCAAACAGCGCATAGAGCTGACGGCGTGCCCTCTCGCGGTTGCGAGTAACGCCCGAGTCGCCACCAATTGAATCGGGCGATATCGTCATCGAGGAAGGTCGAGTGGTGGGAGGGGTGTTGGACGTTCGCGGAGGTCCCTTTCGAAGCATTGTGAGGATGTGGGTTAGGGTGAGATCGATGTGATATGTGCCTTGGTTCACAGTGTTGGTGGAGCTTGGCGGCAAGTCATGGCTGGCGTGGTTTCCATGCACTGTTGAGCATTCCGAAGGCACTGGCCTATGCCAATAGGAGCGTGGGCTGGAAGATGAGTTGTCAGAGCGGCTGGCCCTGGGTGGTCTCTCGGGAGAATGGACCGGGAGCGGTGGCGAGGGAAGTGGTTGCGACATAGAGTCATCCCAATCCTCCACCATCAAGCGTCCATTTTCCCAGGAGGATCGAGGTGGGACAAATCCAGGCCAATTCCAGTTCATCTTCGCTGGCCCGTGCTTTAATGACCGTCGTCCCTTGCTAACCGGCTGCTCTCCAGCTTCGTCCACATGCAATTCGAACTGAAGCGTGCTGATCGACGACAAAGACCTGTTGCGGTCCTTGATGGCAACATTCTGGTCGGCTGCAGATCCTCTTCGAGAGTTTGGTAGCGACGCGAGTAGTCCGTGTGATATCAGTCGAGGGGTAGGAGGCACATCATCTGTGTCCCGGGAGTGCGGGTGGTTCATATTTCCCGAGCTTCTCCTCCCATAGTCCTCCAATCTGCTGCGAACGTAAAAGTAGACAAACAGATAGATGGCCAGAATGCTGCAACAAATGATGTAGCGAGGAACCCAACTGAGGGCCCGTCGTGCCCAACTCTTGTCTGTACGAAGGTAGCAATAATGGCCAGCCTCCTGGTAGCCCGTGCCGTCCACAAAAGCCAAGCTTGCAAATAGCACGGGAAAGAAGCAGTAAGCTCCGTATGCCCAGTATCGGTAGCGATAGAGGCCGGTCCGCAGGCGCAAGATGGTCATCAGGAGATGGATGGCGATGAGCAGAACTGCGATGTCAGATGCCTCGATGCCTAGCGCGAGACCGAACCCGGCAATTTGGCAAAGGGCAGAGTTGGAGCGGAGAGGACCTCGGAGTAGGTGCACAATCGAGGGAATGACAAACCACACCGACTTGATCAAGTCACTCTGAATAAGCAACACTATCAGTCTGCGCGCATGGCGGTTAGTACTCGATCAGTTCATGAAACAGAAGTAGGTTGCTTACTCATGCCGAAACGTCTTCCTCATTTTCACGAACCAATAAAAGGTCGACAGAGTCAGGATGAGACTGAGTGTAGCGAAGGTAAGTGATACAACCGCGAGGTCGTTTGTCAATCCGCGGTTCTGTTCTGGTTCCCCAAATCCATCCCGAATTTCAGCTCCGAGATCTCCGTGGTGGGTTCGCACCGTCGGGCTATTGAAGGCCGACTCCAAAATTGTACTGATGATAGCCATACCGTATGACTTGAAACTCTACTGGTATAGATCGGTAATGGGATATCGGCGGCGGCCAGCAAGGGCGACGTCGTGTCTGTTGTTGTCTGGCCGACTTTGAGTCTAGCCTACGTTCACCAAGGCAGTCCATCGGTCCTCCGGTGCATCATGTAGAGGCCTGGGTTGGTGGAAGTCGGTAGAGTCGAAACCGACTCAAAGAATACGTCGGCGCAACGGTGTGTATCAGTCGGATGTGGAAGGTAAGAAGCCGGCGGGAGGTTGAAGCTGGATAGACAAGGAAAGAAGTCCGGAAGGAGGAAGCCGGAGAGGTGAGTCCAAGTGAGGTATGAGATGCAAGCACGCGCACCGCTCTTTTGTCTCTGTTGGCAAGAAAGAGCAAACAACACCCGGCGTTCTGAACCGTGTCTGACCGTCCTTTTCCACGCACACGTAATGATCGATCTGGTGCCCAATCCTTCCCTGTTTCGAATTAGAGTCCCCGAGTCGATTGTTTGCCGCCGTTGGGAGTCGATGTAGGGTGTTAGTGTAAGTGTTCCGTACTGAAGCCCGATGATGGATGACTTGTAATCCGACCGAAGGTGAGTATGGCCAGACCGGTTGAACGGAGGGATAAAAGGATGGATGAGTAGTAGCATAGGAAGGCGGAAGAGAAACGAGTGAAAATAGAACAGGTCCAATGATGTAAACGGAGTACCAAAGGGGTACGATGGGCGAGCTAACGTTGTCACCTTTCCAGGATCGTGGTTACCCCATGAATGAATACGTATGATGAGCAGATTCGGAAGGCGAGAGCCGGCAGGAGAGCATGGAGGTTGAACAAGGTAATATTAGCGGACGACTAATCAATGGGCAAGGCAGAGAAAGCCCCTTCCTGGTCCGGTTTGAGGTTCGAGCGAGGGTACAGACCCGTGACCGACTGAGAGGCAGGCAGAGGAGAGGACCATGAGAAATGGGGAGGCAAACTACTTGTGGAATATCCAGGGCTACTGTAGCTTGCTTTTTGCTTGCTAGGGAAAACGGAGAATCCAACCCCGGGACGGTGAGCCGTGGGAGCATCCTCGTGGGACTTTTTTAGGCGACGGGCCCTGCAATGCTTGCTTGGCTTGTTAGAGCGCCAGGGGTAAAGTGAGTGTGTGGAAGTAACTCCCGTTCGCTTGGGTCGTCCCGGTCCACATGGGACGAAAAGTGATCAACATCACCACTCGAGACAAGACCTGACAATGTGACACGGCTCTGGCGGCCAGGCTTTCAGGGCCGTCAGAGGGCCTTGTCCATTAATGTCCAGCACTGGCCGGGCCGTCGGTTTGACTGGCTGAACCCCCCAAGCGAATGAAAGACAGTGGGAACTCGGGAAAGCAATGTTCATGTCGAGAGAGGAAACCCATTGGGCTGCTAGAGTACCTAGTACTGCTGTAGCCAGCTAGCTACAGGTGACGGGGCCCAACTAAGGTAGGTAGGTCCATATGAAAGTGTGAAGTTCTTCCGTTATCTCGGTCATTGTCCAAACAGCGTACCTGGATTTTTGGCGTGCCATGACTGTCTTGAAAGAAAAAGCAAGAAGAAGATTGGCGAGGAGGCGCCGACGATGTGCCAAGACGGGGCAACAGCAACGGCATGCTTTGCTGTTTCTCTCTTTGCAAGGCAGTGTTGCTTTTTGCGGAGTGACAGAGGGTCGACAATGCCCGGATACTTATCAACCGCGTGGTTTGCACACGGCAATCGCACAATACATACCTAGAGGTAGAGGTAGGTAGCTAAAACCGCTTGAGCTGTGAACACGGTCCCTTCCCGAGGGCAAACAAGACGAGAAGGAATGAGATGGCGTGGGAGAAGGGGACGTCAGGGCAACGAACACACTTGCATCATAGGTAGGTAGGGTAGCCAGTCAGTCGATTCTCCTCAGATCACGCACACACATGCCGCCTTGGTCATCGTCCACCCAAATGCCAGAATGAAAGACAGCCGACATCCAACACCAGATTCGATCCAAGGCAACGACAATGATGGGCAACCACTCGGGCACTCCACCATCCGGTCGAACAAGTCACAAAATGTGGTCCTCGTTGACTGGCCAGTGCGGCGCCCACGAAAAGGAAAATTAAGCGATGAGGGGCCGTGGAGGGGCCGTAGAAGAAGCGCGTGTTGGGGCGGTATGAGGTGATGACAGTGATGACAAAAGAGAAACGACTCGACGGCATTCAATGCGCTGAAATCGCCTTTTGGCTTTTTTGGGTTTTGCTTCTTGGGGCCGCCCTCCCGTCCCGCTGCTGCTCCCTCCACTCGTTTTCGGCCAAGGGAACGACGCCCAGGATCAGGTATACGAGGGAGTTTCTTCGAATTGCTTGATTGCTGGTGATTGTCCATTTGGAATGCATCTCTGTACACTACATACAGTCGACACCGTGTCGGAAATGCGGTGGGAGGAGCATCTGGTGTAGTGCTGTTCTAAATGGACAGGACGGAGTTGTTGAGAGTGGAATGAATTTAGCAGCTGGGCCAGGAGGGGACTCGGATGGATGCGAAATCTGAAGAGTGTCTCATGGCCCGTGCCCGGCTATCAGATTTAGCAGCAAACTGCATACATTGTAGATAAATAGCGGAAAGCACATCCGACTCTGGCCCCACCCCACGCAAAATCCATTGGATGCTTCAGCTTCACTGCAGCTTCAGTTAAGTTGCCCTGTGTTGAAAGCGATGCCCAAGGTACCAACGGGCGGGCACTGTGCCACTGTAGAGTACCTCTAGTGTAGGAAAAACATTTTATAACGGCCAAAGACTCCGAACAGTCGAAAGCGACAACGACACATCATTCCCCGGCACTTGCAACTTCATTGTCCCACCCCAGTCCCTGGCCCAGAACTGCACTGCATCTCCTTCGTCATCATCCTGCAGAGCCATGCTGCCTTGGCTGGGCAATCAAGATGAGCCTTGGATTATGAAGGTCCGGGTGCGAGTACCGAAGCATCGATGATTTGCCTAGTACTCTGCTCGCTGCCCTGATTCTGATTGAGATGCCGAGTTCATGAAAGTGACCATGTATTACACTGCTGCGCATTGTCGGCGCGGAACGCCTGATCCGGCACACAAGACTACTAGTCACACATTGAATTCAATGAGTGAGTGTGCCGCAAAATGCGCAGCTCGTCAACGATTTTCAAAACAAGAACTTCAAGCCACCAGATGTGAGGCTGTCTCTTGATTGGCCTTGATCATGGGACGAGCCGTCTACTTGGTGGTCTCACCCGGAGCACTTTTGACCAACCAGGACATCCCTCTGATCAACTCGCCAGACAGGGGATCATCTCGACTCGACATGGGAGTCCTCCACCGTGGCTGAGGGCTCCTTGAGATGCCGTCCATGTAAAGTCTTCGCCTCTGTCCGAAACAGTAGAAATATCTTACCCTCCCCCTTTATCACCGAGAGTTCAGCGACCAAAGACCGAGCAAGACGCACGATGCCTCACTGCTGCCACATGTCCCCGCCGCCAGCCATCGCAGTCCAGGTACCTCACCATATCCACATCCAGTCCGCTCCGCGACATCTTTCGCTCGCTTCAAAACGCTCGCAACACTGGGCACTTGAAAAGCATGGTGAACGATGCTGAGATCGGGTATGCACGGCACGGTGGTATGAAGGGATCTCAAGATAAAGAGGCAAAGTCATCAGTGGGCATTAGACATTGAAACAAGTGGTATGTTCAGCGGGCGAGTAAAAGGGTTTAAGCAACTCGCCATCGTCCCTCGATTGTGTCAGGATTCAGCGACGGTTACAGATCTCGTCAGAGTCAGAAGTCCGGGGACGCAGGACAAAACTACCGTTCTTGGGCTTGGTGTTGCTGATCGATAGCGCGGATCTGTCGTTAATCTCGCGCGCAAATCACAGGCTATGCTCATCTCACTTGGACCGACGTGGGCGGACTTTTTGCCGGTTACTCTTTTTAGAAATCGTCAAGGTTCTCTTTGGCGGGAAATTTGCTCCTTGGCTAACTCTTGATGCCTCAGAGAAAGTCGGAGACGTCTCCGGTGGATACGGTTTTTTTGAGGAAACCCCGCTGATTGCTTCGCAACTAGCCCTCTCTCGCCCATAGCTCGCTCCATCTGGCGGGTTTGCGGTCTGTCAGTTTCGTCTATTGAAGGTGAGGCGAAAGAAAAGGCAGAAAGAGCGGAAAGGCAGACAAAAGATACACATACGGCTAGGCCATGGATCCAAAAAGCGGACGGAATCCTTCCCCGGCCGAAGCGAACCAGGCAACTGGAAAATGAGCGGACTGAAGTCCAGCGCGCCGAGCCAACACATTCGACTTTTTATGCAACACTGATGATTACATATTCATTTGTGTTGTCCCAGAAGGGTAGAAATAAACACATCACCAGCCACCACAGCTGCGGAAGTGACAGCTCGTCCGGCCAGCCATTCCGGCCCTCTCAGCCAAAGGGCCCCCTGCCTCCCAAGAGGGCCAAGACTGACATCTAGATATCCAACCGCGAGATTAAAGCCAACAACGCGAGAGAATAAGCAAAATCCCACGAGATATCTGAATCATTGGGGGTTCTCTCCAACAATCAGTGAGTGGCGCTGTCTCACCTTCTGCCTTTTCCCCTCCCCTTCCTCCCGCGCAAAATATCCCGACACTTTGCAATCCATCCATCAACGAACCGATTAGATGAGAAGCTCAAGGGTATGTCAAGGGGTGAAAACGGATATCGAGTGAAAGTGAGACTTGGACCTTCCCATCTTGACTTGGGCTAAATGGTCGGGCACGCAGCGCCAGCGGTTCCGTCCTTCAGTTCGCTCTCTCCGTCTCCCGACACTCTGGTCAAGCTCGTCCATCTCTTACTGGGGCAGGCTGGGTTGGCACGGACAAGCAAGGAGTTGCTTGGAGGAGTGCTAAGGACAGACGGGGATAGCGGGTACCGCATGCCGGGAATTGCAGAGTGGGGCCCGCCTCTCCTCAAATGATGTCCGCGGCATGGTTCCGTCCACTCACGTTCCGTCCTTTTCCTCATGTCTTCGGGTACGGAAAACGGTTCATCTGAAGATCCCCGCCCGCCCGCGACTCTCTTCACCCCCCCCTTCCCCCTTCGAATCCCGGCGGTCAACGAGTAGCTTTTGTTTTTCCTCAAGATAACACACACGACAGAGGGTATGTGATGGATCCAGGTGACTAGACTACTACACTAGGCAGGTACACTACACTACTATCGAGGTAGGTATCAATCATCTCACCTGGGAAGAAAGCATCACAAAGACGGTCAACCGCCAAACCCTTCTCTCCAGGCCCTTGCCCGACAGTCTCAAGGGGGGTGGGGGGCCAGGTCATCCCAGTCCAGGAGTTTTCGTACGGCCCAAAGGGATCCAGGGCGTGTGGCCCTCTCCCCTCGTTTCGTCGTCATTCTTGAGTCCTTGCACAGAGGAAAATCACTGAAGAGAATACCTACGCCCCTACGGCTGTTCCTCGCCAACGGAATTAATACATGCAGAACGGTGGAGTTACCACGCAGTAATCGGAAGCACTTCCGCCCTTTGTTCGTCGTCTTCGTATGTACATACCTGCGATACAGTACGAAATAATTGCCGAGATTGTCAAAATGCAACGGGTAGTTTCTCGTGGAGCGAGCAAGTGATCGTACAGATTGAAGGGGTAGGTAATCCTTTTTTTTTCCTGTTTTTTTTCTTCTTCTCTTTATGTGAAATGGGGGAGGGGATGGAAAGGGAAGAAGGGGGGTTCATGGGGGGTTCGGCTACCGTAACCAGTTGGCCCTGACGCCCTGACCGGGTTCCTGTATGAACAATGACGAGCAGGACAGCCATATGACGCCCAAAACCTTGGACGAGAACCTTGGATGAACCCTTCAGAGTTCAACGGTTCCCGTTTCCCGTTCCCCCGTTCCCCGTCCGCGCCGGCTACGATACCCATTGTCTTGTCCTCCTGAATGCAGGGAATGCCTTGATTTGATGAAAGCCATCATGGGTACCCAGTTGGATGGCAGAACGACATTAGGCATTTTCCAACGTTCAACGTCCAACGGTTTTCGATCAACCATTTTCGATTGTGGCCGATAATGACTTCTCAAGAAGAGATTGATGATGGGAAGAGCCAGATTAACCACGTGATGTTATATGAGTTCTCCGGTTTGTCCTCCTTATACGATGACCATTGCTCAAGGTAAATATCTTGTTCATTATTCAGCAAAATTCATGACGCTGGTCTGCTACAGTGAGTGGACAAAGAAAGCACAAGTTAGGTAATCTCCAACGGACGCTCTTTATCCACAGCTTGGATAACGAGCTAGTCAGCGAAGGCAGGCTGACAATATGAAGTAATCATGATACACCCCCCATATTCTATACCCATTCGGAAAAAACGATGCTCTACGTACCATAAGGGACTACTCTGGGACAGCGATATTTCTTCCTGGTGGAGGATTTACATCCTTCTCCAGCAAACTGAATAGCCATTGCTGAATGAGTTACGAAGTGACGTATTGAGTCCTGGAGGGCAGCATGTCAATGAACATGAGAATTTACCTGCCATGCACATTCAACAGTGCCTTGGTGTACTTGAATCCCCTTATATAGGTAGCTCGTCACGACCACTGTGTGATTCTAGCGATAAGGGATAGGTAAATGACCTACTGCATATAATGTCTTTCGTCCGAATTGTTATTATCAGTATCATAGCCTCATGCTCAAGGACAGGAAACAGAAATAGGGAAAACCAACCATAAACAAATCGGTCACATTGTTAGACGAGTACCAAACGGGAAGACTCTACTATGTTACAACCAGCGTAAACACGTTGCACTTTAACTGTTTCTATCTCCAACAACGTGTAGCTTGAGAGACATGCATTTCAAAATCATTGCTTGTTTAAACAACACATTACTAGCAAAAATGTTGGATACGAGCTTTGTCTATTTAGTACGGCGGCTCTCAGAAACTGGTCAAGAAATCTTTGAGCAGGACGGTCACCAAAAACTTCTTAAAGAGACCACAAGTCATGTTCTCTACCACGAAATCCATACCAATGAGTGACTGGTAAATATGAGCGTTACAAAATGCATACAACTGACTAATGTCTTGCGTTTTCAAGTACGAATAACAATGTTCAACAAGAATCAAACAAGCCACCAAAGGAGAATAACAAGATACCAAATTTGTTCCCGCTCATTGTCATGCTAGCGAAAAGACACCCAAAAGCAAGAACAACAATAAACACCTTTACATGCCATTTTCACCATTTTCCATCTCGAAGCCCAACCAAACGCCACCCGTATCCGTCAGTTCCCTCCACGCCTTCAAGCAAACCCCAAGATCATTTGTCTCTTGCAAGCTCAACTGTTGACCACCATCTCTCATCCGTACCCACATCACGTTTTGGCGAGCCTACGCCAGGAGGTTGAGATACGGTTCCGGCCAGCGTCCCCATATCAGCGGGTGGTTGCCCAGCCGACCGCTAACCGGCGACAGGAACTTGACCCGCCTGCGCTCCTGGTCCACGTCGGCGATGACGATGAAGCCCAGGACCGAGGAAAATCGGATGGCCTGCGGCGAGTCGGTCACGGAAGCGATCATGACTGCTAGCGTCCAGTGGGCCATTTCAGGGGTGATTTCGACTCGCTCGAGGACTGGGGCGCCTTCATAGGGTTCTGTTTTGGTAAAGACAGGCGTTAGCTTAGGTGCCAGGTATGGTAAGGTAGTTTCAGTGCAGCGAGAGAGAGAGAGAGAGAAAAAAAAAAAAAAAAAAACTCACCGTCAGGCGCCTTGAAAACGACTAGCTCATCGAAACTGGCAGACTGTGTAAAGGGGCTCAAGCGCGCCTTGATGCCACCAAAGAAGTATTCCTTAATCGCCGTCTCTGTAGACTTCTGCCTCCACGCCTTGTCAATCTGTACAGCACCATCCGACTTGTCTAACCCGAGGACAGTAATCGGCTCTTCAAAGCTCGTCTTCTCGCTTGCAAACCGCTGCCCAAGTTCTGTCTTTAGCTGTTCAGAGCCGAGCACCACAACGAAGTTTGCTATACTTGCATCGTTAGCTTTCGTCACTCTTTATGAGGTCTTTCTGGAGGCCAATCAAATATAAACTCACCATCAAACTGCCTAACCGCCCACCCCAACAGCTTCTGCCCCTCTTTGTCCCCCGCCTCCACCGGCGCCGTATCAATCAACAACCCCGCCACCCTCACATCCCGATTCCTCTCAAACTTGCGCCTGACCAACACCGCCAGCCGCTCCGTCATCTGCCTCCACATGTCCAGGTCGTCCTCCATCTTCTCGTGTCCAAAGTAAAATGTGAGCGGGTTCTTGACCGGCACCGCGCTGGGACCGCTGATCGGCGTGTTCGTCACGCCAAACCCACCCGCCGGATCCTCCACGTCCATCAACGTGCCGAACACGGCCGCACCCAGCGTTCCGGGTAGACACAGCAGCCCGTCGGTCGGGTTCAGGTTGGCTACCATCGGCTGAGAGCCCATGCGCGTGGCGAGAGCAGCGAGGAGCTTCGCCAGCGAGGTCTTGCCGACGCCGGGTGGACCACAGATCAGCACTCTTGGCCCGGGCTTCGGCCTCGCTACTCCTGGTCCTGCTCCTCTCCCTTGTTGCTGCTGCTGGTGGTATGTAGGATGTTGTTGTTGTGCCTGAGCGGCCGCGGCACGCTCGTGGTCTTGTAGGCCAAAGTGAAGGTTGAGATAGCTAAGCATGGGCGACTGTTCCGGCGGGTGTTCAACCACGCGGTCCTCGAGGGGGTAGCCGCCCGTGTTGTTGATCTCGAGAGTGCATCCTTGATCGGTGAAGAGCTTTGATTTGGTGCCGGGGAGGAATGTGTAGACGCAGTTGGGCGCGAGCTCGGTGCCATCGCGCTCAGCAGTGCCGGCAGCGAGGCGGACAGTGACTCCGGCGGCGGAGGAGTTCGATGAGAAGGTGCTGTGCTGGTGGGGGATGGAGAAGCGCCATTCGCCGAACGGTCGGAGGTTGATAGTTCGCTGGGTGGTTGTGGGAGCCTGGATTTACCGTAAACGGACAAATATCAGGCGATGGTTAGCTGGTTGTGATCTCGGGTCACGAGTGTGACTATGGATAATAATGGCTTGTGAGGGGATGGTGATGACGTTGGATACACGTGCGCGCCTGGGGTTATACGAAGCATGTCCGCGCGAGAGCTTGGGTTCGTTTACCTGTGGGGCTATCTGACCGAGGCCTGGAATTGACATTGCGGGCTGTGTTCAGCGCGTGAACGAGGTTGTTCACAGGCTGTTGGATATGTACTTGTAATTCGTTCTCCTTCTTGTAAAGTTCTGTTTGCGTTTGCGCCGATGGGGGTGAAAGTTGTAAAGTCCAGCCGTTGGCATGCAGGGATTATTGTGGCATGGATGCAATGGAAGTGGAAGGCGGCCCCGGGAGCTGATGCTCACTGCAGCAAGGCCGGGGCTGTTGAAGCTGAGTTTAGCGGCTGCGGGCAGTGGGGCTCAAACGCTGTGTAAGTACCCTGAAGGTACTAACGAAGCGTGTCAAGGGCATTCGTTGTATTTGGTTTCCGCTTCCACTTTTCGTCCCGGTTCGAGTGTTTTGGAAATCGAATTAAAAGCAGCCCACTTTAGAGTTTCCTCTAAACGGCAGCTGCTGCTGACGGAGTTTGTCAATTTTCTGAAGCATGTCTACCTTGATTGCAAATTTCAAAGAACAAAGTTGAAACAGTAAAATTTGGCACGTGGTTCGAGCACAAGATGTGAATTATTGTCACAGACCACAACATCCAGATACTACAGTCATGTTAGAGATGCGACAAGATCATCGGATAATAGCGTACAATAAAAATAAGGGGTATATTGCGTGAAAAGAATTGCCGTCCCCCTAATAGCCCGTGTGGCTGGTTCCCCTTCTTTCAATGATGTTCGTAACGGACGTCAAAAACCTCTCCTCTACCTACCTATGCATATATATTCGTATATGCCCTCTTCCCTCTTCGTCTCTTTCCCTTCCTCTAACCTGCCCGTGACATGCTCTAACCGTAGTCTCGCAAGGTAGCCCCAATTGCAATCCCAAACGCCTTGAAATGCCGCCCTAACTCCACGATTGCTTTCGGAAACCCGCCCTTCAATCATCTGCCAGCTGTTCAAAGATCTTGATCAAACTCCGAACGCCAAACAGAGCGTTCTCGTCTGGGCCTTGCCCGGGTGTCCACTCGGCATGTGCAAAGTCAATGAGTTTGAGGGAGTAGATGCGAGGAATATCGCCGTTCGAGGAACCCGACATGCTGTCTGCGTCGGAATCCGCAGTGAGTTGGATGTCTTGGGAAGCAGGCGCCTGAGCCAGGTTCGCCAGTATCATGTTTTGGCCGATGGCTGCGTTGATTGGAAACACCATCTGCCCCTCGTCATCCATCTCGATGCCACTATCAACGCGAGATGCAGATAGACCTGGCGTGTACGGTCCATCATCCTTCTTGTATTGCTCACCCGACATGTCAGCTCTGGTCCGGTCAAGGGCAGCTCTCAACGCGTTGCCGTCTCCTTCGAATGTGAACAGCAAGCTCGCCGAGTACATTCTGCTCTCCTCCGAGGCCAACACCTCCTCGATGCGCCTTAGGTCATTGAGGAAAAGACCCGCAATGATCTTGCCGATTTCCTCATCTATCCCGGCCTGAGGATTGAAAATGAACTTGCGCATTGCCTCCACAACATTGTCCGCGTTGACCTCTAACCGGCCGTAATGCTTGTCGTAGACCTTATAACCCTGCTCGTCCAGCTCATTGGGGTTGGTGGATCCCTTGTAAACGCGCATGCCGGCGATGCGAAACCCATGCGAGCCATTGGTGGTTTCCTTGGTGATTATATCAAATCGCTCTTGCTTCGCCTTGGGCGCATCATCTGCCCACAGCCGCTTGCCGAGTTTAGCGTCCATAATGTTAGGACGCGTGTAACCGTATGCTGAATTCTCCAGTACCACCGACTTATTAGTCTCGATCTTTCTGGACTTGGCCTTTTCCGTCCACTGTCTGTCAGTGCTCGGCGCGGGGGACTGGGCGGCAGCCTCAGCAGCCTGTTCCTTGCTAAACTTGATGATCTCTTCTTTTGTTTCCTTGGAAAGTATTTCGGAAACAGCGGGGAGCTGTTCATCCAAGTCCCTAACGCTTGTCGAGTCGTTCAGTTCTAGCTCGCCCATAAAAACGGGCATCAAGTCGGCGAACGCCTGGTGGCTCTCATTGGCCGTCTTGTAAAACTGAAGCTCCTGATCGGTGCAGGGCTTGATGAAGAGTTCGCCTTGAGAATCGCACATTGTACCGTCACTGCCCGAAAGGTTAGAGCCCAAAAAGCGGAGGCGGGTGAGTCCAAAGGCAGAAAAGTAACATACTGGCCGGCAACCGCAAGATTGTAGGGCTTGAGCTCATGGTGCTTGGGTATCGGTGTTGAGCCCATCATGTTTGCGGTTTGTATAGAAACGTTGTACGGAGATATTGCGTGACGTGTCCTCGCGGTTTGGATGGACCTGGTGAACGAACTCTTTGGTGGCAGTTCAGGTAAGAAGCGTCGTTACTAGCTGGCAACGGAGGGGCACGAATGCGACTTTTGGGCGGATCGTGACTAGCGCTCGCAGTTTCATGGGCTAAGGGTTGCCAGATTGTCGAGTATTCTTCGAAGTGATACACGTTTTAGGCAGCGGGCGCTCGATTGTAAAGTTGCATAGCAGTTTGACATTCGGTGAAGGAAGGGCCAAGGTCAAGGGCTCGGGGCCTGGGGCTTTTGTATTCCGGAAAGCAGGAAAGGTGGAAAAGGGGAGGGGGGGGACGGGACAAACAAATTTGGAAGACGATGTGTTGGAGGCGGAGTGGTACCCGTCACGCATCACCACATGCCGTCCCACGGTCGTCGACGAGGTTACCTCTAGGTACCTGCTGATACAAGTGTTCAGCTGCCAATGTGTAGCTGCAGTGCGTGGATATCAATGTCAAAGGGGGAAGGAGCCCCAGAGGGAGCTTCATCACCAGGGGGGCGACGCGCACTCCCCGCGCCAGTGTTCCATTCCAGGCAAGCCAGGTTCCTTTGTGAGTCGGGTCCCCGTCCCTCACAGCGGTTCGCGACAGCCAGGCACGGACACTGCAACAGGGCACCAGACGGGATTTGCGGGAGGGCACGAGCGCTGGAAAATGCAGCGAGCGCGCTAGGTTCGTTGCTGAGCAGATGGGGCGAGGGGCTGTTGCCAATCAGATGTGTTCGTAGCCCTCCCCACCGGCCCTTCCAGGAGACCAAAGACCCACTATTGGACCCTTTCCAGCCTCGACGGCGGCAGGACAGACCGGGGGATTATCCGCGAGAGGGTGAGCTGCGCCTTCATGGCGTTACAAGCCCGTAGAAATCGAAGGCATCTGGATGGACTTCTACCATTCCGCTTCCACATTCTCAACATTTCACGATATTAAGAGGGTGGCGGAAGAGCCTCCCTCAAGTTCGAACACACAGCCACGTTTTTTTGCGACCTCGCCATGCATTCTGCCTTGTCATCTCGTCCATTCAGACACGCTGCTCTCAAATGCGAGTCTTAGTCTGATTCCTTTGCCCGCCGTATCCGAACCGAAGTCGGGCGCCGCATATCGCGAAGAGCGCGAATCAAAAGGGCTCTTTGATGACTCTCATTCATATGATCATCAATGAACAATTGTCAGCCATCTATACGCGGGTTTTGTTTGGTACAGCCCAACCGGTAGTCGGTGGATGAGCAAGATGGTTAGTGTGACACGGGAAACCTGTGCGAGATGTCTCAGACGGTCGTAGTCGAAGGGCAAAATGATCAGGTCAAAGCCGGCTTACTGATGTGGAAGTACGACAATGAGCCTCTCACATGGACAACTGTGGGTTGGCAGACCTCTCACCAACTGCCAACTGAAAATGTCTCGCACACACGTCGACGGCTCATTGACTGCTTTATTGCACATTCACAGCCAGCGCTTAGCTAGGGAAATCTAATTGTTGGATCACAATATCGTATATCCAACACCTGGCACAGAGCAGATCGAGATTTGGGGTCCTGATACAAACTCAGTTGAAGCTGAGAACTTTGGGCTACACAGTAGGTACTCGCTCCCAGAGCTGGAACGACACCCTCAATTCCCAACCGCGTCATTGTTCACCTCAGTGGACATCCGCTTCTCATTCTGCTCTGTCAAATATCCCAAAGAGGCAGCGCCCATAATTCATTTCTATCGAAATGTTTGTTCTATCGGCGCTTGTTGCAGACGCAAGTGTCCAGCCCCAACCTCAAGCAAAGCAGCAATACCCGGACCTTAGGAGGCGCCGATAGTGCGGAGTCAAGGGAGGCATCCACGGGAGGCTTGGCGGCGGGTAAAGGGTATCTGCGAGGAGGTACATACCGGTACTGCCACCACATGCGAGTGTAGATTTCCACTTGGTCGCTCAGGCGTAGCCAATGTGTTGGGGGATCTGTCGCCCCGTCTGCTCTTTGTCTCTTCGTCGCGATTTTGAAATGGAACACGAGAAAGATCTAAGGCGCAACCTCCATGGCATTCCAGATGAGAGCTTAGACCGGGAGGTAGATTGCAGCGTTTGCAGTCTGCAGCTCTTTAGCAGCGCGGAAGGCGAGCAAAGAGAAGTGTCCTTCGTTCCTGCCGACTCAACACTACGCCAAACCTTGATACAGCCGGAAGGTTCAAACTTCGTCTCACATATATTTGTCGATAACTTCCATGCAGTTTACAATTTTCTCTAGGAAAAACCGTTTGGCAAAGTTGTTCAGGATAAGTAAGATCGGTAACTTCATCTCCTGGACCACGGATGCGATGGAAACATGACGCTGCTCCAGTTTGCTGCGCAAAAGAGCAGTGAAGCGGTCGATATCGGATGAGTTTCAGATCTCGAATTCATCCCATTAACTGTGGCTAAACTAACTACCTATATTGGCTTCCTTCTACTTCCTTTTCTCTGCCGGTCCGTACTTTTGCCAGTACAAAATCATTTCTCCTTCTATTCTACCCTGCAGTCTTCCTCTACATTAATTCTGCCTTTCTCACACCGACCATAAGGTAGCGACAACAACCCAGCAGACAGTCTTAGCCGCAAAGCACCAAGCTTTAGCGAATCTGGATCACATGCGTACGTTCTGTGCAAGTTTTGGACGCCGCAAGATCATTTGAGAGCAAACGGTCGGCGAGTGTCTGGGTCGACCTAGCCTGAAAACCCCTCCATCATCACATTCTACTCACCTGTCACTCACCGAAAGACCAACAGGGACGCAGAGGTGTAATATTCTCACAGCCACCACAAAGACCACTAGGCCGTAATCACCTCTCGCCCAACTGATTCGCTTACAGCCTTGAGCATGTCTACTCACGTCCAGGACTCCGCCTCTTCGGGGGACGTTCCGGCGGAAGTGACCGCAACCAGGCCGTCCTCTGACAACGATAACGCCGCCACCCATGGTGAGGAGGAGGCCAAGCCGTCAGATGGCGACACTAGCCCTGTTGATGGCAAGGAGAACATGCCCTTGGCCGAAACTGCAGTACCCAAGAAGAAGAAAAAGTCCAATAAGAGCAAGGGTCAGAAGAAGCGCCCCACTGGCTTTGAAGGTAAGTTTAACGTGTTTTTCCATGACGATCGCAAGTCCACCGCACCATTCCCGCTCACTCGGTATATTGACATCGTTCTTACTGTCAGAGTACTTTTGCGACCCCCCTATCACGCCGGCCGAGTACGAAGAAGAGAGGAAGTCCATCTACCCCCCCAGTCGACCGTTCGTTGACCGCATCGAGGAATGTATTCAACGCTACCGTGCCCGCCGTCGCTTCGATAGCGCGAAGGAGAACTTATTCAGCAGATATCTGTTCTTGGGCGGCATTGATACTACTACTCGCCAGTTTCAGGGTACCGCGTCGCTTACCAGCCGTGACTTGGACGGCTTGGACAAGGACGACATCCGTGATATCGCGGCCAACGACTACGTGCAGCGCAAGCCTGGTATGCATGCTTCTCGCTACTATAATCCCAACCAGCCGGAGCACTGGGATGTCGATTTTACCGGCGTGGCCGCTGGATTCTTGTTAGTTCAACTTGTCTCTTCCTTGACTGTCATGAAGCTAACGTTCGTAGTTCCGAGACCCTGATGCGTCTGACTACCCCCGGTGCAGCAGACTATGCTGCCGGCGTAGATCTTGTATCCAACTTCCTCAAGTACGTTGATCTTCACGACGTTTGCCCTGAGTACGCCGAGGACATCAAGAATGCTCAAAAGGTCTGTCAAAAGGCTCGTGAGGAAATGCCTTTGCTCGTCCAGACCCTCCTCCTCCTCCCTGGTAATTTCAGTTCCGCCGCATGTCTCGTGACCTGCGAGGACGACGATGAGATGGCCTGGGCACGCGAATTGATGGACGAGAAAGCCGCCCGCCAGAATATCGGCATTGTGATGTCCATTCTCATGAGCTCCAAGTGCGGACACGAAAACGGCATCAGATTCGAAGAGCTGGCCGGGTTCCCGACCGTCACCAAGACCATCACTCAGCGAGTGTACGAGGTGGTGAGCATCGTTTTGCCCAACGACGAGTGCCACGCCAAGTTCAAGAGCATCAACAAGCACCTTGGTGATGCCAACGCGATCAAACCCTGTGGCTTCTTTCAGGTGAAACCCACCGTTGTTCGCGACGGTTGGGAGAACACAATGCACAACACGGTAGAGGATGTTACCTATAATCTGGTAATGGAGGAGGAGATCTTGGCCCTGATAAAGGTTGGCTTCAAGTTCAAGATGGACATTTGTCTGTTGAACTACGGCGTCGGATTCATCAAGAATTCGGTGGACGGCTATCCAACCTTTTACGAGTTCCTACCCCAGGAGCTTATGTGGGGATTCAAAGAGCCGGTGGTGAATCCCAGGCCGGGCCCGAGTATCCACAACCCTACCGGATCGTTTGAGGGCGGTGATGGCATGGGCGACTTCTTGAACGCTGACCTAGAGGATGATGCCCCGGAGGTTGATGCTTCCCCTGTTAATACTTTCCCGGTCGATGGTGCCCCGGTCGGTAGTGCCCCGGTTGACAACGCCCCGGTTGGTCCTGCATTCGGAGATGATGAAATCGAGTGGGCACTTTAGTTCTTTAGCGGGAATCTGGGGTCATGCAACGGTCATTGTAACTGAGAATGACATTCGAAATGCTGGGTTCTGAACGAAAACATATGGTTACATGGACGCACAGCATAAATAGGTTGTTCTACCCTCGCAGGCTGTGAGTTGCAAAGACACAGCCAAATTACTATGGGCAGCATTAGATGAAGGCAAATCGAGCTCGCCGGAGAGCTTGGAGTGTGGTCTTATCGCCATTGTTGCGTAGAATCTCGGCCGTTAGACATAAGAGGCTAGCAACTACCGACAGGAATAAATTTCCTTGTTCATGGTGGACCACAAGAACTAGCACAGGTCGCTGAAAATAATGGAAAGTTAAATTTCACTGTTGCCTCCAAGTCCCATGTCCTCATATATCCTTACAATAACCCAACACCAGACGCAGAACTATCCCATCGTAATAAGCCATTAAAGCAAAGAAGTAACCCAACGCGCATGAAAGTGACTACTCCGTCCCTGCCTCAATGTACCCCCGCTTGACCCATCGGTCATTGCTGAAACCCATTGTATCTCCTAGAACTCTTCACATACTAATCAACAATCCTTACGGATGCCACGGAGATCCGTAAAAAGGAAACCACTGCGTCACCAAAGCCAAATGTGACGACTGCGCTTGTTGGGGACTGCAACACTGCTGCTCAGGACATTCGCAAGCGCACTGGCAATCGCAAGCCGCGCTCTTCCAATTTTTGAAAGAACGAGTAGCACCCTCTGTCTTGACAGATGCAGAAGTAGAGGCATCAACAGTGGGTATCGGCGTCGTAGATGTTGAAGGACCCTAATCCTGAGTCTGAATTTTATGATCACCTGCTACTACTTGCGCGTAACTCGGCGGGGGCGCAGCATGGCTGTTGTCGCCGTCTCCTCCTGCGCTAGGACCAGCATGTGCAATACCAGAATCTTGAGGCGCGTGGCCAGCGGTGGTGCCGTAATTCATGGGCCCTTGTCGCTGCGGCTGCTGATTCTTGTGGGCGGCTTGTTGGTGGTGGTAGTGGCGGCCACCGCCGGTTTGATTGTTGCCGGGCTGGTCGTGGACAAAGACATAGATTCGTTGCCCGCTTTCGACGCGGCCGATGTCATTGGCGTCGTAAACGGCGCCGTCGTAGTCAAATGGTGGGGTAGGGTTCTTCGCAATGATGTACCAGGCGTGTAGAAGGCCGGGGAGGAAGCCGAGGACGCAGAGAAGGAGGTTGATGAAAGAGTCGGCGGAGCAGATGCCGGTTTTGACCCAGACTGTGGGGAAGGGGTTAGTGGGTGATCGCAGATAGCCTTGTAAGGCGACTTTGTTTGAAATATGATGTTGAGCTTACCAGGCAGCGGTGGGAAGAGGATGGCTAAGAAGCCGAGGAAGATGTCAGTGGAACACATTGTTGTGCTTGTCGTACTGTGCAACGAAGACGACGCAAGGATACAGATAAAAAGGACTGGAAAAGTGTGACTATTTTTGACGATAAATAGGTAGGAAACGAAGGTGTTGATGTTTATGGTAATGTTCAAGCAGCATCCAAAACGATGTAAGACGAATGGAGGAAAGATGGACTGATGGAGAGGCTGCGGATCCTCAATGATGCAACCGATGGGGCTTCGTCACTGGGCGGGTCACGCGCCGAAGTGGCCAGGCCCTGCGCCAGGGGAGCTTGCGTAAGCTACCAGGAACCCGCCCAATTCGACCACCTGAACGACAGGGGCAAAGGGAAGACCTTCCTCAATTCTGACCGGTAGAGAAGGGGTAGGGGTTAGGGTTATGTGGCCATCAAGGTTCCCTTCAATGACTGGCATCGATGACTGGCTCGTGCGCTTCCAGAACCATACCATTTTAAGTAGCGGTGATAGATGGGAATAAAACGATGAGTCACGGGAACTCTCCGGCAGTTTCCATTTCTTGGCGGGTCGTGGAGCCTCGCTGTTGCTGGCCTCTGGCAATGGACAGGCCGCGCGCATCACTGCACTTTTCGGCTTTTCGCGTCCGCTACAGGCAATTCGTTGTCACTGTATCTCCCAACATCGTCTCGAGGTGCCGGATTTCTGGTCCTTTTGCGAAAACTTAAGCCATCACAACAGATCTCCCCTCCACTGTTGACGGGAGCTGTCGAATTCCCTGTCATAACGCTCGCCCTTGCTTGACAGACGTTCATACAACTTCCGATTTTATCCACGGACGATAGCCACAAATCACTGAAGCCACCAGACGGCCACCGCGATGGACGACTTGGAGAGCCTCGAGCTTCTGTCGCTCGTGTCCAAGGTCACGTCCGAGTTGCAGAACCACTTGGGGGTCAGCGAAAAGACCCTCGCCGAGTTCATCATCGCCCAACGAGTAGAATGCGGGTCATTCGACGAGTTCAAGCAGAAGTTGGCCACCATCGGCGCCGACTTCCCGCCCAGCTTGGTCGAGAGTATCGACAGACTTGTCCTGACCTTGCACCCAAAGTTCAAGGGCCAAAATCATGGACAGACCCGCGCCGATGAAAACGAGAAGCATGGTCAATCTGCCGAGGAAAAGACAAAGGTGTTCAAGGGTCTGTCCATCCCGGACAAGGAGGTGGATGTCATCGACGACACCCTGGCATTGCTTGAGAGCCTCGAGCCTAAGAGAGCGGAGAAAGAACGACCTAGGAAACGAAGCCGTACCCCCGAACGAGACGACTATGCAGACGACTACGGGAAGAGGAAGCGCAAGGAGCGATACCGGTCAAGGTCGAGGTCAAGGTCGAGGTCAATTTCGCCACCAAGGGGCCGACGGAAGGGCCGATATGATGATGAATACGATGGTGATTTCCGACGGCCACCACCGCGCGAGGTGGACGAAACTCCCATTCTATACAAGGTTTACGAAGGCCACGTCACGGGAATCAAGGACTTTGGTGCCTTTGTCAACCTGCATGGCGTTAAGGGCAAGATTGACGGCTTGGTGCATGTATCCGCTTTCGGTCAGCGTGTCAACCACCCTTCGGATCTCTTATCCAAGGGTCAGGAAGTCAAAGTCAAAGTCATTAAGCTCGAGGGAGGTAGAGTAGGTTTGTCGATGAAGGACGTAGACCAAGAGACGGGCATGGACCTCGCACCGCAATTGCGGATAGGTTCGGGCGCCAATATGGAGGCATTGGGCGGGAGAGGAGGATACGATACAAAGAATGTTGTCACCAATGGCTTTGGTGACAAGGGAGCATTCCAAGCGACAGCAAATGCCAGGCAACACAAAAAGAGGATGACGTCTCCTGAAAGATGGGAGATTCGTCAAATGATTGCGGCAGGCATTGCTAAGGCATCCGATTACCCAGAACTTGAAGAGGACTACCAGGCAACACTCAAAGGCGAGGGACAGATGGAGCTTGAGGAGGATGTCGATATTGAGGTTCGAGACGAGGAACCTCCGTTTCTGGCTGGACAGACCAAACAGTCTCTCGAGCTGTCACCCATCCGCGTTGTTAAGGCTCCCGACGGGTCCCTTAACCGCGCCGCCATGGCAGGCACCAATCTTGCCAAAGAACGGAAGGAACTGCGGCAGCAGGAGACTGAAGCTAAAAAGGCAGAGGAGAAAAAGGTTGACTTGTCCTCCCAATGGCAAGATCCTATGGCCAACCCGGAGACCAGAAAGTTTGCTAGTGATTTGCGCAAAAACGCTCAAGCGGCACCAGCGGCTCCCGATGCTGTTCCTGAGTGGAAGAGGGCCGTTGCACCCAAAGAAGTGTCGCTAGGCAGGCGCACCAACATGAGCATCAAGGAGCAACGAGAATCTCTCCCCGTCTTTGCCTTCAGAGAACAACTGATCACTGCTGTGAGGGAAAACCAGGTCCTGATTGTTGTCGGCGAGACGGGATCCGGAAAGACGACACAACTCACTCAATACCTGGCGGAAGCCGGCTTTACTAACAATGGGATGATTGGATGTACGCAGCCTCGCCGTGTCGCCGCCGTGTCCGTTGCGAAACGTGTTTCTGAAGAAGTCGGCTGCCAGCTTGGCCAAGAAGTCGGTTATACCATCAGATTCGAGGACGTCACCAGCCCAGCAACCAAGATCAAGTATATGACCGACGGTATGCTTCAGAGAGAGATCCTGATCGACCCCGATCTTAAGAGATATTCGGTCATTATGCTTGATGAGGCCCACGAACGTACCATCGCCACCGATGTGCTCTTTGCCCTGTTGAAAAAGACAATGAAGAGAAGGGAGGACCTCAAGGTTATCGTCACCAGTGCTACCTTGGATGCCGACAAGTTCAGCGAGTACTTCAACCAATGCCCCATCTTTACCATCCCTGGTCGCACATTCCCTGTCGAGATTCTTTACTCCCGTGAACCAGAGTCAGACTACTTGGATGCCGCTCTCACCACCGTCATGCAAATCCATCTCAGCGAGCCAATGGGCGACATCCTTTTGTTCTTGACAGGACAGGAAGAAATTGACACGGCTTGCGAAATTCTATACGAACGGATGAAAGCCTTGGGTCCTAACGTTCCTGAGCTTCTCATCTTGCCCGTTTACTCTGCCCTTCCTAGTGAGATGCAGAGTAGGATTTTCGACCCAGCACCGCCAGGGAGTCGAAAGGTTGTTATCGCGACCAACATTGCCGAGACATCCATCACGATCGACCATATTTACTACGTTGTTGATCCAGGGTTCGTCAAGCAGAACGCATACGACCCCAAACTCGGCATGGACTCGTTGGTTGTCACTCCTATTTCCCAGGCTCAAGCCAACCAGAGAGCCGGTCGAGCTGGTAGAACAGGACCAGGAAAGTGCTTCCGCTTGTATACAGAAGCCGCATACCAGTCTGAAATGTTGCCTACCACAATCCCCGAAATTCAGCGCCAGAATCTGTCCAACACTATCCTTATGCTGAAGGCTATGGGCATCAATGACCTTCTCCGGTTCGACTTTATGGACCCACCTCCCGTCAATACTATGCTTACAGCCCTGGAAGAGCTCTACGCCCTCGCTGCGCTGGACGACGAAGGTCTTTTGACACGCCTTGGAAGAAAGATGGCTGATTTCCCAATGGAGCCAGCCCTTGCTAAAGTTCTTATTGCCTCTGTGGAAAAGGGCTGTTCAGACGAGATGGTGACTATTGTCGCCATGCTCAACCTCCCCAATGTCTTTTATCGCCCCAAGGAGAAGCAAGCTCAGGCGGACCAGAAGAAGGCCAAATTCCACGATCCTCATGGAGATCATTTGACCCTCCTCAACGTCTACAACTCGTGGAAAAACAACGGGTATGCGAACCCTTGGTGTTTCGAGAACTTCATCCAGGCACGTTCTATGCGACGCGCCAAAGATGTGCGTGACCAGATTGTCAAGATCATGGATCGCCACAGGCATCCCGTCATCAGCTGTGGCCGTGATACCAACAAGGTCCGGCAAGCCCTTTGCGCCGGTTTCTTCCGCAACGCGGCTCGCAAGGACCCTCAAGAGGGTTACAAGACGCTGATCGAAGGCACGCCTGTGTATCTCCATCCCAGCTCGGCGCTCTTCGGCAAGCAAGCTGAGTGGGTCGTTTATCACACCTTGGTCTTGACCACCCGTGAGTACATGCATTACACAACCAGCATCGAGCCGAAGTGGCTGGTCGAGGCCGCACCGACCTTCTTCAAGATGGCGCCGACCGACAAGCTATCGAAGCGGAAGAAGGCTGAACGGATCGAACCGCTGTACAACAAGTACGCCGGCGCGGACGATTGGCGTCTTAGTGCGCAGAGGAGAGGCGGACGTGGTGGTGGTGGCGGTGGTACTTGGGGTTAAGTTGTCAACTTGCTGGATCATGTTCAAGCGTTGCATTGGTTGGTTAAAACTGGTTATTGAAACAGGCTCATTGTGAACGCGTCAGTCACCCAAAATTTGAATATAGAGAAGATACCCTTTTGTTGCTCTCACGGTGACTAACAGCCCCAGACTTGCAAAATGTGTGGAAGCATTTCATGTCGATATTGTTTGGTCTCCGAAAAGTTTGTTTCTCAAATGGAGAATCAACCCAAATATAACAAACCTCCGGGATCAGAATGTCTTATGAGGGGAGCTGACGCAAGGGATATCACTGAATCATGGACGGACGGCTATGGAGGCGCCTGAGATGACAAATTTCCGAAAACATCGTACCACCGGTTGGTTGTACGGCGTGCAACGTGAGATGATGCCGACTGTCGAGTGTCCCACGATTGGTGGTATCAACAATATCGAGTCTAGAAATTCAGACTGGGTACGAGGCAGTCATTAGTTCAATGCTTAGGACTGAAGGCTAGAAGCACATTTTCTAAAACATGCGAGATGGTCTCTATGACTGTGGAGGGTTCCAATACGATACGGCCATCATGACGACAGAGATTCCAGGAACACGAACGGTAGATCGGCCGGTGCACCGGTTCGTCCGATATCTCCGTGCACCATCCCAAGACCAATCTCATTGACGGCAAGCAAGTTATCGCCTTTCTTCCTCTTTTCACCACTACGACAATGATTATGTCTAACATGGAGAATAGAGTCATATTAAAGGCATCAAAGACGTCGAGTTCCACCAGCTCGAGATATCGGGTACACCGAGTTTTGAGACACCACTAGGATATCGCCATGACCACATCTCCAATATGCACAGGTGTGCACGTTTCTCCCCTTACAGAAACAGGCGCTCGAGAACGTTGTGGCGCTAGGACATTTGGCGTCACCCAATCTGGGACGAACAAGATCGGCTCCTGTCGTCCGATGACAGCTGGTGCTTCACAGAATCACACGGGTATGAACAGCCCCTCCAAAGTTGCATTCCTACTTGCAAGCATACAGGACTCGAGCAACATGCCGGGCGTTCTGTATTCCCCGCGTGTCCGTGAGTTGGTACTTGGATCACGCGTTGGAATGGGGAGCTTCAGCACTCTCCTCCCTGGCCGCTTCTCTGTTTTATCTCTTCCCGCCTGGTTGCTCGTGTCCTGAAGAAACTCGCAACTTGAAGATTGGATTCAACGTCGATACAGTTAACCCATGTCTCCAGACTAGAGGTAAGGACAATGCGTAATATAGCTATCACAGCTTTTTGGGTAGCCCGCCAGGCCCTGGCAGCTCTCCAAGTTGACTTGAACTCTCCAGGTACACTACTCCCAAGTCATCAATCTCCCCTTCGTCCAAAATATATGTATCCTTCCACATCCCAGACACACTAACACCATCCTGTGCGTGTTACTGTCTCCAGACTCCATCAAACGCGCCGCCTCTCTTGTCGCCTCGGACCTCCTCACCTACTACCATGGCTCCGAACCCGGCCAAACGCCCGGCATCCTCCCCGGCCCTCCCCCCGCCGGCGACTACTACTGGTGGGAATCTGGTGCGCTCTGGGGCACCCTGATGGACTACTGGCACTACACGGGCGACTCGTCTTACAACGAGCTGATCACCTCCTCCATGCTCTTCCATACGGGCCCGCCGCTCAACGCGTACATGCCCGAGAACTATACCATATCTATGGGCAACGACGACCAGGGTTTCTGGGGCCTATCCGCTATGCTCGCAGCCGAGATCGGCTTTCCTGACCCACCGGCTGATAAGCCTCAGTGGTTGCAGCTCGCTCAGGCGGTGTTTCACACCCAGGCGGATCCTGGAAGACATGATGATGTGTGTGGTGGTGGGTTGCGATGGCAGATACCGATGGCGAATATCGGGTATGATTATAAGAACTCGATTAGCAACGGTAAGCAAGCCAAGCTTTCCTAAAGTCGCCCACTTCTAACTAATGCATGAGCTGTACTGTTTCAGGTATCTTCTTCAACCTCGGCGCCAGACTGGCGAGGTACACGGGAAACGAAACGTACGCGCACCATGCAAGAAAGACGTGGGATTGGATGATGGCAGTCGGATTGATGACCGAAGACGGGAATGTGTACGATGGAGCGCATACGGGGGTGAATTGTACGGATGTGTTCAAGGCGCAGTTCTCATATAACGCGGCAATATTCCTACAAGGGGCGGCCTTCATGTATAGCTTTGTAAGTTGCCGAATTTCCCGCCGTCGACCCCGTGGCCGGTTGTATATCGCGGAGCCAAAACCAGACCGACTAACCGGAAAAAAAACAGACAAAAGGTCCAGAACAAGTCCTCTGGAAGAACCGCGTCCAAGCCCTCCTCGACCGGACCATAGCCTTCTTCTTCCACGCCGGCCCCATGATCGAGCTCTCTTGCGAGACGCCCACCGTCATCCTCTGCAAGACCGACATGCTCTCCTTCAAGGGCTACACGCACCGGTGGATGGCAACCACCACGCAACTCGCGCCATTCACGCGCGACCCCATCATGCGAGCTTTGCGCAACTCTACCGCCGCGGCCGTCAACTCGTGCCGTGGTCCCCTCCACGACGGCCGAGCGTGCGGCTTCCGCTGGACGACGGACGGGTACGATGGGTTGACGGGAGCAGGGCAAGAGATGAGCGTTTTGGCGGCTTTGTCATCGTTGTTGGCTTTTAACGAAAACGCCGGTGGTGAGGGGAAAACGGGTAACAAAGGGGCGCCGCTGACGGGGGAGACCGGGGGAACGAGTAAAGGGAATCCGCATGCGGGGACGGGGAAGGGAGTGGTTGATCCGACGGAGCTGAGGGAGTTGACGAAGGGGGATAAGGTGGGAGCGTGGATTCTTACGGCGTTTACGCTGGGGACGCTGGGGGCGGCGTTTGTGCTGATGGCCTCAGGGTCATTTGAGAAGCTGGAGGGTGGGGCTACGGCAGCAGCAGCAGCAGCAGCGGCTGGGGAGAAGAAGAAGAAGGAGAAGTTGTCGATTTGGTACAAGATTGCGAGGGAAAGTTATTTTTTCAGGCATCAGGGCTGAAGTCTATTGTTGTAGTTGGGTTGGGGCGATGCTTGAAAATATTTGGTCAAATTCCCTTGGGTAAATTTGAAAGCATCAAGATTCCAGTAGAAGGTCTTGTGGTATTGGAACTTATCTAAGCAGTGAGGTTCCTTCCTGTGCGGATATGGGGACATGATTCAAGCTGGGGCCTATATACTGAGCATCTTCCTGTGCCTTCTCAAATCAAAGTCAAGGGTGACATCAACCATTTCAAGGATACCCCTATCGATCGAAGTCCGATAGAGCGAATTACCCCAAGCAACAGTCATCATTGCTTCGTGAAAGGTCGAGCCACATACTGACAATGTTAAGGATGTTACCGCTCTTGAACATTTTGCTAGTCTTGATGAAGGGGGAGTGTATCCATGATTGCCTCTGGTCGGCTACCTTGTGATTGCATGCCATTAGACAGACGGACATTGTGCTGCTCTCGGATTTGCCCCACAGAAAGGCCGGAGGGGCGGACAACTTGATCAAACGCCAAAACCCTCGTTGGACACTACGCAGTTTGAAGCTCTCAACGGGTGTTGTCGTGCAAATTCTTTTCGTGATAGTTATGACTTTAGTCTGTAGTACCAACCGCACCATCGGATAAACATGATTTTCTCGCAAATTGCTGTGGTTGCACAAGATCAAGCGACGTAAGGGTGAAATCAGATGTGTGGACTTTTGGTTACAGCGGGCTTCCAGGGAAGTTATAGTGGATGAGTGCATTGCATGTCCAGTTGAAGGGGGGAATCCCTATGGCAATTTGCCTCAACTGAAAGGTAGACTAAAAACAAACGTGCTCTAAGCGTACTGATATATCTGGTAGTCTGCATTTGCTTTTGCCGCCCGTTCCAAGTTGCGAATATCATCATTACGAAGAGAATTGTGTACATGAATTCCAACAACATCAGTCTTCTATACATTCATAAATTCCAATGCTGTTCCGTTGACGTGCAGTAAACCACCAGTTGATTGTGCCTCTCATGGGGTGGTATGTAAAGGCCCTTCCTGGACACCGGGGACATTCGTCGAAGTTCCAGCTCGAATCGTTAGGATGCGCTCCACTCTCGATCTCGGACTCTGTCACGAAGTGGATGTTCGGCGTGTGAAACCCTGGGAGTATATCGCGCTCCAGACAAATGAGTTTGGGGTTGATGATCGTCTCGCCCGCAAGCTTGGCGCGGTTCTCGAGTCGAATCTCTCCAACTACCCGCGAGCCGCCGTTGTCATAATGAAAAATAATCCCTGAGCAGACACGTCCTGTCGGCCGATTTCGACGAGAGGGATAGTAAAACATCTGGGCGGCGACGACCCCGCGGAGGGGAGCACGAGTGTAGAAGCGGAGATCCTCATCATCGTCCAAGCGGAAGAGATTACTGTGCCATATATGAGGAATTATCCCTTCCCAACCTTCCCATTTCGGTTTCGCTGGAGGAGTACCCCGATAGCCTCCCAACATACTCAAAAAGTTCCTCTTACCCGGAATTCCGTAGACCAGAGCTATCGGATCGCGTTGGCCCCACCATAACTCATCTTTGTAAAATTCATCCTCGTCAGGACCCTCCGATGTGGGGTCATCTCTAGGCGGATCGTGGCAAGGCAGGCCGATGACAGAATCGCCGGACAGACGTTTCTTGACCTGTGGTACGATTGATATGTTAGAAATTTGAGAAAAACCACGGTAAAAATGGGGAGCGTGGAGGAAAAAATAGGTGTCTCTTAGAGACTCATTCGGAAGCATGAGGCGGGTGAAACTGAGGAAGATAAGGCAGTAAGTAAGATAACCTGGAGTCTAGAAACGTACCACTACCACAAACGCATTCTTATAGATCCCTACACCTATTCGGAGGATGGCATCCTCCTTGCTGACAGGCAGGAAGAAGCAGGCTTCCTGTATCTTTGAAGAGCCAGAAGATAAGACCTTAGGGCAGTTCATCTCAACGTCATCGCCGCGATGAGGGTGGATTGCAACGAGCTCTTTGCCGCGATAGACAAATGTAAGGCCAGATATGGAGTCTAAACTGATATAATACCCGGTCGCAAAGTCCTTGAAGATATCCCCGTGGTACAAGTAAATACAATTGGTCAGGTCCGGGGGCGTGGGCGTGTTCCAAATGCGTGGTAAGAAGGGTATCCGTACACCATGCTCATTGTCATGATAGATATCGTCGGCATCGAAGGCCAGTCGCAAAAGGCCATTTCTGCAGTATGCAAGTCTGCGCGAACATTCGCCGTACCTCTTATCCAAGGCAAGTTCGTCGCGCTTCGTACCCAAGAGAACGTAGGCAAATCTGCGGTTGCTGGCAAAACCGTTCGATCTCTCGGATCCCATCTACGTCGAAAGTGAGACGGAGAACATCGTCTTGACCTCTGGGTCCTACTGTCGCTATTTGTTCGCCTCTTTTCCAGTGCAGTATGTGACGTATCTTCACGCGTTGCTCAGCAAAGATAGGAATGTTGGGCAGCGAAGATGCAACTGTCAGAGCGGCGACAGCCCTCCAAAACGGAGTATTTCCTGGTGAATATAACCGGATTCGTTCGACCAATTCGGAGGGAAAGTTTTTCAGCTGGGGAATACTGACGATTGAAGCAACCTGATTGACAGCTTGTGGGCTCATGAAATATGGGCTTTCAAGGGAGAGGGATTTTGGGGGTCGAAACCCATGCGGCCATGGATTTCTCGCCACAGCAAGTTCCCAGATCCGTTCGCACGTCAGGCGGGGAGCGAGAGGGCATGACTGCTTCGCAATCACGAAGCAGTCCTTATGTACCGCAGTGGCCACATGGAGTCTGTCGGGATCTGTGCCGTGTTCGGGGCATTCTGTCGATATAGAGCACAGGTAACACAGATTTACTTGTGTTTTCTTATCGAGGTATGCATCCACAAGATCCACAAAGGTCTTGGGAAAAGCGACTGTAGCAGTGCGCCCAAGATAGACCATTCTATTCTGGCACCCGATTACTAAATAAACTTGAGTCAGGGAAGGCCACCTCATCGGTTGCGCAGGAGAAGGGGGTTGTACAAACAATGACGGGGGTCTCCTGTGTGATGCTTTCGGTGCAGACCCCGCAGCGCGACTCGAGCTCAATGACATACCATGGCTCAAATTCGGAGGAAGAATCATCATATCGATCGTCAGTTTCAAGGTCGGTAGCCATGATAATGGCGTCGTCCCTACAGTTTGTTGTCGGCGGTAATGTTTCAACTTGGGTCAGAAAAGTGATTGCCGGCGAGATATAAATTTGTTCGTTTTATGTCGCGACTCGCCTGGCGCGCGTTTGGTGGTGGACCGACGGTGGGTTATTCGGGCAGGCAAAATCACCCCATTGTAGAACTAATTTGCATTTTGATATGGATTCAATTTGCCTGAACTGATCAGAGTTGACATCAGTCGAGACGAAATACGTTTTGCGATGTTGATGATATCATGATGAGGACGCTGGACGCCTGCAATGGAAACCACAGCTGTGCTCAGTTTTTAGTTCATTCTGCTCAGCGGTAGGCCTGTCGCACCTGTCGTGCCTGCCTCACCGTCGTTATGGGGAAGTGGCACAATAACCATTCTGTTAGTTGCATCTAGTCTCAGATGAGATGATAACTGGTTTGCAAACAGCATGGCACAATTGAAGTTAGTTTGTTAGCGGGCTGGTCAATGCTAGCAGGTCAACAAGTTCGTCCCTTCCTCACAGCACTGGGCGAAACCGGCATCATATGCAAAGAGGTCGAACCGTCAAATACTGACGGGCTGGCACATCGTCTTATAATGACGGTCGACATCCACCTGCTGAAGACTCTTCAGTTACCTTTTGTACTCTGTATTACATTTACGTCGTATGGTAGATGACGGCGGGCAAATGATACCACCGACTTTTCAAAATCTCGGCCTCTGTTGTTTTATCTGATTCTCGGATTTTCTATAGGTCTATCCTCAATAGAGTATTTTGGTCGAGGTTCATGAGTCAAATGTGTGGTCTTGGATGTCGGTATACTTGACCCAAAGAGCCTTCCTTGTCTTGCAAGTTTGCACGTTAGAAGCTTTATATACGCTGGCTGCGTACCATCGCCTCCTGAATGACTTCCTACCATTATATTACAAGTACATACGAGTTCATCAGGTGGAGGTGTGAATTGCTGGCATGCCTACGACACATTTACCCAGTTACTTTGATCACTTCCCTCAAACCTCCTAGGACTCAGAATAGTCCCGAAGCAGCTCTTAGGAGATACCTACTTAGCGATCGTTGACTTTTACCACATATCCTTGTTGCTTCATAACATCGTCCGGCTCCGTGATTGAGATTTCAACCAGGACGAAAAGAAAAGGGAGAAAAAAAAAAAGAAAAAACCCTTTTAGTCCACTGCCTTTCCAATTCACCAAAAAATCAGTAAGCGACATGCATATAAACTTCAAAAAACCATGTCTCGTTACATCTTTGGGCTTCATCACGCCACAGCACAATACTTGTGACCAGGAAAATTGTATATTCACTACCACTGTTGATACACGGGTGCAAAATGCTCATCATCATGAATGCTAGCAGACCTTCCGGTTCCAAGCTGTTCGAGGCCCAACAGTCTGCACTATCTCGGACCCGACTTTGGACATCGTGAATGCGGCCATTCTTCTGGACATACTAGACGCAACATGGTCAAGTTCTCTTCTCCTCAGCCCCGATCCACCCCCCCGAACCTGCAACAAGAAGCCGCAGTAGCTCTCCAAGTGGAAGTGTTTGGGCTGGCCTCACTCTATATTACATTCTCTGCCAGGACTAGGCAACCATGACTTGTGAAGAAGGGGCATTGTTCCTACGTAGGTCACCAATTGTAGATTTTCTTTGTTGAAGAATGACCGAAGTAACAATGCATTGTGAAATACCTCGTTCCCAAAGAACTTTACGTCTTTATTTATCGCCTGAAACAAGACAACGATGTCGAGTATGATAAGCTAGTTACATCCTTTGTTCAGTCGTAGTTCGGGTCGAAATTCCTTGTCGCAACTCGACTCACATCACTGGACTTGTGTAGGGGTGGCTAGTTGCAATTGAGATGACCCAGAATACCTACCAATTTTGGCTGTGGCATACGGTAGATGTACTGACATAGCTTGTTTGGGCATTTGAGCTTGTTCTTTTGTCAGATAATGTGAGAAAACACAGAAGAAGGAGTTCGCAAAAGGGCCTTGGAAGTTGGGTGCAGAGAGGCCGGTGACTTGTACTTGACACTCAGTTTTCATTGCGGCCTTGCCCTCGTGAGCTTCACGAGAAATTTATTGAAACTTCCTCCGTAAACTTATTCGTCCTATTATCAACATGACCAACCGTCTAGATGTCTTGCACGCATGAGATCCTTGAATTTCTCAACCTCAAGACTACTAACGATAGCTACCTTTCAGTAACTTCCATCTAAAAATACCTACCGGCGGCACACAAGTCGCTTTGTCTCGCTTCCATCACAACACAATGTTTCCATTGTCTTCATTGTCAACAAGCTCGACAAGCTCTCGACAAGCCGTTTGGGACGACAAAGAAGAACCTGATAGTGCAAAGACCGAAGCGTGTCCGTATAAATCCTATAGATGGCGCGATCGCATAAGGGGGCTCTCGCCCTTGGAACTGAACGGATTGATTGATTGTCCGATATCTTGTCAAGAGATGAAGAGAACATTGTTTGAACAGTAACAGAACCAGATGACCTTTACAAGCAAGTTCCGAGAGGACAACACCAGCGAGACTTGAACAGCAAACAACACGACCAAACGCAACGCACGCGGCAGACACACAACATACCAGCGAGAGAGGAAGCTTACAATCCAAATCAGGAAATCACACCTAGCTAGCTAGCTTAGTAGCTCCAACAAAGACCAGATCACACTCCCAGACAACCAGACGCTCGAAAGTACCAGTCCAAGATAACAAAATGGATAGTGACCAGCCCCAGCCCAGGCGTCGGGGACGTCCAAGACGGGACGCCTTCATCGGTCCACAAAATAGGCCTGCAATATGGGGTGATCCGAACCTCCCACGTCGTCAGACTCGTGCTCAGCGTGAGCGTCTTCAAGAATTGGCCAATGGCAACATACCCCATTACGAGCTTGGAGAGGATGGTCGGCAACGGCTGTTGAACAGAGACCAGATTCGTGCTCAGAACCTCCAACAGCTGGAAAACGGGAACATCCCGCAAATAGAAATAGGGGATAACGAAGAGGTACATGTGTTGAATGCAGAGCAAGCCGGGCAACCAGCGCCAGAGCCCCAGCCTGAGCCTGGGTCAGAACAAGAGCAGGAGCCAGAACAGGCAGTAATAGTCCATGAGGGCCAAGAGTCAGGGTCCGAGGAGGATCCAGTGCGAGGCGAAGGTTCGAGTCTAGATGAAAATGCTGATCCCAGCGACAGCTCTGATCCTAAAGCAGATTTAGACCCCGAAGACGGCTCAGAAGCAGCACACCCCCGAACGCCAACCCCACCACCTCCTCCTCCCCAAACGCCGCCAGTCCGCCTCTCTCCCTCGTCTCCCGCGTCTCGCTTGGATCCATTTGACTACGAGGACACGCCTCCCCCAGCACTACCCGTGCTTTCTTCCCCCCAACTCCCACACACTCCTCCCCGACCTGCGATCGTTGTCAATCCTCCCCTTGAAGCCATTTCCCCACAACACTTTTTGGTCTCCGCTGGGTATGTAGCAGGGGGGTGGTCTGGCGGGTTTGCCGCCGCAGAAGGGCAGCAGCCGGCGCCTCAACCAATTCCGGTTGCTGATAATAATGAGAACGGGGGAGATGAGGTAGAGTGGCAGCACCCTCATGATGTGGTGGAGTGGCAGTACCCTAATGATGTGGAAGAGTGGCAACATCCCGATGAAGAAGGAGAGGAGCCACACCCCAGTGGAAAGCAAGAGGAGCAACGCTCTGATGAAGAGAGTGAAGATGCAGTTACACGTTTCGGGGAAGAGCCGTCCGACAGTTCGTCGTCCTCGTCATCGGATGAAGATGCAGCTCCTGCGCATGACCGAGGAGAAAGGCCGGACAGTTCGTCGTCTTCGTCGTCCTCGTCTTCGTCTTCGTCGTCATCAGATGGTAGCGATGCCGACGGAGAGGGCCGTGGTAATGATGAGGAACGACGCGACTCCCCAGATCCGGATGGCAACGAAGATCAGGCCAACAACGGTGAACGGCACTTCAATGATAGTGACGAGGATCTGTTCGGCGAAGGAGCAAGTAGCGAAGGTGACCGCGGCGAAGCAAACGTCGGTTTGGACCAGCCACATGATGAGGATGAGCAAGAGTTGCCAGAGTTGCCGCCGTCGAATAATCAACCAGATGAACCTGCTCCAGCCGGTGAGGAGCCCAGATCAACAAGTTCGCTTCCTGATTTCGATGACGAACAGTGGGAAGCAGATGAACGGGAACTGCAGCGGCGTAATCAAAGAAATAATCCACTCCCCTGGTATGAGAGAGGCCACGCCGTACAGCGCCACCCCCTGGGCGACCTCGCAATACTGCCCGAACGCCTCCAGGGCCACGACTCTGTCGAAAGAAACGCCATTAACTGGACCAGGCCTTCACTCGACTTTGGCGCTTATAGCCGTGCACCATCATTGCCGTCAGACTGGTCTTCCGAAGAAGACTGGGACTATCCAGAAGAAGAAGAAGAAGAAGGGTCGAGCAAATCTTCATGCACCGGCTCGTCAACATCAAGGTCTGGAGGCTCGTCCGATAGTGACGACGAGCTTCCTCCCGTTGCCATGCCAGTGAATGGTACGAAGGTTAGCTCCCAAGGTTCGTCACAAGGACGAAGCTCGCCCAGTCAACAGCAAGAAACTCCCCTTTCTTCCCCGCCGCCTCGGCTACCACCTACCCCTTGTCCTTCTTCACCCAAGAGAAATCGCAAAGTAAAGCCCGTTCCGTCTCCCCTGAAACTCGCGTACACTTCCGATGGGACCAGCGTCAGCAGCCGCGATCTCGAACTCGACATGGCTGCCCGAACAGCCCGCTCAAATGCGCCTCCTCCATCGGCTGGCATCACAACAGCCACTACGAACACCAACTTAGGTCAACAACCGCCCACAACCCCTAAAAAATTTTCCGCTAGCAAGCCCTCTATGCGCCGCAACAGCGCCGGCCCCTTCCAACAAAGTGAATACCCCTCCACCACCGTCTTCCGGGAAGACTTCACCTTTGTCCCTCGCGACGGCCGTCTTTCCGCACCCGGCAGCGTTTCCGGCGATGATGGTACTTATACCCTGCCCGACTACACTGGGCAAGGCGACCAGGACATCAGCCCGAAAACCAAGAACCCACCCAAGGTTTCTCAGACGGGCCACGCAGCCCCAGGCACTCGCGAGGCGAGGGTGCAAGTCGGTGGTAAGGGATTCCCGCAGGTGCACAAAGACAAGGGAGTAAAGGTTGTTGATCCGGGCGATGCGGAGTGTTCGAGCGAGGAAGAGGAGGAGGAAGATGAAGAAGAAGACGAGGAGGAGAGGAAGAGCCCGAAGAGGAAGCCACACCATCGTCGTTCAGGAATTTACTGTCCCGCGTTTTCGACGGAGAGATACCTGCAGGACCAGAAGCAGCAGAAGGAGCGAGAGCGACAAGAGGAGGAGAGAGGAGCGTATTACCAATACAACCCCAGGTACGACGAGGGATACACTGGCGGCCTCACTGGCAGTGCCGTGCCTCGGTGGATGAGCGCGGAGCAGGATACTTTAAATCCCACATCATGGATCAGCACAGCATCGACTGAGAGCTCCCTCGCTAAAACCTCCGCGTCTTCTGGCGCAAAACGAAGCATATCCTCCATCACGGATTATGACGATGATTCCGACGAGTCCAGCGGCAGCTTGGCAAAGCGACACTGCTCATCTCCTCCTGTTTCTCCGAAACGACCACGCTCTTTTGACGAAGACGATGACGAGGGAAATCGTTCCAGTAAGCGACTTCGTATGGAGCTACCGGCTTTAGAAAAGGGCGACGGGCAACAGAGCTTGGGCGCCAAGGTCGTGGGCATCGTCAGTCAGCAAACAGATGCAGTACACCAGGAAGAGCAGACACGGTACGACCCAGCGATGATTGAGAACGAGGAATACGATCCAAGGACAGTTGGACTACCTCGAATTCATGGAAGTCAAGGTTCGAGGTCTTCAGCGAGTAGTGTCGCTGGGACGGCCCAAAGCTGGCGTGGATCGACGGAGTATGACCCGGCAGATGAAAGGGAGGAGGAAGAGTATGACCCTCAGCATCCACGAGGTTAACAACGGTGTTCGTACCGCTGCTGAGTGAGGACGTGGTTCTTAGAACCGTCACCCACATTGGAGACTACCACCACCAGTTGAAAGTAGCAGGAAGAAAAGGCTGACAGCCTGCGACTTAGCAAAGGATAAGCTGCCAAGGTATGTGTGATCAGCAGATCAGGCTATTGGACTGGGGACTCCTTAAGGTGATTAGATGATCGCCATCAAGTGCTTCGATAGCAACACAAAGGGCTAGGGTAGCATTGATACCAACACGAAGCGACGGAAGAAAAAGGAAGTCATAATAAGGGGCGTGATATCAAAAAGAAGACGGGATGGCAATAGATAGCTTCATGCAGTGACACGCGTCCTGCGATCGAACATTAGTTGAAGATCATGGTCGACACGGAGTTGAGGTTCATTGGGCGATGGTAGATGGTGTTTCTGGTGTTTTCATGGGTGCAGTAGGTATGTGATTCCTCGGGCGGAAGGAAAGAGACGCACCTTGCTTTTTGTTCGTTTTATGCATTACTTTGGAAACCATGTTGATATTGGATATTCGTATCACCTCGTTGCAAAACCGTCCTGTGGAAACTCTGTCTGTGCCTGACCTCTTCTCATGCTTCTTCCATGTCCTCTTGGGTATCTCATTGTTGACCACGTTGTTCGGGCATGAGCCTTTGTGGTCGGACTCGGCCTTGGCGTTTGGAAGGAAGTGCGCGTCCGATTGCTCGACTTCTCGCCCACCGCCTCCCACCGCCTTGAGGCGACCGTAGGTTGTCCTTCTCTTTTTTTTTTGCCCATTTTCTCTGAAATCTCAGTGACGCTCCCATGCAGCCTTCAAAGGCCCATATCCTCATCACTATCCTCATCCCCATCGCCACCATAGTCCCCGCCCCTCCTAGCCTCCTCTTCCTCTTCCCTTCTCGTCGCCTCGGCGCTGGCCCCAATCTTCCGTACGCCATCCACCAAGCCCGCCAGAAAGGCTCTGTTCTCAGCTAACTCCATAGCACCAACGCCACGCAGGGTCAAATAGGCGTCACCAAACCCCTCCAAAGCTGAGGTACTGCTGCGCATCTTGGCTGCGCGCACCTCCACCAAGTCTCGCAGTAACGACCGCACCTCGCCAGCCGGGGCGGGCATGTCATCGCCGGCGTGCGTGAGCAAAGCCTCGGCAACCTCGAGCCAGTGGTAAGGGAGGTATCCAGCGGGGGATTCGGCGACGTTGGAAGGGAGGAAGGGGGGAGATAAGATGGAGTTCGGATCTTGTTGCGAGTTTTGTTGCGTTTGCGTAAAGTCATCGACATAGCTGGGGTTTAGCCGGCGAGCGGTGCCAGGCTGGGAGTACAGAGCGCGCGAGGGAGGAGGTGGTGGCGGGGAGAAAGCTTCGGGATCTTCTTTTGTTTCACGGTGGATGATCTCGGCAAGGGAGGCGGGATGCATCCATGCTGGAGGGACGATGTTGGCGCGGCGTTGTTTCTTGAGGAGGAGGGCGAGCCAGAGGGGCAGTTGGGCCCGATGGGGAGGACGAAGTTGTGGTGTTTTTCCCTGTCGTCGCGGTGAAAGTCAGTCACTCGATGTTTCTATGACGGGCAGAAGGCTGTTTGAATACAACTCACACCAAGCAGGTCGATGCTATCCAGGCGCTGACGTGGGACGACGGTGACCATTTCCATCTCGGCAAGGAAGGCGACCTCGTTCTGGGTCAGCCCTGGTGGCAGTGGGAGCGCCATTGTGTTTCCGTTGTTCTGTCGTTAAGTCGCAGATAAGAATATCACCTCATTGTCGCTCGGTGACAGCGTCCGCTGGAACGACTGAGAAAATGGCCGAGCGGTGATGGGGTTGGAGATACCTTATGCTGGCGCAAGCGATGGTGTTGACAGATCAAAGAATCGCGTCTCCGAGATCCTGACGTTCTGTCGAGACCAGAATTCGCGGGGCACAGTAAATTACCCACTTTAACTGTCTTACAGTGCATCCCACAGGGCTGCAAGGGGTATTCGCGGGGACCCTCAGCGCTGTTCCATGCACCTTAGTTCCATGGGTCTATAGACTCCACATTTCACCGCGCTGGCTCCCGTCATCCCGGGCCGTTGGTGATTCAGGGCCAGGTCTTCTGGGTTAGGGTTCTGCGTGTACATCTAGGTACTTCTGCACTGTCAAAAATGACGGCTTCACTTCCCTAAACACATCAAGTTTCTACCCATGTAAAGTTTATTATAAATACCTATCTTGGGCGGTAATCCATTGCCCGAGCTGCGTTTATATTCCCCAAGCAAGATAAGCCATCAGAAGGAAGAAATAGGAAACCTTTCGCCTGCAAATATAAGAACAACAGCCAGACCATGTATCCCACCATCACCGAGGTTATTCCTTATTAGTCGTCCTCAATTACTGTTTTCCCAGTCTATGCCTCCGCTGACAGTGACGTGTGAGATGGCTTTTACTAGCACAGCCAATGGGGACAGGAGAACCGCTTGACAGAAAGGGCATGTTGCTTTCCTTGGTCTTTGTGCTGAGCTATGGTTCCATCTGTCCAGGTCTGCCTAGAGGTAGTAAGCATGAGGAATTTGAATACGAAAGCAGTCTGACGGTGAAGGGTCTGAGCAGGTTTTAGGTTCATGATGTGTCTAGCTGAAGTCTGAGCCGCAGCAATGGTATCTTGACTGCGATAGGAGGAGATTCTGTGAGGCGAGTTGAATTAGAACTTTTGATGGCCAGAACCATGATTGTTGTGGCCAAACTTGAGTGATTGTAAGTGAGTCGGATGAGTGTAAGTAGCGTGGGTAAGCTGAGCAGAGCAGGTCGCTACACCTATCAGCAATATATCAAAGAAGCAGTGTTGAAGCGGTGCAGTGATCTTGTGAAACCCGGCCGGATTGTGAATATTCGACTAACTAGTTTCTGTCGATCATGACAGTGGCAGTGAAAAGGAGTGTGGAGGTTCGAGGAACAGAATGAAAAAGGAACCAAAATACTCGAAAATGACAACAAAAAGTGCAAAAATAGAAAACCCAAAATCTGAATCACCAAGCACCCACTCCTTGGGGAGTGTCAGATCCATCTAACAAGAAGGTATGAAGAAAATATCCACCACCAACACATCCGCCGTTTCCCGATAGCGGGATGAATACATCCATGAGATCATAGAAAGTCATTCGAGAGGGGATAATGCAATGCCCGCCACCCCGTCATCTTGGAAAGACCTGTACGCCAAAGAAGTCCTGTAAGGAAAACCCGTGAGTTGCCTCGTAGAGCTCTGACGGAAGATGTGAGCAGTTCGCTTAACGCTTTGAACCGCTGCTGGAGCCCTTCTGTAATTATCTCAAAGTTAGCACCCGAGCTATCTCAGTGTCGTGGAGTAAAAGAGGCTTACCGAACTGCCGTGAGAAGAGCCGCTGGACTTGGATCCAGACGATGAACCGTGAGAGGAACCACCACGGGAGCTGGAGGACTTGGAGGCAACATCCGTCTTGATGAAACCGAGGGCAGAAGAACCCATGGCGATGGAGTCCCAGTTGGTCTTCCCAGGGGAAGAGCTGTGAGAGGAAGAGTGGCCAGACATTTTGAATCTTGGGTTACTGAAGGAGGAAGTTGAGAGTAGCGATTGTGTTGTTGAACTAGTATCGAGTGTTGCCGATTGTATGAGCTGATGGGCCGATGAGCGACTGTTAAATTATTGGATCTTCAGTTGGTATTGGAGCTGTTTGAGTTGAATCATGATCCAGGCAATCTAGTTGAAGGCGTTGTCGGCCAGATATCTTTATAGGTCTTTGATCTTCAAAAACATGTGTGCCTGTGCATCGCCATTTTGATAACGCCGAGTATAGGCATAGCATACAGTACTAGTTTTGTCGAATGCCGAATGGGGGCCGCTTACAGTATGAGGAGCGACTTCTACCAAGGCCAACCGTTGAGTACTCCATTGATGTGTTTTTCTCCTTTGACTGACAGCGGAGGTGAGGCACCAAGTCCGGCCAGTTCCAAAATGGTGATCGAAAAGAGTCGGTAAAAGGAAAGTTCCACACAGCAGTATTACATGCGATTGGTCAGTTCCCCTGTCAGAGACAGTGAAGAAAGATCGCTAAAAGCATAGGCTGGTATGTGCGGTGGTGATAAAGTTGGAAAAACGCCCTATATCTTTGGCTGCCTGATTTAGGAGCCGTAACATCATGACAGCCATAGCCACATGTTTCCATTTCCCGTTCTTAGGGGTTTTAGCTCTAAATCTGCGACTGAAAGCTTCACTATCACTTAACCTGACAGAAACTGTAGATTTCTCCTCAAACCATTATTATTCAGAACACCTGGTGACTTGGATTGACTCCATCTGCTTTGAAGTGGCGGCACGTCCATGATGGATGCCACTGCTAACGCAGCAACTACAGTTTTAGCCACACAACATGTCGAGATTTGTTCGTTGAAAATGTTCAGTTCTAATTGATTCCTGTGTTCCCTCTCAGTACCTACCTCTAACAATAATGGAGGGTTCAACCTTCGCCAGATATCGGATGGCGGCAGGTTGAAGGTTTGGGGGCGTAATAGTGGCAAGCTCCGCTGGGCCGTATCAAAACCTGGTGATGACCGCTGCTAGAAGCGTCCAGTAGGGGTAATTGGCCCTGTGAACATCGTCACTGGGAGACTGGATCGGTGGTTTAGGCACCCGCTTAGTTGGTACCTACCGTACACAGTACCTTGGTAGGTAACCATCGCTGAATGCACGGACCCATGTGATTTTATCGTTTCATTCGGCGGCGTGGATGTCACGCCGACTGCACCGCGAACGGCTATTCTGGAGCGATGAAATTCCAAGCCTGTGATGTTAAGGCACGTTTTCCAAACGGAATGAGTGTAATATTGAAGCCTAGTTTTTGCTCAGGCATGCGGTGAGAGCTAGGCCGATGCATCTGTGATTGAGGAGGCTATTCCGGGAGTCCGAAGTCCCACGTTTCCGCAGCCCGAGCCCAGCACGCGCCTCAGCCCTATGATTCCACCAGTCGGTACTCAAACCATCTCAGGCATTCCTCTTGTTCGCCTTACCGCAGACGCGCTATCAAGCTTCCGCGCGCTTGTAGGGCTGCGTGTAACATCAAGGCGCAGAAGAGCCTGTCGCCATCCTAGATTTCAAGGCTCCCTGCCCTACAGGCTGCAACTGGATGTTGCCCCTGTTGCTCAACATTATTCGCGGTGTTTGCGCAATGATGGTAGCCTGCAGCATCAGTCAAACCACCATTCTGACTGTTCTACGGCTGGAGAAAGCTCATATCATCCAGCATTGCTTGCCACCATTCGTCGCCTAGGAATGACACCGGCGACAGTGCCTCAACGGGCGCGGGGTTCCCGGTCTCTGCGATCATCTCAGTAGCTGGCAGGATTTGTCCTTGGTATTGTGAATCCGAATGGTGTATCGGCGGGTGGCTTTCAGGAGCGGCAGGATTCGGCGCTGCAGTCTTGGAGAGATACCACGAACGAATCCATCGGAGCTTGTTGCGGTGCATGGACATCACTGACACAGTGTCATTGACATATTTGCGCTTTCGCCGCCATTCTTCTGCAATGGCCACGGTGTCCGCCTGATCGCACCGGTCACTAATGCGTTGCGCTATGCCGGCAAAGTCAAGGCTTTCGCCGGCGAGCTTGCTATTCCAATCCGGATCTTGCAATACAACCAGGCGTGTAGCGGTAATCAAGGAGAATGTCATGTGGCAGTAGGTGTTGAAGGGTAGATAACTGAGGTCGGCCACGGGGATGGAAGCATATGAATCCAAAGCTGCTTTGACAACATCCAGGCAGCACCACATTGCTTCTGACTTCCGGATGCCGTCAATAGATGAAACCGGCGATGACGCCATATAGACTACGGGTTCGTATAGCCTGACGAGTATGCCTTTGAAGCCAATCTCAAACGACACTTTGGGGTCCAGGTCAGCAAAGTCAAACCCATCCAGCCAGTTTCATCACCTAGTGGTCAATGTTCTTGTACGTACAATTGTCTCGAATGTTCCTTGGTACTTGCAACTTGAAATCATCTAGCTCGGCACGCAGATTTGTCATTGCCATGTGTGCGGCTGCGGAGAAGGTCACAATACCGCTCCCATCCGAATCAGGAGCTGGGAAAACCGCAATGATCCTACAAAGAATGCGATGCATTCTAATGAGGACCACAAGGTATGTGTCCGCAATGTATTCCTGCTCGGCTTCGATCTTGTCACAACAGAAGGATAAGTAGGTGGAGCAGGGCATCAAGGGGATATGTCGAAATAAGGCAGCCGTGCTATGGAATGAATGGTGTTAGAGCTAGTTCAGGAAGAGCAAGACTAACTGTAAAAGTCTGGTATTCATGTAAAGCCGAGGGGGCACAACTTACAGTGAACTGACATAGAAGCATCCGAGATAGGCCCGCATATCTTCTAGTGTATGAGGCGGCCGTCCCCGGTGGCCATTGAGACGCCTGACATCTTCCACAAACTGATTTGCACCATTGCCGTCCTGCTTGGAGGGTTTGTGGCTGTTGAGGCCCAGATCTACCACAAGACCGACTGCTAGCTGGTGCAAGGTTGTCACCCATGATTCAGCATAGTAATGAGATTCGCTCCTTTTGCACAAGACAATGCCAATGGTTAACAAGCACGGAACACAAACGGTCAGAAAAGGGTTGAATTAACAAGGAAAATGAACCAACCATGCAATGAACAGCAATATGGCTTGTAGCAGGTCCAGCCGCTTCTCCTGTTTGACAATAATATGGGTTGCAATGTACTCACGAAACCAAATCGTAAAACTACGTTGCAAAGCGGCGCTCTGGGGGGCAACAATCTGAATGATGGTCCGGAATAAGAATGGCTGCCTCTGGAAAAGGTCTTGCGCTGTTGTATTCCGTGGAATGGGCACAAACGGGAATCGAGGATGATAGTCGGTTTGGTATAACTTGAGCAAGCGATCTGCTTCACCCATGGTTATGCGCAGGTAGCCGTATGGCTGTGGAGTGATATCGATGTAAGCCGTCGGCGGTATGTAGCTATTTGTAGGCTCGGAACCTCCAGAGGAACTCAGGGCAGTAGAGGTTGGAGTCTGAAGGGTGGTATGGCTCGGAGGAGGGCAACCTTGTGCATGTTGGCCAGTACAATCTCCAAGGTGTCCATCATTGACATGCATGCAGCTCATGGGGAGTATACAAAAGGGTCGCGAGGCCGATGGCTGCTCCTGGCTTGATGTCGCCGGTGTTGGCAGTTGACCAAAGACTGTGCTGTCTGGCGCATCATGACCGGAGATAGGGGGTTCAGATGTTGTTGAAGCCGATCCTGGTGCTGAAGACTGTTGTTGAATCTGCCTTGAAGCGTTCAGGAGTGACACGAGACCGTCAATCTTTTCCTCTAGTTGGCCGACTCGAGTACCTCTTCCGCGCCGTCTTTCTTTCGCCGTGTGAGGGACCGTGCAGGGACGATGCAACCGGGCACACCGTTGACAAGCGCCAACACCCGGTTCACCAGGCCATATGCACTTGGTTTTGGACTTGTTACAGTAGACACAGGCTCGCGCTCGCGCTCTTTCTTTTGTGTCCGAGCCGTTCAGGTTGCTGCTCAAAATGGGAATGTCGGCCATGGCTGCAATTTTGTCGGCCGAGCTCTCATGGTGTGGGAAGCAAGGAACCGTCCTCGTTTGATGGTGTTGAAGTTAAAGAGGTAGCGGACTACACCCCTTCCAAACAGGGCGCCGGCGGTTTTCGGTGGGTAGGTAATTAGACCGAGCCTCTTCAGCAATTGAGAAGCGATGGAGAATCTGTTCGGGACCCACCATCAACAAGCGAAACGTCAACAGTGATGAGGAAAAGGAATGATGACTTGGTTGAGCAAGGACAAGAAGACAACCGCTGTCAGCCGTCATGAGGATCGAAGTCGGGATCGGCAAGGAATCGGCAGAAGTTGCCCTTCGCTAAAGAGGCAAGAACTACAGGCAGGGCATGCAGTCAGCCGTAAATGTGGGAGAAGGGTATCGGCCGTCGGTCCAATTTGCTTGCCGATCCGACGTGTCATCAATACAGCCCGGATACGGCTTGCTCGCATCGGTCTCAGGCCCTTCGTTACGTTTAAAAGGCCGTCACAAACCCGCAATGTGAGTTCATGATACTTTCCAGTCAGAAGATGTTCTTTGTGGAATAACCATTCGTTCTGGATTGAAACAGAAGGCTCTTCTTGGCCAGTTTGCTGTGATCAACGATACCTCTAACCAGACGTGTATCATGTAATACACGTGCACTTACCTGTATTAGACGATTTGCTCGGTGTAATATTGTTATATCACAGCCACATCAAATTGTGATTGGTTGGTTGGGTATGCCCGGCTGCTTCTGGTGGACCCGCTCACGCTTAGACACTCCTTCCCTTTCTGGACGTATAAGTCAGCTTTTGCCGTCGGCTCATCGCTGCACCTTCGTCGTCTGAAGCCATTCCTTCCTTCTTTTCGCACAACTAAGCAGGAGCAGGAGCAGAGTTTTCACGGCACGACTTTGGCTATTTTTTGGTTCTCTCGGTACTGGGGTACCTAGGTACTACAGTACTTGTGAAATCATTCAACACGCACTTGTGCAAACAGGAAAAAAATAACGAGAGCCACCAACAACGATGAATCAACTGCAGCACACAGCCATTGCTCGTTCTGGTTTGCACTTCTGAAGAGCACCGTCAACAACCCCGCATGCGAAATGTCACAGGTCGACCAGTCCACCCATCGTTAACCTAATCTATCACCCACAACTTTGCGGCCTATCTCTGAACAGTCCGCGACATCAAACCTCAAACACCACAAAGCAAGAGGCTGCCGGAGCAACACCTCACATCGCCTGACCAGGCAGCACTTTGAGCCCTAAACAGCGAATTCGGTTAGTTCCACATCATCAAAAAAGAATAGCAAGGATTGAAGAAGCTGGCTTACATGAATCCAGATCTTCATTCACCATGTTCTTGACGGCGCACTTGTTCATCGCCTGCACGTTCTGGCTCTTCAGCGGCCGGCCATTCTCGCAAGCGTTGAACATGCAGCTCGAATCCATCGCCTTCTGGAGCGAGTCTCCCTTCCATCCAAACACGTAATCCGCGTGGGTTCCGTATCCCTTGTTGACGCCATAGCTCAGCACGAAGGGGTTCGATCCGTCTTTTGGCCACATGTTGTTGAACTGGGTCGTATCCCAGAGCGTCTCGTACGCCACCTGCGGCATGCGTACCGGGTGCGATGCTGGACAGGGCCCAGCGGGAGAGAACGCCTTCTTAGCCGTGTTGTACATGTGTGACTGGTGGTCGGGCGAGTCGAGGTTTTTACCGTCCCAGCATGACGGAAAATGGTGCACTGTCATGATGCCGCCCTTACAGGGCTTAGTTGGGAAGTCAGGCAACTCGGGGAAACGCGTGTTCTTGTCAGTCAAGCACACAAAGCGCAGCCCAACGTGGCCCTTGGCGTCGTTGAGATTGTTGGTGGTGGGAGAGCTGACAGTCATACGGAAGCCCTGCATGCCCACTAACGGTTAGTTACGCCTCGCTTACGACCCTCAGCTTGAGATACCCATGGCTAACTGTTTCACTTGCAGGCTTGAACGCAGTGATCTTTTGGTTGCCGTTCGAGTAAAAGTCCTGCTACGTATAGTAGATGGTCATGCCGCCATTGATACCGTTGAGCAGTACAGAATTCTGCATGATGGGCACACGTTTGTAGGTGCCGTTGGGGTGCTTGAAGAACAGGACGGCCGTCCAGTAGTTGGAAAATTCTTCGCTGAATGTGCATTTCCACCGACAATTTGGTGGACATGTGACGACGGGAGACGGCCAGGTTCGACAAGAGGATCAAGACGTTGGATCGAAAGAGTTGAGCATCCAAAACGAAGTGCCGCTTGCGAAGGCCCGACGAGAGCCAAAGTCATCGAAAGCCACTTCATCATATTTCGGGAAATGCTTCAGCAGCACTGCACTGAAATTCTTCGGTAAGCTTGATCGAAAAGAAACACAGACGACCACCATTGAGATCTGGGGCCCGTCCGACCAACGTTTTTATCTGACAACACCAAATCGTCGGTTATCGTTTCAACTATCAAAGGCCTCTCCAGCTCTGCCGTGGATTATTGCCGTCATTACTGGATGGAATCAACTTTCTGCTATTCATCTATTTGAAGTTAAATTCGGGGTATATTGGGGTCTGATCCTGTCCGCGAACAAACTTTTGTCTGTAGGCTAAAAGGCGCCTTCACTTTCATTCGAAGACCAGCACCATGGATAACAATCGCCACAAGGGGAAGTGAGATGCAGTGGGGACCTTTCCCTGTGTCCAATGCTATTCGTCGAAGTTGATGTGCCGGTCCTTCGCCTTGACTCTTTTTCTCAAATGGTGGAGTGCTGATCTCGTCGTCTACATCGAGTGACTCCGGATTCCAAATCTATATATCCATGAGCGACCCATGACCAATGGCGCTCCTACAATCCCGATCCAGAGTCACCAGACAGGCGGCCCAAGGGTGTCTTCATCACATCGCTTTCCGGGTGATTTGTTTGGAGACCTGCCTTGTTTGGTAATTACTCTAAAAACGGCTTCGACTCAATACGGCATATTGGACAATCACGATACCGACGTGTGACGGATGGCTTCAAACGATGATTTCGAGCACGGAACTGACGGGCTGTGATCGATTATGTGTGGAAAATTGAGTTTCACATCACAGGTCATTTACATGACTCATGGCTAGCTGATTCTCACACCCGCCGGAACCGGTTCTAAGTATAGCCCTGGGTACTGTCAGTGTCTCTTCATATCCCGAGAAGCAAAGCGTATGAGGTACATTGCTTTTCCATCACTATTCCAGGGTAGCAAAGAAAGTAAGGGTGTTCAGAAACTAGAGGTATGTACGATGAATGACAAGAGTGTACAGCTTGGCTTCGAGCCGCTCCCCTCCCTACTGCAATCGCCGTTTCTCAATGTCTGTGGGAGAAGATTCATACTATCATCAATAAACAGAACCACCGAGTCCGAATCCTCATGTTACGACAGCTTGATGGCGCCTAAGCTCCTAACATCTTTGCCGGTTCATTGCTTAAAAGCTTAGAATAGCACCGACCTCCTTCGGTACGGTAGCTGCCACATTCGAAGATCCAAGAAGGCTATATGAGTACGGCGGCGAACTGGCGGTCAGGGTACCAGTGGGAGCAGTGTTGTTTGCTCCTCCAAACTCGTTGTCAATCTCGACCGCATACCCTACTTGCTTCGAGTACTCGCTAAAAAGAGGTTTCGTCACGTTCTTGAAGGCGTTGCTCTGAACTAGCACCTGCGCGCGCATTCGCGTATTAATCGCAGTCGACATGCTGCGTGGAACAACTTGTCAGTCTTTGCCTCTCGCGCATGAATTCACATCTGTGTTTCCGTAGCAAATACGATGAGAGGGGCATCGCCAGCTGGACACTTACTTCTCATAGTAGGAGTTGTAAATGTGGGCGGTGCCGAAACGGATCAAAGGACCACGGGAGCCACAATCTTTCCAGTAGTTGTTGGCATAGGTCACATGGAGGTGCCCGGTATCTTCGGAGCCGTTGTTGTCGCTGTGCCCAACAAGGGAGCTTTTCCAGTGATCATGGAAGTAAGTGCTTCACCAATCGGTTAGTTCATTTCCGACCGGCGTGCTGGGCAAGTGTAATCTGATCCAAGCTTACTGAGAGATTGTCACCCATTCGGACCCATGGGAAATATCAACAAGGCCGTCATAAAAGTCCTTATCGCGAGCCAGAGTCGAGTAGAACTCGCAGTGGTCGACCCACACATTACTGCTTTTCTCGATCGTTAAACCATCCCCGTTGTCTGCCTCCACAAAGGATGAAACGATGTTTCGAAGGATTAGGTTGCTCTGCCGGCGAAAATGAAGGCCAACACCATTGAACCCTGCGCCGGGCAAGCCAATAATCGTTTTGTTGCTGCCGATTCTGACCTTCGCATTGCCGTAGACGCGCTATTAAGCTTCCGTGCGCTTATAGGGCTGCGTGTAATATTAAGGCGCAGAAGAGCCTGTCGCCATCCTAGATTTCAAGGCTCCCTGCCCTACAGGCTGCAACTGGATGTTGCCCCTGTTGCTCAACATTTTTTTTTTCGTAGTGCCTTCCATCCCGGTGATGCGCAGGCGGAAAAACCGGGCGAGGATTTGCTGCATTGGGAGTGCAGAGCACGGGTTACAGAGTGGCTCGAGCGGCTTGCTGGGTCGGGCTTCGCCTTAGGCGAAGATATCCATCTAGATCACGTGCTCACGCGATATACCTCAACATGTAGCCAACTGATAAAACCCAATAAGGCAAAGATAATGCACAGACTGCAGAAACGTAGTGGTCAAACGCGGAACGCGAACGTGGGGTGAAACGCAGCCCCAAAGTAAACTGAACGAGAACTTCTCTCCCTTTTACAACTATTCCCAGCACAACCCGAGTTACAGGACTCGATCTTTGCGACTAGATTCGTTTCGTTCGTACGCCGCGCTATCCAACTAGGCATCACCTAGTTGCACCACCGTCGTCTACTTCCCGTCGTGTCATTACTGTTCCGTCCTCCTTTGTTTCTTTTGTGGATCTTCAGTGTCATTTCAACGTGGTGTCTACATAACGCCTGACTCAATATCATATCACTCTTCGACTTTGTTGGGGAGTTTTTTTCGCTTGCGAAGTATTGGGTTTTGGTAGTAGTATCGCGTCGGGGTGTTCTATTGGGGTGACGCGGAACGAGGAGTGGTGAGAGAATAGTACAACACTGTCAAAATGTCTACTACAACTTCAACTTCGGGTCAGAAAAAGGCCGCGGCAAAGACCTCTACCCATACTACACATCGCACCGCAGCTATCCTCTGCGCATCCACGAGTCTTGGTGGCCCATATATCGGCGGCAGCAAACCAGCAAGTGATAAGCAAGAAGCAAAGCCGGCGTTTGTTCTCGAGAGTAACCTGGGTAGCGAAGTGGACGTAACCCTCATTTGGTCGAACCCTCCTGGAAAAAGCGAGTGGGAAGGTTTCGAATTGAGATTCGACCATGGCGCCATTGACGACCTCGAGGCCGCCGGGTTCGGGGCCCGTTACCAGCCCGACGCCACAGATCCCGACAATGCTCGTCTCGAGCTTAGTCGGCAACACATTATCGTTGTGAGTTCTTACCCTCATCGATTTTTATTATGTGTACTAACCTAAAACTATGTATCAGGTCAAACTCCCTAATAAGAAAAGCGAGTACAACATCACCAAGTCCGATATCTCGGATAGCAGCGAACTTCCTCCGCCGATCCGCAAACTTTCCAAGGTTACTCGCGTCTGCATCGATCTTCTCAACGGCGGCAAGTTTTCGGTCGAAGGCTTCGGAAAGCCGTTCGCCAACCCGAACGATGCGAGTGATGGCTGGATTAATCGGAATATGCCGATTATTGGCGACTTGAATCTCCTCCATCTCCTCCGCCGTCGTAGTCTTTCCTTCATCGTCGGTAAGGCCGTTGACAGCGTCCAATTCGGGAAGACAGAGATGAAAATGCCATTACGCTACCCTTTTCCATACCCCTTTCCTGAGAGCCGACCTTTCGATATCGAATCATTCAGAGATATGATCGTGAATAACAAGGTATGTGCCGTGACATATAGTATCCCGTACTTATATAAATTACTGACTTCTTTCGTTGTAGGGACCACGGTTCCGGCCTAGTTTTGTCTTCGACGACGATGCACAGAGTGTTTGCAACACCAGTATGGCTCACATCATGGATACCTTCTGGATGTATGATGCCTCGTGTGAAATCTCCAGGACAAAGGTGCGCGCATACTTTGTTCACGTGGATGACAAAGGGCCGACTACCTCGGGCAAGACCATGTACTTGGCTGTGATTCACCTGGGCGAAATTTTTTGCGACCAATACAAGTCGTATTGGGACCGCTTGACAAAGGACCGATTGGTTTCCCTCAACCTCTGCGGCTTTCAAGGCGTTGATTCGGACAATTCTCTTGGTAAAGGCAGAATTATGCGACGTCCGGAGCTGATAGAAGCACTCAAAGATAAGCATGCCTTCGCGAGGGGCCCCCTCGCAGACGAGTTTAAGTACGACCTTATCGTCCGAGTACTAGTAAAAGACGAGCACCGAAGTTTTCTGAAGACTTTCGAGGGGCGTGTCGAGGCTGAGGCGTCATTTAAGGTTCGTTTCCATTGTATTTTAAAGGACGTGACGAGTTATTGACCATCATATTCTACTAGGCAAGCGCAGCACAGTAGAACAGTGTTACGCTCAAATTTGATGTTCTCCTCGCTGAATTGGAACGGAAGGTTATGGCCGTCGAAACTTTCCTGCCTGGGAGCGCCGCTTGCCCACCAGAAATAGAACCTGACGATGAGCTCAACTTCAAAATGGCCCTCCACCGGGATCTCATGCGCGGTACGGGTTTCTTCGACACTTTGGCCAACCCTTCTCTCTCCAACGCTATAGAAGCTATAACGCTAGGCACCGAAGCGTCATCACTCCGCTCCCTTCCACTCTTCAATTTTTTCAATATTGAAGATCAAATTTTGAAGAGAGAGATCCTAGCAGAGGCACTCCCCTCGGATATGACTAGGATGGAGCTCTACGGGGCTAAGTGTTACTGCAACGTAGCCTTGGTTAGCGCACCTGGTGGCACCGGCAAAACGACAGCTCTAAGTACGCTAACGCTCGGAGGTCTCTACTCTTTGTACGGCGGAAAGGTTTTTGGGTCGGGTCCTACCAATACGGCTGTCACCAATTTTGCATTGAGAATTTACGAAAATGGGTGCAAAGTTGTCGATAGGTACAACAAAAATGCTACGTCCACGCCTACGTCCACGCCTACGTCCACGCCCAGTCAGTCCTACCCCGTTGTTGTACGCGGTTATTCGCCCAAGGTAGAATTGATGGCTTTTATGGCTATTTTGGAAACTGGAGTTGCCAATGATAGCGCATTCAAGTCGCTAAACCCCAAGGATACGCCTCGTTGGCGGCTAGCGCTATCGCCGTCCAATTGGCTATTAGCTATCCTAAAGTCTAAATTCCTTGAGCAAAGTCAAGAACCTAGTATCGTATATACTTTACTCCCACAGCACCCTACCTACCTCCACGAGCTTAGGGGAGAGGTTGACGGGGGTAATGGGTTGGTAGCTCGCATTAAACAGCTTGCCCGTGGTGAGCTACTATGGGAAGCCTATCGTGACGGGGATAGGTTCAATGAGAAGCCTATTTTGGAGAAATGGTTGCAAAGGATTGTCGACGGTGCTGATGTTGTTATGACTACCCCGGCTACAGCACAGGGCATAGGGTTCAAAAGAATTTGGGAGGCAGCCAAAGTTATCGCTATCGACGAAGCAGGTTGTATGCATAAGGCCGACCTCTGCTCGATTTGGGGCAATACTTTAAGGCCTATTATTCTTGCCGGCGATGTCAAACAGCTCCCCCCGACAATGATGGAGCTCGAGAATAAAGACGAGGAGGGTAATTATACAAACCGCTTTGGAATATGTGGCCGTGTTTCAGCTTTGGCCTGGCTACAAGCTGCAGGGATCCCAACATTCCGGCTACTTCGGCAATTAAGGATGTGTAACGGTATGTTCGATGTAGCGAACGAACTGTTTTACTCCGATTACCCCGAGATGCCATACGGCGATTGGTGTAATGCGTCCAACAAGAGCCATTCCGTAGGCGTACAGTTCGAACAGTTTCTCGCTAGCTGTAACCTCCAGCAGCCTTTGACGCCGAGCCCGAGGGATAAGCTGCTACCCGTATTCTTACATATGCCCAACACAAAGGTATACCAGGTTGGAACATCAAAGGTTAACCGGATACAAGTTAAGGATACATTGCAATTACTCTCTAACTTCGTCGAAAAGTCTAACGCGTCCCCAAGGGATTTTGTCGTTATTTCGGCCCATAAGCCGAATGTGGATTACGGCAACAACATGTTAAAGCAATTCCCGCTGTTAGGCAACATGCCGCCTCTACAAACTGCCGATTCCTTCCAAGGCCGAGAAGGCTCCATCTCAGTGGTCATAACCGGCACAAAGGTCGGTTATAGCGCTGGTTGGGTTTCCAATGAGAATCGGCTCAACGTAATGTTGACTCGTCAGAAATCGGGTCTACTGATCGTCGGAGATAAGGATGTCACTGGCAAGCTCGAAGGTTCTAAGAAGGATTTGAGAGCTACAGAGCAGAAGGCAGGGAAAACGCAGGCCTCCTACACAAAGGACGGGGAGCAGGTGTTTTCCAATGTGAAGGCACTTCGGAAGTTGCTGTTGTACATGAAAAAGAATGGACGCATCATCCAGATCAAGAATGAGGAGGACAATGAGGATAAGGATGAGAAGCTTGCAGATGAGGAGAAGAATCTGACCGTGGAGGAAAAGGCTGCCGATGACCTCAATGAGTGGGAGGTGTGGATGAATATGTACGACGAGGAAGATGTCACTGATTGAGGGTGTGTTTAGCGTGCCGCTGCTGGTATAAGAGTGCTCTTCCCGTCTCTGTCAAGGTTGACGGGATCATCAATTAGTATGATATAATACATCAACCCACTGTCTATTTTGCTCACACTCTGTGAAGTCGTGTGCGAGGTTCTTGGTTGATGTTCGCGACGGTTGTCGTCTTTGCTTCCTTTGACGACACTGTCGTTCATTCTGGTACGCACTGTTGCTCTGTCCAGCAACCAGTTGCTCACTCTATCATTATGACTTGTGAAGCACATCTTCCCGTAACAAATTCAAAGGATATTCCTCGTGGAAATTGCACGCCGGTCGTCATTATTGAAAGCCAACCAAAGCTCATGATCAGGCATATGTTCTTGTCAGACTTTCCCAATGTAATTGGCAGCACTGAACGCAAGACATAGCTGGCATGCCCAAGAAATTCCCATGTAATTATAGTTCACGAGAATTCTTGATCTAGTATGAGAGTGCCCCGGAGTGTAACAGCAAAGCCAAGAATTGAATTGAGTATGTTCAAGCCTTCACCCCCACCGCTGCATAATGATGTCGCACAATAGCCAGTGGTCAGTTCGATACAGAAAAAGCACAAGTCAGCTGGCGGAAGTGGCGGCGGTGGTGGTTCGATCGTGAACCCGAGCAACTACGACCAGAGGTGCTCCTTCCCTCTAACACTCCGGCCGCCTCTAATTAATAGGGCATGATCAAAATTGACTACCAGCATGCCAGACTAAGCAGGCACGATGGCTCCTTCCGTTTTTCGAGTCGTGCCTTTTCGAGTTACCCTAATTTGTGGGATGCCCACCCACAACTCCAAATCCTCCGTCGTTCTCTCGTGTCTCTGTGTTGTGTTTGTGATTGTGCGTTCCTTGAAGCTATATCTTTTGTTCACGAGTCGAGCGTGTGATCCTGAGGGCTCCCGTTATTTTTATGTTTGACTTGATCTGGAGCGTATTCCCAAGAGGCAGTCGGTGTATTCAGGGCCCTGTTACTCTTCGACTTCGGTTGGGGAGTATTTCATTGCTTCGGCGTGCTGGGCTCTGAGTCCCGGCTGTCCTCGAGGGCTCTTTGTTGATATCACTACTCTTATTATTATTATTATTATTGTCATCCTCATCCTCCTCCATTACGATGGTTACGAAACGTCAAGGTGCTCGGCCTTCATCCAACCGAGCAGCAAACACCACGAAGCCGGATCCGCGCCAGCAACTCTTGAATGGCTACGTCGGTTTTATCGGGCCAGCTCGTGCCCCTCCGACAGGCCCAACCCGCGCTCGGAAGCGCTCAAAGAAGGATACTGTTGAGTTGGGGTCGCACTCCATCAAGCAGTTTTTTAACGCCATCCCTCCTACCATCATCATCCCTGATTCGGAAGAAGACGTTGATTCCTCCAGTTCCCTGTCAGCGTTTGAGTCTGATGAGAACGATAGCGATGTCTCTGATGCTGAAGAAGACGTTGATTCCTCCAGTTCTCTGTCGGCGTTTGAGTCTGATGAGAACGAGACCCCTTCCTGTTAGTTAAACGCCATCTTACTTATAAGGCTGTATGCTACCGGTGCAGGAGACTAACTGCTCTCAGCATCCAAACCATCCACTACTGCCCAAGATACCACGGCAGAAGGCAAGAAGACTCCGGCCCTGCGCAGAAGTACCAGAGTTGCAAAAAACAAGCGCCCCACGTCCTCCTTTACGCCTGCCCGTTCAAACACACCCGCCCCAAGCCGTGGCAGCCTGCAAGACAGTCCTGATACAAGAAAGCTCCTGGGACGTCAAGATGTCATCGACCGCTTTGTCAACTGCTTCCCTGGCGGCCATGAACGCGAGAATGTCTCCGGCGACGGCTGGTTGTGCGGCCTACGGGCTGTTAGTCGCAGCGTGGAACTGCAATTCGGCATAACAGCTCCTACTGTCGAGGAACTCCATGCTATCGCCCAGGGTCTCAGGATGCAGGCTAAGGAACTTCATTTCTCGGGTGATGACAACGTCAGGTCATTAGACAACAATTACAGTGTCGACCAATTGGCGTGTTTTCTACAACTGTGGTGCGAAGACCATCAGCAAGACTTGGTGCTTGGTTGCCTGATGAGTACAGGGTTGCTCAACCTCTACGATAACGACAATACCACAGCCGATACGGGTATTGTATGGATCTACAGTTCCAACAACGGGCGGGCAACGGCGGACGAATACACCGATCACTACGAAGCTCTCCGTAGGCCGATAGTCCCAAGCTCGCCGGATAGCAAAAACTCTTCCTCTTTATCAAATAAGAGACGTGAGTTCCGTTCATGACATGAGTCTCCGCAGGCAATCAGATTGCTAACATGCTCGCCAATAGCCTCAGACTTCTCCCCGTCCGCCTCCACTGCCGAGAGCTCCGCAAAGAAGCAGCGCGTTGACGAGCCACCATCCAGAGAACGTCATGCCGGCGAGCGTCCACTGCAAATCATAGCGGCAAACAACGATCCGGATCACTCTGATGACAAGATATTCAGTCTGGAAAGTCTGGTGCACAAGAGCTACGAGGCCTTTGTCGACTTTGCCGGAAAGCGCCCCTTGAGCATGAAAGAACATATTCCAACTACAGCCGTGGTCGAAGACACGTACTTCAGCCTGGATTGGAATGTCGACCCCAACCTCGGCACAATCCTCAACTCCCCAACCCCTCCCACTTTGTCGACGTTGAAGTCGTTGACCGAATTCTCCTCCGAAAATAAGAAGGTTTTTGCCGTTTATCTCTTGATCCTGGAAAAACTGGATTCGGAAGAATCGCCATTACTCTATGTTGGCACGGGAACAAACGCGACTCAGGGCGTACACCATCGATTCCGTCAGCACAACGAGGGAACTAACATACCCAAACATGCGAGACCCGCATTGCAAAGTGGCTATGAGATCACGCATAGGAAAATCTTGATATCAGCATCACTCCCAGATCCTCTTTCTGTATTCCCAACTCGCGCAGTATTCCTAGTACTTGAAACTGCCTTAACGTACGCCTTCTACGCGTATGAGGACCAAAGGACACATCCAACTTTGACAACACAGCAATGGATTGGTTCTTCGATCCCTTGGAAGGGTTTATGTTCGAACGACGCATGGGGAGATGGGCTACGTGTAGACCACCAACCAGCAGGCATAGTATCTAGGGAAGAGTGGATGGAAGTCAAACGTCAAAACAAGATCGAGTACCAACGGTTATATAAGGTCGAAAGGCTTAAACCAATGACTACCGAAAAGAGAGATGAAAGAAATAGGAAAAGAAAGGAGAAAGAGGCAAATCAGTCTGAGGCAGAGAAAGAAGCAAGACGTAAGGCCGCACGGGAGGCGCGGTTAAGGAGGATAGCAAAAATGACTACCCCAGAGAAAGAAGCCCATACGAAGAAAGGGACGGAGTCGAGTGGTAGATGGAGAAAAAACAAAAAAGAGAAAGACAAGAAAGACTAGACTATATAGTTCGCCCAAACGTGTCTGGTTTTAATTCGCCGCCTGGCAGCTTCCTCGTATTCGTGAAGTGTAGTGCTTGACGCCATCCAAGTTGACAACCCGACATTGAACGCATTTCCACCGACAATTTGGTAGAGCGACCAAAACAGTTACAGCCAAGGCGAACTTCATCGTTGTGCCGCAGTACTTGAGGAACTCGATTGTGTGCAATGAGCAGTACGTAATTCTCCTTATTGTTGAAGCGCAAGAAACATGCATTCGTCCTAAGGTTATATACTTGCTTACTCCTCTAGACATACACGCATCGCTTGTTTCCCCAAGCAAATCGTCTCACCCTCAGCGACTGGGCATTTCTGGCAGTAACCTGTAATGGTCAGTACCTCACTCCACATTATTCCGTCGCTGGCGGATAATTATCTCCATGGGTGCCCCTACAATTTAAAAACCCTTACCAGCATGATACCACAGCGTGTCTGGCGTTTCGGCATGGGCACGAATTGTTCCTGAATTATCCACCAATCCCCAACTCCTGCCAAACTTCACTTACGTGTCGTGGCATTTAACGCCTTCGATGAAGGCTTCTCCGAAACGCATCGTTACATGCAATATGGAGAACAGTGGATGGATTTGAACCAAACGGAAGATCATCCGCGACCATGGCCGACTTGACCGAGTTCGGTATGCTTCCCATTCCTTGCCCTTGGCTAGTTACGACTCAGATGTAACGCACGATGCGTCCTGGAAAGAACAACAAGATATTTCAATCTGGCATCTGGCAATGAAAACAACCTGATTATAATCAACTACTCTATCACACAAAAGAACAGTAAACCTCGATAGTAATGGGAATCCGAAGCTCAAAGCAGACTATTCAGCCCGTCATCGGTGGCTGTTCTTCTTTATATGTACCCGGGTCGTCTCCTGATCACCTTCACTCTTCAACCTCTAACCTTCATCTTGGCAATCACATCCTTCTGGATGGTAAACCAAGAACCCCAGACCTTCCACTCCTTGGTCGGGTCTGCCAACTCAATCTCGAATCTGTGCAAGAGCGTCGCACAAACCTTGTACAGCTCGAACATGGCAAAGTTCCTGCCAGTGCAGATGCGCGAACCATTACCAAAGGTCAAATCCGCCGCGTTCCATTTCTGCATGCGAACATGGAATGCCTCATCATCTTCGCCAGGCTGCTGCAGCCAACGCTCAGGACGGAAAGTATCAGAGTCCTCGCCAAAGATGCTTTTGTTACGGCTAACGACCCAAGGGTTAAGACCAACAGCGGTACCGGCAGGAACAAAAGAGCCGTCCGGAAGCGTGATGCCGCCGGCGGGGACGTAGCGCTCAAGAAGCATGGCAGCAGCAGGGTGGATACGGAGAGCTTCGCGAACGCAAGCTTCAAGGTAGGGGAGCTGGCGAGCACCGGAATAGGGGACAGGCTTGGAGCGGTCAAAACCAGCGGCTTGGATCTCCTCGGACACTCTGTTGTAGACGGAACGATTCTTGAGCATGTAGTAGAAGACAGCGCGGAGGGCGATGGCAGTAGTGTCGGCACCCGCGAGCAGGTTAACAAGCACATCACTGATGATCTGGTTGTCATCAACGAGGTCCGGATGAGTCTCCTTGGAGTCGATGAAATGCTGGAGGTAATCCGGGTTTTTGGGGTCATAGTTCTCGTCCTTGCCCTGCAGGCGAGCAACGAAGGACTGGACGGCGATGCGAGCAGGGTGGACCAAGTTGGGGGGTCCGACACGCTTGATGGGGTTCTTGTCAAGGAAGTAGTCAAGGATGGGAATCTGACCGACCGTCTGGAAGTAGCGAAGGGCGGCCTCGGCTTTCTCAATGGTCCCATCGAAGTCACTGCCGTGCTCCATGTAGCCAAAGCGACGGCTGAAGGTCACGGAGCTGATGAGGTCCCAAGCGTCTGGAGTTGAGCACGGTGTCAGTTCATCTGCTCTTTGGACACATTTATTGGTATCCGGCGATCCGAGGGAAACTTACGGTATCCGAGCCATTCGCCGAAGTCAAGTTCCTTAGGTCCACCGGGAACATTGATAAAGCGCTCCTCCACATACTTGCAGAAGTCGTTGAGAACAGCGTCGACATGGGGCTCCAGAGCCTGAACATAGCTCGTCGAGTAGTACTTGGCCACTGGACGCTTCATCTTGGCATGTTCAGTAGGGCTCGTCGTGCTGAAGATATGGTATGTGATCTTTCCATTGACGATGGCGCTGTTGTTGTGATAGAACTCGGTCTAATCATCGTTTTGTCGTTAGTTGATGGCTTTGCAACAAAGGGTTTGTCAGAAACATACCTTGAGCCATTTGCCATCAGTGCTGTAGATGGTCTTGATCAACTCGGGGTAATCGAGGTCGAGAGTGTTAGGGCCGATACGGACAATGGGCCCGTACTTCTTGTGTAGGTCATAGACGATCTCATGGTATCTGCCAGTCCGAGTCTGATAGAGTCGCCACCAATTGGTAAAACCTGGAACCAAAGAAGACAATGGTCAGCGACGTACTTCCTCACCCACACACAACGAGATTTGAGAATATCTATTTCACATACCTGCAAGGAAGGGGCCCGGGTACTTCTTTAATGGGTTCGTAGCCCACGAGATAACATACCATCCAAGAATCGACAGGATGGGAATGACAACAAGAGAGATGAATGGCGATGGGAGAGTCCTCAACGTCAGTTTCAGGACTTGCGGTTGGAGAACTCCATCTAAGCCAGCGTGTGAGTCCATGGCTACAAGCTGTAGGAGGTTGGCAGTCGATGATCAAGCTGTGTTGAACTTCTCCAGAAGGAACGTGTTCCCCGGGCTTCTTATAAAGGAAGGTCACGTCGCAGTGCGCGTGGTATTCAGGGGGGGCCTGGAAAAACAAGAGTCCATAAGAGTGGTGGCTGTCCAGGAGATGAAGAGATTGACATTCGCCAACATGTCCGGCCAACGCAACCGGAATTTTCAAAAGCCTCGAAGCCCTCCCTGCCTATCCCCATTTCGAGAAGGTTATGAATACGGACTGGCATGGTGGTGTACGTTATCAGGCCCATGGGGGTAGTATCGGCGGGGTCCTGAAGCCAGGATTTCTCAACCGTTACCAAACTTCGAACTCGAAGGATGCATACAGGGACACTAGTGAAGCTTTGCAAACATTGCAAACGGGGATCAACAGCATTGCGGTGGAAGAAAAAGGAGTGGATCTTCGCTGCGGGCTCCAGACTCGAGCATTTCCCCCAGTGCCCAAGACTGGCACCAGTTCATGCACTTCAATTAGCGTGTTGACGTTGTATCTGCACCAAGCGAGTTGGTCTATCGGACGGTGTTGAAGGTGGATACCCCTGAGGTTAATGAGAAGAAGCAAAGAAAATCATTGTCTGGACTATCAAGGTTATAACATCCAAGACGCTTGACTGGTCACTTCAGTTATGTGACTTTATCAGTTCGAGGTCTGGGAGTCAGCCAAGAAAACGACATCCCCCCAAGACATTTACTCTAGGAAATCACCCTTCCAGTCCAATCTCGTTCGACACTATTAGTACGGATGAGGCCTGGCCCAACGATACTGTCAAAGTAAGCGAGTTACTACAACGACATTCGACTACACTCGATGCGGACTACACTGCGACTTTCATATCCGTTCTTCCGCCGCAACCTTCACTCATTGCTACGGTATGTTTTCACCTTTTTGGGACCGGACAGACTCGTACCCCCTGGTCCATGCAAGATGTTTATAGTGTACCTAGTGTAGTGTAGTGCACACACTACACTAGTGTACTCGTAAAACGAGAATCTGGGCCTCGACAGCGGTCTACGAATTCCCCGTCCCCGGACCAATGACAATGCCGCTTGTATCGGACCTTTCCCAAAGGGAATACTGATCTTATTTTTCCGCTATCCGCTGGCTTTCCCCTGAGAGGCTGAGACATCCCGGGGCAGGGCGCGCCTTGTGGACACAAAAGCCGTTGAAGGTTACACAGACGTATAGAGCGGGCCGGGCCAGGCACTTGACGCCATCTTTTGATTGGCCAATGCCCGAAACCGACGTGATGAATGTGATTCGGGTCACTGGCGTACAGCTGTCTGTCGCCTTCAACGTTCTCGGGGAATTTCTGGCATTGAGACGCTCACGTGAAGTGTATGTATGCAGGAGTTGGAAACTGTTGAAGTTTTGAGGTGGATGGTGGTTGCTAACTCGCTGCCCGATGTCACATTTCACATCATGCATTTTGCTTTTTTTCTTCTGCGCAGTTTCCGGCAAGAAAGTCATCACGCTATCATAGCAATGCTCGGCTAAACAAACCTAGGTAAGCTTTCGGGGCCAATCGCATTAGGGCTGTAGCCTTGCCAGGTAAGAAGCCAAGAGTGAGCTAACGCCTTACAGCCTACCCCTGGCTTGTGTGTTAATGCGGTACTTGCAGAGGGTCTTGTAACCACTTTCAGGATGGCCAGGCGGGATCGCTGCCGTGAATAGCGTCCATTTGGGCCGTTACTCGCTGTACACTACACGTACATGGACTCAAGTTTCGGTGCATGTGAGGGGAACATGACCGTTTGTGGTTCATAACCCTGACTCTGGGGTCATATTGACCAATGAGAACTCCAGGTTTTCCTTGTCTTCCCCCTTATCCGAGGAGGTAGCAGGTCTCGAGCTAACAGTCAATCCAGCATTGACCTTGCACAGTACGCAGACGGGAAGTGTTCCCCGGGGGACTTGACAGTATTCTCGCACTATGCTGAATGCACTTCAAAGAACTGTCGAGAATAGCACTCTCCGGTAGTGCCAAAGATTGAATTTGACGGCATGGGTGTTCCTCTTCATCAAGCCCTCGAGACACTCGACCGGACGGAATGGCGGCAGACCGCTGCTTTTGCCATCTCGATGCCTACAGCATCATGGAAGAGGCTTGGTGGCTTGCTCAGTTGTGATACTTGGTTGCCTAGAAGCCCCCAAGTAACCTGTCCTTTTTTCCGAAGACCTAAAGAAACCGTCCCCCCATGAATCCCCCTGGTGTTGGCGTCCCAAGATACGATTTCGCCCCCACCCTGTGCGCCATGCCATCCACCGCCTCTGGGCTGTTCCGAGCGTCGTTCTCAATAATTCCAGACGTGTGGCTTATCTTGGACATCTGGATTCTGTGGTACAGTACACGACCTGAAAAGACGGTATTCGCTGCCGCATACCGGTTCAGGGCATCATCTGTGTAATATACAACATCACCACTTCTCACCTGGCCGACCATGCTTTCGGGTACTTACACGGAAAGGATCGACCCAAAGAGTATACAAGCCTCTCAAACTTTACCCAAAACATCATCATTTTCCGGTTTTCGCACATCAGAATGAGACATTCGCTGCACCTTCAAACCTTCTATCTCAGGTGCCAAGGATGCCAGACATATCACAGTTGAAGTGACTGGGATGATGATCCCAAACCCAATCCCCGACCATCTCCCACATTACCAACATCAAACCTGGCATTGTAACTGGACTGGACGTCTAGGTTACCATACATATACATATCATGCATGATGAGGCGGGAGAATGGCAAGGAGTTTGTCTCCGGTTAGGTTACCGGCATGGCCTTGCCGCGGAAGACGACATATCTGTCCGGTGAACATGGGTCTGGACCTTTGACAGGGAACTCAATATGTAACCCTTGCTCGCAAAAAAGATCACGACAATTCCTTCAAGCTCACTGGCCTCGCTGGGCAGACTCTAAAGCACGTCCAGTATCTGTACGATACTAACAATCGCTCTGATGTCCACTCGAGGTCCGACTAAATTATGCTCATGTGAGTAAAGCGGATATACTACGGATACGAATACTTTTATGTTCTTCATCTAACGACCGTTTCCACGGCCGGGTTGAATTGAGCCATTCCTATCCTCGTCATCGGTACACATATAACCCATGGTGTTCTGAAAGCACCTCAAGCTCACATATACAGAAGTGATGGGAACAGGCACATACATGTGTGGTTGACATAACGCCGGTTTAGATGCACGATCTGGCCAATGTTTACATCTTCCTCAGATATGTGGTACGTGCAGGTAAACCGCGGTTTTCAGAGCCTGAAACCGACACCATGTCGTGAAGAATTTCTCATCTCGTGTTCCATTGGACTAAATGTTCGATGTAACTCTTTTCTTCTTCAGATTCTACAGGGGCAGCTAGGGTTTATATCCCCAAAATCTGGTTGCCTACAATCCAGCCCCTGGGTCGGCTATCCTAGAGCATATCCACACCTCGATGACCTAAAGGAGAGTGGTGCAATGGTCGTTTATGTTCTGGGGATCAACGTATACTTTCCGAAGTTGAGCCCTAGTGTTGCCCACCTCGCACTTAACCCCGTCACACTCCAGCTTCCCGGGCCATGGGGGTGGGAAAGTAGCTCCACCTCCACCATCCGGGTACTCTCATGGATATCGCATCCTCTCGCTTGAACCGGAGACATCCCCACGCTGGTTCAAACCAATTACATTACATTCTGGAAGGGGGCCTACGCGCTGAGATTTCAACGGGGCTTGCAGAAGATAATTGGATTGGCCAGGACAGCATGGCGATACACTTTGAGTGAGAGGATACGGTATTCCATCTTCATTTTTTGAGGTGGCAAGGTTGAGGATTGCGTGTGAAGACCGCAGACTTTACATAACATCGGTCCTGAGTTTCCAGAAGGCCAACTCCCCTTGCCTTGAGCCCCCACACGTTTTTCGGGTGCACTTTCCTGTAATACAAGCTAACTGACTACGTATTAGTAGGGAGAGAAGAAAAAGCACACATGCGGTTTCTTCCTGTCTGCCATATCACAAACACTCATCTAGAACAACCACATACACCCTGGACACCCGGCAGTCCCTCCTCTACACCACCCAGTCGCATTAATGGCTCCGTGGCGAGGGCAAGCCGATTTCCACCCAACTAGGCGTTTAGGATACCGAAACCCGAATCACTCTCCTTTCTTATTCCTGACGTTCATTCTTGTTCATCAGGACCAAGGCTTTTGATGTCTTTTTTCAGTATTAAATCCATCCTCCGGCACGGTGGCTTGTGCATGTCATGTCCGGTCTTCTCAACGCACTGCTCCTTTCTACTTTTTTTTTTGGTTGCCATTCTTTGTTTACTTACCCCCTTAGAAAACAGTACCCACCAGCCGAAAACGACTAGTAACCTCACATCATGGCAATGGGAGGTGAGGGCCCCGGGGCTATAACCGTAATGTGGGTTATGGTCGCACTTACTGCACTTTGCGTCAGCCTACGATTATACGTTCGTACTATTCTTGTGGCGAATACGGGTTATGATGATCATGTTTATGTTCTTGCGTTTGTGAGTATACACTGGACAACAACATGCACTTTTCAGACTCTCTCTCTTTCTACTCCATCTCTGCTGCTGGAAGGTCAAACATTAACCCTGTATACCTTCTTCTTATCTAGATATTACTCGTCGGCTACACAATCTGCTGTACCATAGCAGCCCACTACGGTTTTGGGCAAAACATGTGGGACATCCCACCGGAAGATGTCCCTGGCGCCATCATGTGGGAGGCTATCGGCCAGTGCTTCGCCGTTATCGGCATGGCTTTGGCAAAATGGTCGTTGGGACTCTTCCTGTTGCGCCTGGTCACCCAAACATGGCACAAAGTTAGCATCTGGCTTATGATGGGATCGCTTATGGGCGCTTCAATCTCCGTCTGCTTTGTCTTTATGCTTCAGTGCTCGCCGCCGGCGTATCTCTGGGATCGATCGATTCCTGGGGGTCATTGTGATTTGAATGCTACACCAGTTTCTTTGACGCTTACTAGTATGTTACCTACCTCTTCCATGTTATGTCCAAGTTTTGCGGTTTGCAACGGGGAGAGTGTCCCCGGTTGCCAGAGAGAAGAGATGATGAGAGAAAGTGTGCTGACAAAATCCGCAAAGCCCTCTGTGTCATTGCCGATTTCTTCTTCGCTCTCATGCCTTGGATCTTCCTCTGGAAACTCAACATGAATCAACGAGAAAAGATGATCATTGCCATCAGCATGAGTCTAGGCGTCATGTAAGTTCACCCACTCACACACATCCACCAATCCCTAATACGCCCCCCCCATTTTACATCACTTCTTCCTCTCTCTCCCTCCTTTCCAATCAAAGCTTCGACAACTAAGATTCTGCTCAACAGCGCCGGAGCCTGCGGCATCAAACGCACCCTCCAAGTTCCCAACCTCTCCACAAACAACTACTCGCACGACACGGTCGGCCTGATTGTCTGGTCCTCAGCCGAGATCGCCATCACCATGATTTGCATCGGCATTCCCGTGTGCCGACCACTTTACAAGTCCTTCTTTGAAAAAATCATCTCCTCCCGTAACGGTAGTGGGGGGTACCAAAAACAACAGAGCGGCGGGGCCAGTCAAAGCCTTGGTCTGCGCACGATTGGTGGTGGCGTCATCCCTGGCAGGTCTGGGGGGCATGATAGCAAGAACAAGTCCAGACCGGGTAGGGATGATGAGTCGGACGAGTTTGAGCTACAGAGAGAGAGAACGATGCCAGATAGTAGTGGGAGTGATGGGCTTGGACTTGGACCTGCTGGAGCAGGGCAGAGTCCATTCAATGATGCGAATGCGATTTCGGGTTCCACCGCGACGGTAGCGGTGGGACGAATGGGTGGGATGGATAACAGAAGTGAGGAGTCAATTTTGGGCGAAGAGTATCGGAGAGGACATGGAAAGAGCAATGGTGACTTGGAGAGGGGGGAGGGTCCTGGTCCCAGACAAGCACAAGGAGCAGGACACCGGGGAAATAAAAGAAGCTCGGGAGGAAAGGCGGCGGTGATCCAGGTTACGGAGGAGTGGCATGTCACGAGGGAGTGAGTGACCTGACTTGCGCTGGGTATTATTGTCCGTTTCTTGGATGTTGTTATGGGGCCGGTGATAACAAGGATGGCGTTTTGTTTGGGCAATTGGACATCAAAAAGATGGAAAGATGTGTTGCATCACTGCGGTCAAAGTTTTGTTCTGGGACAGATACCTTTGGGTTGGCTATTTGTTTCGTTCTGCTCTTTCTTTTGTCTTCTCTTCCTTCTTCTTCCTCTTCTTTTCGATTTCCTTTGTACGTTCAAAGAGTTTACGTACTCGTGCTTCTGTTTCGGGCTCCGGATCTCGATCGTCCCCAACCAATAAGGGAAGGATCACATATGCTAACGGGATCGACTGAAAAGTCCTCCCTAAAGAAAGGCGAATTTCACCTCTGTCACTCCGCAATTGCGAGCCTTGACGTATTTCAATGACCAAGACTTATCTTATGAAGCATCAAACGTGGTTGGATTGAATAGAAATGTATTTTTTGAAAAAGCCTCCGTCCATAAAATGTGTGAAATTATAAAATCCACAGGCAGAAAGTCTGACCCCCTTCACCAGCCGCCCGGTCCACACTACGTGGTGGAGGGACGAAACCTCCCAAACATCAAAAAGTCACAACTCCAAAAATGATGTTACCAAAAGAGAAAAAGGAAAGGAAAAAACAGAAGATCATGAGCTTCATCAAGATTGGATGCCCACAGCCAGAATCGAACTGACGACCTCATCATTACTAGTGATGCGCTCTACCACTGAGCCATGCGGGCTTTGATGGTTATCCTGGCTTTGAAAATGGGGTTTTATCCCTCATGCTCCACCGGGTCAAGGTGGTAACTTGGACTAGTTCGCTCGACTCCTATAACATAACTGGACATTTTTGCTATCAGGAGTCCAACCAGGCCGGTAGTCACTTTTCGGGAGATTCAACGTATACCGATGTTGTCGGATCGGAGCGCATTCCGTTCAAATTCATCGGCCACCGGCGAAATGGGTTCACCTGTACATTTCGCCTTACAGGTGTGGTGATTGAAGGTAGTGGCGCCGACACAGGATCCATAATTTCAACCACACTTTCGACAGTGTCTTTGTCGACCGTATCATCCACTTAAATTCTGGACGAGGAGTCACCAGCACGGGAACACAGATCGACAACCAGTCAGAACAAACAATTCCGGTTGAAGCGATAAGCAAGGGGTGGTCAATAGCAAATACAAGTACCTCACCACATTAGCTGGCATAGGCGCTGGAGCAGGCATGTCAGTAGTCATAATTGCCTGCCATATATCCATCCCTTCTTGTTTGTGAGGGCAAGGCAGAAAAGTGGAAGAGGGGCCGCTGATGCTGATCAGCCTGGCCAGATTCCGGTATCAAAGTACAAGGAAGCAAAGATCAAGGTGGCAGAGCTGCATGGTCGGGCAATCGCGGACAGAGCAGAGCTTTACAGCCCGGAAGAGCCGCAAAAATTGGGATCTCAAACGGAAAGACACGAGATAGGGGGTGCGAGATCGGTGAAATGGATTGAACTTATACTGTTCATTACAACTAAAACTACGATTAGCACTACAATGGGAATGATAAATGCAGTCGAGGATGAAAGCTATAAGTAACTATGTTTGTCGCTAGAGACAATCGGTCCTTGTTGGTTAGAGGCTGAAATTTAATGCTGCCGGTGCCGAATACTTGTCCTCGACCGTGGCCGAGATCGAAACCCAGGTTGTGATTGAGATGGTTGAGGCTGTCCCTGTCCTCGAATTTTCCTCGAATTTTCCCTGAAACTTGAGGCTGATTGATAAGATATTGTTCGAGTTGTAGTGAAAATAACTGGTCGGTAGGTAAGGCATAGGGTGAACATAGCCACCGTGTGCCGTTCCTTTAAGGACCGCTTTCTCCTTGTTCCTCGCTGTGAACTTGGCTTCTAGTGGCATATCTCTTCCCATCTTCCTCGGCCGCTCCCCCGCGCATGGTCTGTTGGCTTTCCCTATCAGCGACGGCCCGAATAACTTGCGAAGGGTTGGCTTGGGTAGATGAGATTGTTACAGGTATTACGGGCGGCATGGGAGCAGCAAGTCCCAACTCGTTTTGACGATGAGAGCCAGGTTCTGTTGAAGCCAGATCCCGAAAGCCAGCCATTGAAGGCCTTTGCAGGTGGCTTGGGTGTGAACTAGCATTTGTAGGATGCCCTCCGATCACCAAGGACGGCATTGGAATCTGACTTTGGATATGATTTGAGGCAGTTAGTGTTCCTGAAGTAGAAAACGATGCATGCTGCTGTTGACGGGTTGTCCCAAAGAGATTCCGGCGTGTCGGCAATGATTGCTTGAAGCTGCTACGAGATGATGTATGGTCTGTAGCGTTGTCACCAAAGGATATTTCCTGTGATAACTCGCGATGACGTCTCGTAGGTTCGGAGAAGTTCCGCCCCAGGGTGTGGGGACTTGTGTGCACCGGCGGCTCTGACCGTGGAGTATCCGTAAACGTGATGCTCGATTGGCTGGTAACCCTTCGACCTCTGACTTTGAGAATAATTCTTGTCTTCCTTTGCGATGCCGGAGTTTCGGGCGCGGGAGGAGTCACAACTGCGACTGGTCTTGCCTCTTCCCTTTGGATCGTCACTGCTGTTGGCACTTGGTTGGAGTTGCCATTACCAGCAAGAGCATTATGAGGGGCAACACTCGAGGCCCCTGCCTCTGTGACAACTTGCACCTGCCTCTGTATTTCCGCAGACATTTCATGTCCGGAGCCAGAAGGGTTAGCAACAACGGGGGTCGCTTGACGATTGCCTCTGGCTGTCGTAGGAGTTGTATTTGCGGCTGGCACAACGGAAGGTGCCTCGCTGGGAAGCCGAGAACTGTAGATGCTGTTACTTCGCAAGGTACGAGCTTCACTGACATAACGTAAACCGTAGGCGGAGATAGCTGGCTCCTCGTCATGAGCTTGGCCCTGTGCCGGTTGCCGTCTTCGGAGACGAGCTTCCATTTCGTCTTCCTTGTCTATGGCGTCGAGTGTGGCCTTGTTGGCCGCCAGAAACGCGGCGGTTCTTTCTTCGAGGGTAGGTGACCCCGAGGATGTGTCGAGCGGCGGTGGTTTATGAAAGGAAAGATCGATGCCGATGGACAGCAAGTAGTCGTTCGTCGGTGAATTACGGGACTGGGATTCATCGGCTATTGAAGCTTCCTGGTCTACTTCATTAGCCGATGACGAGGGTTGTCCCTTCTGTTGCTGTTCTTTATCATGCCTCGTCGCCCTATTCATGCTTGAGTCAATGTCCATTGGAACAGGAGCAGACGAAATGGCTCCAGTGGAAGGAGGGGGCTGCTGCACAAGGGTCGCTTGACCCCTAGATGTCTCTCTAACTCCTTGTCTATGTTCTTCTCGGTTGCCGACGGAACTCCCCGCCACTTGATCGAGTGTCGGCCTTGACGGTTGTCTTTCCTCGTTACTCTCCAATGTCGGCCTAGCCGGAGGTACCGCTTCATTTTGTCTCTGAGCCTTCCGCATGGCTTCTAGCTCATGATTCCAAAGTCGCCGCGCTTGCAGATCCTGCTTTAAATGCACGGATTCGCCATTCAAACTGACCGTATAGTGATCTGACTGCGGAACCAGCAGCCCAAAGTCAGCAAGCCTTCTCGCTGCTTGTTCCGCCTCCTGAATGGTCAAGACTTTGCCGTTCTGTACGCTCCTGTCTGTAAGCTCCAATACCGAGCGATTCACCAGGCCCAGAGGTGGAGGTTGCATCGATGCTTTTGCCGCCTCTGCTCTTCTGGCGTTCTCGATCCTGGTCGCCCTTTCTTGCTCTTCCTTCCAGATGCGTCTTAAAACGTTGCCTGCCACTTCAGCTGGTATATCCCCATCCAGAAGCCGCCCGTTAATCTTGATGACATGTCGTCCTTCGTTGCTGTCCCGGCTGTTGCTGACCCCCACGTACTCCGCCAACCACTCCGCCACTTTGTGCAGACCCATGAACCGTAAGAACGCTTGGCCCTGGCGGATGTCCTCAGAGGATACGGAGTCGGTGACAAGACCTTGCGGTTTGAGTCGGTCTAGGGCGCCGCGGACTGCATCGATATCCTCGATTGCGGCCAGCTGATTGCTGAGGCTGTCTAGGACGATCATCTTGCGGGTTTCATGGTTGATCAAATACAGGAGAGATATAATTTCATCGGTGGAGAGGGACAATAACGTGCTCAGCTGCGCAAACGAGTATGGTGGTTCATGGATGGCTGTCAGATGGTAGGTGGTAAGGTATTGGATGTTCGCAGGTAGAGACGACCAGGTGGGAATTGCTACGCGTGCTGTGTTGAGTATCTGCTCAAGAGGCCTGATTAGCTGATATTTTATAAACAACCTGCTTCTATATCCTACCATCACTGTCGGATTCTCAATTTTTCTGGCATCGCTACCCTGAAGAAGTCTGTTGAGATCTTGGGATACCTGTGTAGGCCCCAACGTGCTCTGATTCCGGGACGCATCCCAGAGCACAGTCTCTTTTCCTTTGCCCTTTTCTGCTGCTGTCGGCCGTCGCGGACTCTTTGCCCGTATGGATATTGTAAAGACCCAACGCGGTTTAGGAAGAGACACAACCAGCTGTCTGGTTGATCGAGACGAACTCCCACCGCCCATAACCGTATCCCCATCGGCATCCTTTTGATTCTTCCCTTCGGCAGACGCCGACGCCGGAGCCAGAGGCAGAAGCGGTCCCGGACTCTTCTGCCCCTGGCTACTAGCCAAACTCTGAGCATGACTCCTTGCCCTCTCGACAGCAGCCACCGCCTCTTTCTGCTTCGTATGGTTTGCGTTTCTCACGCTGAGTAGCAGTCTCGACGTCCTCATGAGCGTATCCCTTTGCTGAACATGGTCGTCTTCGTCTTCGTCTTCCTCCTCCTCCTCTTCTTTTTCCTCATCCTCTTCTTCAGAGGAAGATTCACCAACTGCCCAAACAAACTCCTGCTCACGACCTCTCTCCCACCTGACCCTTTCCTCTGGAGTATTGGCATACTGAACGCTAACACCGCGCGACCTTCCCCTGCTTCTATTATCGACCACGCCGCCGGGAAACTCCCCAATATCCCTACGCCCCACCACTTGCTTCCTTTGCTTCAGTTGCGCAAGACGCTCATGGTACAAGGGCTCATACTCTACCATCCGCTTTACTTCCTGTTCCCTTCTCGCCTGTCGGTAGACCTTGTACACCTCGCTCGGTCCCAGCCCGACGTGGGTAACAGGGTCGAGAGAAGGAAAAGCGCATTCCTCGACAAGTTGAGGGTCGAAGGGCAGGCGGGTATCGATGGGTCTGTGGGGAGGCGAGGGGGGCTCGAAGTCGGTGAAAGTGTCTTCTTCCTGCCCAGAAACGTGGAAGCCATAGATTTTGGGGGGCTTACGGTTGCGCTGGGGACGATCTTTTCTTTGGGAGGCCATTTTTTTGGTTGTTGGTGTTGAAGAAAGGAGAAAGGCTCGCTTTGTGAGAACTGCGAGGGCGCGATTGTCAAAGAGTTGCGGGTGACAGTTGAGTTACCTTCCAGCTGACTCTTTGCTAAAGAACAGGAGCGAGGTGTTCACTCGGGGAAGGAATCTGTTGCTGTTGATCCTCTTCTTTCCTCTGACAGATTATTTACCTTACTGTCAGCTTGAACGTGTGCATAATTTTGTTTGGTTTGGGGGTTGATGGGCTGGTTTGTGGAAGGAAGGCAACCAACTATTGTGTAGCAAGCCTGATATGATATTTGCTGCGCAAAGAGGAAGCTAAAGGTAGAGAAGATGACGCCCAAAGATGATGATGATGGATATCGAGGCTGAATTTTTTTTTTCTTTTTGGAGAGACAAGTGCGTGGAAGAAAATCCGGAAGTTGTGACTTAAGTTTAGTGTCTTCTGGACCTGTTTACTTACCTGATCAATAAGATGGGAAGCGCGTCATCTTAGAGTTAGGACTTGACAGGAAAGAAGCGAATGCTGAAGATTGTTGCTCGTTGAGGCGTGTCGTAGTAGGAAGCACGTGTGAAGACGGGAGTTTGGTCGTTGCAAGCGCGTGGGTCAGAGGACGAGCAAGTGAATGGCCGCGAACGTAGTCATAACGGTCCGTTTCCAGGATTCCAGACCGTTAAGGTTTGTTTGTTGATGGGTCATTGTGAGATTTCATCCCATGTCTGACACTCCCACCGTGTTCCGTAATTCCCAGTGTTTTCATGGTTCAATAGGGCCGGCGTAGTTGGCAGAATGGAAGGTGGGGGTATGTAAGTTCTGCTCCAAGGGGCATATGCTTGACAGACTTGCTGGGGAACCGACGAGTAACGGTCACATCGATTTGGAGAATATTTCCTGATCGACCATGATGTGAATTTGGAGATTTCTGGCGACACGAAACCTTATATTGAATTTTTCACAATCTCAACCCTTCATACTGAATGAGGACGCAATGCCCCCTTTGGGTATGAAGTGTTTGAATTTCCTTCGCAAGGCTTGAATACGCCAAACTGATAGCAGCAAGGACCAGGAGCAAATAACGTACTTTTCTCTCGCCTCAGCTCTAGAACAGTTCAACCTCTCGCTTCTGGATCGTGACATGGCATCTTCGGTCGACACCTCGTATCATCTGCTTGCGGTTGCTGATAATCATTGTAACAAATGACGCTCAAAGCCATAGGCTAGCTTGGCCTGTTTTCTCCCTCGTTGTTTCTGTGTTCCGCCCCACGGGGAGGCAGATCCAGAAAGGGTGCAAAGTTCCTCCCCCGCGCTTGATGGATTGTCTCTTCAGACGACGAGCTGGCGCCCTTGTAGTTGCCCCATATCTCCTCATCTTCATCGTCACTATCATCATCGAAGCCGACACTCGCCAATTGTCTCTTCAACTTGTTCATCCTGCTCTCATCCGCAGCAGCGGCGGCGTCCCTGTCATTGGCCTCCTGATCCTGCCAACGCGCCCTCTTCGCCATCAAAATATCCTCATAGTTCTTGAGATACCTCCTCGTATCGTCATCCCACGCCACGCAAAACCGTCTGTACAGCACGAACCTAAGCGCCTCAATCAAGCCCACGCCCCAAACCTCAACCAGGTAAGCCACCACCACCGCTGCCGACCGATCATTCCCTGTCTCGCAACACACCAGCACTTTTCCCTGCTGGGCACCAAGACTCCTCTTGTGTACTGCGACCAAGTGCCTCGCAATCTTCTCGTTCAACTTCGGAAACTCCCTGATAAGCCCTTGCAACCCACCAACCCCCACCGCTTCCACTTGAACCCCAAGTTCCTCAGTAACCTTTTTGGCTGCCGGTCCCAGCGTCGGAACAGGCGGAACCCCTTGCCCGTCTGTCCTCTGTTGTTGATGTTGTTGATGTCCTCCCCCAAGTCCAAGTCCCATAATCCGATCCCTAACCACCACCACCATCGTCACCCCTTCCCCCTTCATAAACTCCCTGTCCCTCACCACGCTCAACGGACCCAAGTAAAGCGAAGGGTCGATAATTTTCTGGGCACTGCGGCGGGCTGTGTACTCCCAGTCTGAAGCCTGGTCAAGCGCTTCCTGTGGACGCAAGCCGTGAGTGATGATTGAAGCGTAATCTGAGTTGAGATCAAACAGGGCGGGGTCGAGGTTGCGCGGGGAAGGGGCGATGAGGACGGAGTTACGGCCTACAGCGCGCGTGGCGGGGATGTCGACTGTGGGAGGGGAAGGCGGGCGGGTGTCGTAGGGGGCGGCGCGGGTTATGGACTCGCGGATGAGAGACCCCACGGAGGGGGTGTGAGGGACGTTTTGCATTTTGGGCGAGGAGGTGTTATGTGGGATTGGGGCTGAGAGGTTAGTCTTGTTGGTGATGAGAGGACGTCCTTTTTGGATCAAGAAATGTGAGCTAGTGGAGGATGTGGGGTGTTGGTTTTTTTTGTTGTCGTTCGTTGAGATATGGTGAGGCCTGGGTCAGTGTTCTGGGTTGGGTTATTGAAAAGGAAGACCTCGGCTCGTGTAGTGACGGGAGGATGTGATTTGCTCGACGGGAAGGAAATTGGTGAGTTGCTGGCCAGGCTCAGAAATTAAGACATGTGGTTGCGACTTCCGATATATGCGAACGGGTTCGAAATTCAGTGGGAAGGAATCTAGGTTGTGTTATCAACTTGTGTTGATATATGCTTGAGCTCAGCTACAAAGATGTAAAAGGTAGGTAGATCATGAAATTGTGAAGCCTGGGAAAAGCACCGCTGTATTTGTACTAATAAGGTGGCATGCGCTAGGCGGTTTTGAGGGCAAACGGTGGGCAAAAGAACAATATGACCGCAGGTGTTGTGAAGGTGCTTCGAATATTCGAGAGGAACGAATAACAGAAAGCACTGTTCATCTCGGTCTAATCACAAGTGTGGTGAAGGGACGGGAGAACCTGGAAAGGCAGTCAAGACGGAGAAAGTCATACATACAAGATGAACCTGCAAGAGGAACCTTGATCAGATCGATGCTTAGCAAAGTATTGTGTGAATTACGCTGACTTTTGTTAACAGACAAAAACGCAGGGGACAATCGAAAATGCAGACGGGACGAAGTTGAGAGGGGAAGCCCCAATTGCATGCAATTGACCGCACTGTAGACCCTGCAGCTTGACCATTCGGCCCAGGCCGTGGGTCCACGCCACAGGCACCCAGGCGAGCCGGGGAACCTTAGCTCCAACCCCTGAGAATAGGACTGAACCTTGAAGGCCGTCTCTAGCATCGCTACCCTGGGCTTAACTGATCATTCTCAAACACGGACCTCTTTCGTTATCATGTTCGTATAAGCAAGGATACAGACGAGATGACAAAAGAGACGTTCCAGCAGTCACCAACAGGAAGACCACGTAGAGGCGTGCCATGTAGAACAATGCACCGAAAGTCACACATCAAAACCGGTGCATTCCAGTTCGCTTTCCTTCTAACTAACAATACATCCACGCAAAATACACTGCACCATTACAAAACATATCGCCAGGCTGCGTGATACTCGTTGCTTTGTGATCCCGTCCGTAGACTCCCAATGGACTTCGTTAGCGGCCTCTTGCCTGCAAGTCCTCATTAAACTATCCTCCGTCTATAAGTGCGCTTTCTTCATGCGTTCAAGCCCTCCGGCTCCAGGCTGCTCTCCTTGGCCAATGGCGACGGGTTCTCCGGCGTCACAGACCTGGATTCCACCTTCGGTCGCGTCTTCGTTGCCGAACCGGGAGGAGCCAGCGTCTTCTTTCTCCTGACCTTCTCCGGCGTGAGGCTCGAGCTTCCCTTTCTCGCCAGCCCGGGCTCGTCATACTCGCCCCTCGGCGACGGTGTCGGTGTCGTGCTGCGCAAAGCACTTCCATTCATGCTTCCCCTCCTCCTGCTGCTACTTCTATTACGCCGAAATTCACTCGACACGGCCGCGGCGCGAGGATGAAGTGCCTTTTCGGACACGGAGCTGCCGTGGTGGTGATGGTGATGGTGAGTCTTCTCACCCACTGCGATCCGTCGCCAGGGAAGCCACCAGAACCAGCCGCCAGTTTGTTTGCGCAGCTTACGATCGCGTTCCTTGAGCTTGGCCCTCAACAGCGCGCGCCGCTCGTTCTCCTTCTCCCAATACTCGCTCCTGTACAGCTCCCAGTTTTCCCTGAACGTGGGGCTAAACGGCTTCGCCAGTAACAGCAGCTTGACGTAATCGCCTCCGGGGCTCAAATCCTCCTCGTGTCCTCCCTTTTCCATATCGTGACCCACGTTCACAACCGGCAATGTCGGGTGTCCATGTCCACTCAACCCCAGCTCCCTGTCCACTTCCTTCAAGATGGCCGGCTCCACATACCGATAGCTCGACGTCGCGTTCGTGAACAGGCCGTACGTCAGAAACCAGCCGATCGTGCCCAGCGCCTCCTTCCACCAGGGTCTCTTCATCAGCACCACCTTGCAGTTGAACCCGCGCAGGCCGCGGTTGCTAACCGTCAGCCAGCGGCGAGGCCAGCGAACACCGCGCTCCCAGATGCCCGTCGCCCAGACCAGCACGCCCGTCATGATGCCCCCCAAGAAAAAGACCTTCTCGCCCGTCTCGACGACCCAGTATACGCTTCCGCCGACGCCACTGCCGTCCTCGCGCGGGGCCAAGAAAAGGGCATACCCAAATCCTGTCGTCCACAAGCCCAGAAGGACGAGAAAGAAGGTGTGGTGGCGGCGGCGAGCGCGCAGGTCCAAGTATTGCGCCCGCAGCGAGGCTTCGAGAATGAGCAGGTTCAGGTAGATCATGGACGGCGACGAGGGCGTGTGGCTGAGCGGGTCGCTGCTGGCGGCGCCATTGTGGCTACCCTTGGTGGGCGTCAAGGGGACATTCGATGAAGCGATTGGGGTGGTGCCGCTAATGGCTCTGTTGAGGCTGTTGAGGTGAGGCAGGTCTTGGGCCATCGGCGCACCCTTGACGATAGAATCGAGTGCGTCCGCCATGGCGGTACCCGTGTGTTCCCTGCTTTTGTGTATATGTGTCCCGGAACTTTCGTCGGTCGGGGGATCGCGAAGGATGCGCGCAGTAGGTGCTCGATGCCCGAGGGAAGGCTTGGTCGTCGGCCCGGCCGCGTAATTGGAGGATTAGGGTATTATTATCGGCAACCGTTTGATTCAACGTGTCACGGCAGCATGTCTGCCTAAAGCGAGGTGTTGGTGGTCGGACTTATTCGATGTAGATTCTATAAAGCGGGAAGGGTTTTGCACAATGTGCGTTCGGGTGTCCGCGGGAAGCCCCTGTCACTGTCACGGATACGTAGGTAGAGAGGTAGGAATGCGCGGACTGGACCGGTGTCAGCCTTGTGCGACTCTTGTGTGATGTTTATTTGGTCTGAAGCGGAAAGCTGGTGATGCCTGTCGGGAATGGGATAAAATGGACCGTCTGGAATCTGTTGAGAAGAAGCTAGAATGGACACGCGCTGACTAGTTGACCGCTACCTTGGATATCCTTTCCTTCTTTCTAGGCGTGTTTTGGAAGGGACCGGACACTGCGTCACCCGTTTTCAAAGGTCTAAGGGTTTGTCTTGACCGCCTCAGACCGCTGCACACACCACTTGTACCCTTGATATTGATATTGAAAAGACGTCTTGTGAGTTAAAATTGTTTATTTGGTTCAGAGTGCAACCGTTCCCGTTCTGAGAAGGCGAACCGCGAGAGTATCTTGATGTTGGGGAGAAGAAGAAATCCAAAGAAAGCAGAAAAAAAAGGAGTCTTCTTCTGCGCCGTTATGTCATTGCTGCAGGTGAACAGGGTACTTGTCAGCTTTGCGACAGAGCATGCCCTGGCGCCAATTCCCAGGTACTCCTTAGGTACCTCGAGAGAAGTGGGGAATGGTCTGTTGTTGGATTGGGGTTTTTGGCTCGCAACCTAAGGTACTGAACCTGACATTCTCACATGCAAGCAATTGCAGCTTCTGAAGAGCACCCCCTTTTCAATGCGAAAAGGCAACCTGTCTTCTCCGCAACGAACAAGTTGAAAACTAAAGGGACCAGTCACAGAGCTGCCCAACCGAAAGCAACACTGCAGACAGGTGTCAACAATCTTTCAGACAAGAGGCCGCAGCTACAATTTTCCATCGAATCACAACCAGTCTCGGAGCCAGAAAAGTTGTTGAGACGTCATCGCCTCAGATCTGGGGAAGGTGGTGCTCAAAACGAGACAATGTGGGCTGGCCTGTGGAGGACCTACACTATCGATCGGGATGTCGGGGAAACGCGCTAAGTCCGAGGCAAAATGCGGGCAAATCGCGGGCACTCGTCCGCATCGGCCGCACCGAGTTTTTGGAAAGGGAAATGGGAACACGAACAATGGTATAAGGTAATAGATGAATCATGGGAAGAATCGAAACTGGGAACAAAGGGCCGCCAATTCCCGTCCCGTCCCCGGCCGGCCGCGATCCCAACGAACTGGGAAGCTGACGACTGATGGAACCTCCGGATCTCTTCAGCATTCGTTGGGGGGCGACAACTCTGCAACAGGCCACTACAGCTTCAACAAAACCTCACATCCATGGATTACCTGGTCAGGTGAGCGGTCTGTTTCGCCCGGGGATCGGTGTTCGTCCAGATCTATAATTGGTGCCAGCAAGATCCATACATATGTTAGTGCTCTGTATATAGTCATGGCCAAAAACACTATCTAAATCGGCTCAGTAGGCCATGCTTGATCATGCCGATTCCCCGATGGTCCATGTAATGCGATAGGCTAGGCGAGGGGACTCGGACGCATTCGCTCGCAACTTTACAAATTGAAATTGAAGCCACTGCCATCGTTGGCGTGAACATACATACAACAATAAATGTGTCAGCATCCTTCCGACTAATAAGGGGGGCATCCGTCCGACGCGTAAACCTCCCTGCTGCCTTGAGGATGCTCAAGACATATCCTACAGCTATCTCACTTCCTAAAAGACTGAAGCTCGCCTCCGCCGTTGGGCGCTTCAACTCGACCAACTCGCCATCCTCTTCTGATCCGACTTATACACAATCTGGCTATCGCCAATATCGACGTCAGCAAAGACCAGCTAGCACCACAACCACCCCTTCTTCGACCATGTCGGCTTCCGACACCACTCTTCCTCCTTCCTCGTCGCGGGCAACGCAGACAAAGGCCGAGAAAGATTCAAAGGCTCGCGGCGCCGGCTCTGCCTTTTTCCCTCTTGGTTACAAGGAAGCCGCACAACAATGGGTTGGTATTCCCTACCACAACTGCCACTTCGTTACTTTCACAACTGCTCAACCGAACATTTTTCACTAATACAACCTTCGCCATAGTGGTCCAGCGTAACCGCTCGCCAAGCAGAGCGCAACGTCCTCTCCTTCATCCCCTTCCTCCGCGAAGCCACCGCCGATAATGCTTCTACAGCCTCTCAACTTTCCGATCTCGCCAACGCCGACCCATTCGGCCACCGCGTATGGCGTCAAACCATGGTCCCTCTTTCCGGCAAAGACCGAGCCCTGAACGAGTTCTCGATCGAGCGAGTCGGCGAGCAAGTCGACGACACCCTCGTCATGCTGCACGGCTACGGCGCCGGCCTCGGCTTCTTCTACAAGAACTACGAGCCGCTCAGCCGCGTTCCCGGCTGGAAGCTCTACTCCCTCGACATGCTCGGCATGGGCAACTCTGCGCGCCCACCGTTCAAGATCCACGCCAAGGACCAACAGGGCAAGATCCGCGAGGCCGAGGCCTGGTTTATTGATGCGTTGGAGGAGTGGCGAAAAGCCCGCAAGATCGAGCGCTTCACGCTCATGGGCCATTCGTTGGGTGGCTACCTGGCCGTTTCGTACGCACTCAAGTACCCCGGCCGCCTGAACAAGCTGATCCTCGCCTCGCCTGCGGGTATCCCGGAGGACCCGTGGGCCGTTAACGCCGCGATGCCGGAGCCTGAAGAGTCCGCGTACGGCAACGAGTTTACGCAGGACCAGGAGAGCATCGTCAACAGGGAGACGCCCGAGGGAGGGGCTAATACGGCTTTCATCCAGGCTGATCCCAAGGATAAGAAAGCTGTCGCCTCATCAGCCGGGAAGCCCAACAACAACAGCAACGGCACCAACACCAAAAAAGACACAGCCCCACCCCGCCGCCCCATCCCCGGCTGGATCTCCTGGCTCTGGGACGCCAATGTTTCCCCCTTCTCCATCGTGCGCATGACCGGCCCTCTCGGTCCCCGCTTCGTCTCGGGCTGGACTTCTCGCCGGTTCAACCACCTCCCTCCCGACGAAAAAGAAGCCCTTCACACATATTCCTACTCGCTTTTCCGCCAAAAGGGTTCAGGCGAATACGTCCTCCCCTACCTCCTCGCCCCGGGTGCGTTTGCTCGGTCCCCCGTAATCAACCGTATCCAAGACGTCGGCCGCCAAATAATCACCCAATCCTCCTCCCCCTCCTCCTCTGCTTCTACCCCAGAACAACCAGCAGCTCCAGTCCGTGAAGCAGGTTTCCCCATCGTCTTCCTCTACGGTGAAAACGACTGGATGGACGTTGCGGGCGGGTACGCGGCAGAAGAGAAAATCAGAAAGAGGGTGGAGCAGGCCCTGACTGACCAGACCCGAACCGAAGAAGAGAGGAAGAGGGAGAACGGCAGTGCCAAGGTGGTGGTGATTAGAAGGGCGGGACATCATTTGTATATCGACAACCCGGACGAGTTTAATGAGGTTGTCAGGAAAGAGTTGGAGGAGACGAAGGAGTGGGGGAGGAGGATGAGGGCGGAAGGGTTGTTGCCACCTACGCCGCTTGAGAATTAGGTTAGATGAAAGAGGCCGAGTGGGTGGTGGTGGTGGTCGTGATGATGGCTTCTCGGTTTGGGCTTGGTTTAGATGGCGTTCTGGGTTCCTCTTCTCTTTTCTTTTTGTCCGTCTCTTTGAATGTATTTATATAGCGGCACTGTGGGATTTGGGATTTGGTCATACGGCAGGTTTGGGAAGGGACATCAAGGTACTATCATGTGTGCACGGATACACTCATGGATTTCAAAATATGTGTGGATCTAGACATTCAAGGAGTTCAAAGGGAGGGATGGTCGCAACGGCGTATGAAGTTGAGGATAGAACTTCCTGTAGATATCTTACATGAGCACACGGGGTACAATGTGGTCATTGAAGTTAATGATTATGAGTCCGATTTGATTATACAAACTCGCGAAATCAATGATGTACGAAATATCTTGATAGTGCATCTATTTGAGCTTCAGAATGGTCTGATACATTTGATTATTGGACCACTCTGAATCTTGAACTCGCGGTCATTTTTTCGTGTCTCCAGTGAAGCAGCTCTTTCCTGGTTTTTTAAACCCCGGAGATATCATTGATAAATAAAACAACGCCAATCAAAGAAACCTTCTCACATCTTGGCTTAGACCAGATACATCCCTCGCCCTATTAAGCTGCCGCAATTCACCGAGAGTTAGAACACCTCCGCCTGGGGCCAACTGACCACCACGACGGCATCCGCGTTGTTCTGCCGCAGCACATATTCTGCCGGTGGTCACGAGCTTGAGACGAAAGATCTCCCTTCCCTTTGAAAATTCCACGACAACTGCCTAGTCAAGTATCAGTCCCTACTCATCGTCCGCAAGTTCCTCCACCTTCGGTGCAACATAGTTTCGCTGTGCTGCCGCTGTAGGTGTAGCAGTAGCAACTTGAGTGTCGGTAGCGGTGGTGACAGCAGTAGCCGGAGCAGGTTGGCCGGTAGTAGCGGCAAACGTAGCATTGGCTTTGGCACTTCCCGCTGGGGTCTTGGACTTGTTCTTCTTCTTCTTCTTGGGATTGGGCTGTTTTGTTGGTCATAACTGTCAGTCAAGCACTCTTTAGGGGGAGGGGTAGATCAGCAACAGCAGAGCAAACTCACATCATGCCAAGCCCAGACAGGCTTGAAGCTTTCCACGACACTGACATCCTCCCACAGGTTCGGGAACAACCAGAAACCTGGCGATAGCACAAAGTAGGTGATGCAGAAGAGGATAACCCGGAAGATAGCCATGGCGAAGAACAGACCCAAGAACATCAGGAAACCCCAACTGAGGTAGTAGACTCCCTGGCGCATCTTGAGAGGCCACAGAGGGTACAGTACCACGGCAAAGATAACGAGCAGTGCAAGCGCTGCGTAGACCTTGCGCATGACCTGGCTGCCCTCCCACAGCCACACGTAGTACATGTCGTCCTGGGCGTCCTGTTGCGGCTCGATCCGTACCGTCCACAGACCCTTGACGCGCTTGCCGCCGCCGTGCGGCTTCTTAGTGGGCGGGTGGTCGTGGCCCTCGTGCGGGTCGATCTTTGTGACGCGCAGAGCGAGCATGGACATGGGCAGCAGCTTGAACGTGTTCTCGAGGGACGCGCGGTCGGTGATCTCGGGGAGGAGGGGGTTCTTCTTGCGAGCCTTCTCGTAGGCGGGAGACTGGAGAGCACGGAGGGCACGTTTGACTGGAGAGATGTCAGGTTAGCAATCGGATACTCGGGGGGTTCGGTGATGCCGTATATGCTCACCTCTAAACATGTCCTTGCGTTCGCCATTAAGGATGACGGTACGGGGCTTGAGTTCCTGGCTGCGGAGGAACTTGGCGAGAGCGATCGCTTCGGGCTTAGGAGGGCCGGGAACAATGGGCCGGGCTTGACCGGCGGGAGGGCCTTGCTGATGCTGATGCTGGTGCTGGTGCTGGTGCTGGTGGCCGTCTTCCGGAGGTGGTGCTCCTCCTCCTTGTTGGTGTTGTTGTTGTTGTTGCTGTTGTTGCATCTGCATTTGTCTCATCATCATCTGCTGATGCTGTCTCTTGAGCTGCTCGACAAACTCGGGAACGGTCATGCCAGCCTTCTCGGCATCAATGGCAAGTTGTCTCTGGATCGCCTGGATTTGCTCGGGCGTGGGCATCTGGCCAGGAGGCGGCATGGGCATTTGCCCTGGGCCCGGTTGAGGAGGACCCTGTTCCATGGTGGACGAGCTCTATCAGTGTTTTGCGGCGATTTCAATCTGTCGTGGCAGAGGCAGGCGACAATCGTGGTGAGTCGAGGTTCAAGCAATTCCTTGCTGCACCGGTTTTTGACGTGTGGTGGTTGATCGAAAGATGCTGTTGCACTAAAACCTAAAAGGATGACGGAACTAGACCTCCATTCAAAGCTGCGATCTGTACTTTACACATCCCGACCGCCAGGCCTATTGCGGCAGCTGTGAGCGCTAGGCCCGCGGCCATGGCCCAATGACATCCATGCCAAGACTGTACAAAGCAGACCTCACGTTTAACCCTGGCTCGGATCTTTGTCTGCTCCTGCAGCACATAATTAGCACGACTACCGGCTATAACCCTGAGTAGCATTGAGCCTCACAGAAACTGAAAGGTGGTGATGTACCAGCCACAACTGGCATCTGATAAGGTGGCTGTTACTTATCCATCGTACGCCCCGGCCTTCTCTCACTCCGTTTCATCACTCCCCTCTCATTAAACTGACGCGCTTCAACGAGGACCAATGATCTCTCTTCTAGGAACAATTCCGCCAAAGTCGGCGTCGGGAAGCTTGTGCAACAATCATTGTTGTCTCATGGGCATCGCAATCTGCTTGCCGTGCTCGGTTCCAGTTGCCTTTCTTTTTGCTTCCAGCACCATTTTCTCTCTGAGGTCACGGTTTCTTCCCAGCGCATCTTCGCACCGCATATTTGTGTCTTTGCACAGCAGTGACATTTACCCCGTCTGTGCTTCGCAATCCGCGCATCTCGGCGCTTAACCCAACAACCGACCTCATATTTACACCATCAAGATCATCATGTCAACATTGGCCACTCTCTGTGCTCCCCACTCCAAATCAAGGTGATAGTTGACGTTAAAGCTTGGATAGCTGGAGGCTTAGAGGCTTGGACAATTTGTTCGCCTCCTCGGCCCCGCCGTTTCCGCAGCACACCAAGAAAGACAAAGACACAAGCCTCTACTTGCACACAGGTCGACGCCGTGGAAGTGGTGTATGACGATAATAACACGAAATGGCTGCCGAGAGAAGCAAGAAAATGAAGCAGAGAAGAGAGCAGACGGAAAATCACTCCGTGGGTTACCTCTGCGGCGTCTTAAATCAATCCAACATTTGCATTCGCTGATGGAGAAACGCCCTACCCGTGTGGTGCCACTAGTCCCTTGCATCTGGACGAGCACCTCTGCTCCTATCATTTTCGTGTCGACACGACGGACACACAATGGACGCCCAAGGGTCTGGGGACTGCCCTTATTTTGAAACACGGCCATTCTAGCGCCGTCACCGGTTCGAGAGGACCGACGGCATCCATGGGTTCGTAATCGCACACGACTTGAGACGGCGTTCACAGCTGTCTATCACGACAACAGGCATGGCAGAGGGCCAGAGCTGTACCCAAAGATCGGATCCTAGCAGATTTACCAAGATCGCGGGAGCCTCAGAAAGACCCCAGTCCACCGCGTCTCTTTGGAGATCACTGCAAGTTAGCCGGCAGCGGGGCTGTTTCGCCTTGTTATATCCCTGTCAGTACCACTTCCAGTGGGTTTGGAGTTCCCTTGAGAAACGCTTCCCTTTTCTAAAAAAAAGAATCTGTTTCACCAACAAGTGTCCTCTAGCTTTCTTCTGCTGCTTATTTTGGCCATGTTTGTTTCGAGGCCTTCGCGAACAAAGAAGAAGACGCCGACAATGTGTCAGTGTCAGAAGGCTTACATACCTAGTAAACGATGGGTCGGATTCAACATGTGGTGATGCCCCCCATCCCGCCGCCAACGCCAAGTCAGCGGCCGGTGCACGCTTTGTTCTCCCTCCAACCCTCTCAGTCTTGCTGCACATGACCAAGTGGAATACATCGTTACCTCTCGGGGAATCCTGTGGCAAATGCCGTCGTCACGAGTAGTGAATGGGATGCGCAGTATCCAAGAAACATCTGAGACACTGTCCTTGGGTGCGGCAGCTTTGGAGGCACGCCACTGGTGGACGAGTCCCCCCTGGTGTGTAGCCAGAAGTAGCGCCGCCATCCGCTACATCATGACGACCCCAGTTCTGTAAGCGCCAATTGGGAACACCCAACAGCCTATCACATCGAGTCTTGAACCGTCAGCGCCTCCCGCACTCCCAAGCCATCAACTGAAGATGGCACGCTGTAATTTTCCTCATCTCAGCCAAGTGGAAGTATTCCGGCTACTATTCTAGCCACGAGCCAGCTCCTCCCAGGATGTCTGGGTGTGTGGGTAGTGATAAGCAAGTGAAGTGAGAGAGTGCAACTGGCAAATGCCAGCAAAGGCACCTCGACCACCACAGTGCATCATGGAGCATTAGTATGCTACGGGATGGACGGGTGGATGATGAGTGGGTGCGGTGATCCATATGTCATCTTCCCCGGGCCACTGCGTGTGCTGGTGCAAGTAAGAGTACTTATACATATGCAGTTGCTGTATGCCACACACTCACTCTCACCCAATTCCGTGATAAAGATGAGATACTCCGCCGTTTGCGCCGGAGCTCTCTTACTATCCCTTTTTCCCCCTTCTGCACCGTTATGCTGCTGCCCTAGTTTGTTGTCTTCTTTCCTTTGTTGACGTTTCTTGGGTTGCTGGTCGCTGGTCGTCGGTCTCTTCATTCACCCTTTCTGATGCTTCAATGGCTTATACAACCTCTCGACATCGTCCCAATCGTTTACTCTGAACGCTTTAACCAACATCCTTCGTTATCATAATCTTCACCCACGCTACTAGATAATAGCAACGAGCACGCTGGGCAGCATGCTTTCAGACACCTGCGCCTCATGGATGCGTTCCATAAACTCATGTTTTGGACGGGGGAATAAGTCCAACTCCAGTATGTCAAGATACCAAAACCATATATCAAACGTTACTGATTTTTACTTGCTTTAGACTCTGAGAAATCCATTGTCATCACCAGGGATCAGCGACCTACATTCAGTCCGCCTCCGTATGCCGAACCGGTATTCTCGAATGAAAGATCATTCGAACCGACACATGAGCGTCAGAGGGGAAGGTCAAGGTCTATCAAAGGCGTTAGGTCTTCACGTGGTGGCTCCGTCTCTAGGTCTAGGGGAAGGTGGTTGTCGAGATCTTCATCTCGCCCACGCCACCGGCCGCACATATCAGCCCCCACGAACTTTCGCCATGTACATTCCGAGTCTTTTCAGTACCCTACTCCTGGAGACCACCCTTCACAACAATGCCTACTACCACAGCCACAGCTACAACAACAGGAGCAGCACCAGCGACCGAAAAGGTCAAGGCCGCCGTCGTTTCACCCCATCGAGTTAAGTATTCGAGCCTCGCCATTACTACCTGACTATGCCGCCGACGAGAATGAGACCACAAGCCGTATCACCCTTCCACCGCCAGCACACATTGCAGAGGACAGCAACATTACGCAATGGGACATTAGCAGTGCAACCATGGGTTGCAATAATGTGGATTATCCAACCTCGTTCCATCTTCCACGTCGTGCAGTTGGACAGGTCCAACAATCGTCGACCAATAGCCAGTTCCCACCAAGAATTCCGACCAAGTCCAGAGCCCGAGCTTATACTGCACCCAGCACCGAGATTATGGTGGAAAGGATAGCAAGTGCGATGCTCGAGAAGGAGAAGTTGCAGGCCGAACTTGATGAGCTTGTTGAGCGGCAAAGTGTGTATAAGGGCAGCATGCCCGGTACTCCTGCCGGCTGTAGTGGTATGATCATCATGATACCCCAATTTCTATCCAGATCACTAACGCAAACTATACAGCGAGTGAGTCCATGCCTGCGTTCGATGTTCCTGCTATCCCAGCTGCTGCTCCATCGTTCGCCGAACGTCTCAGCTACGACGAGCGTAGACCGAAAACTGCGCCCTCAAGCAGTCAACCCCAGGGCCCAGGAGCTTTCTCCGATCTGAAGGCCGCAAGTGCCACGCCGGACAGAACTACACTTGCTCTGGCAGCGGCAGCGTTCAACTCTCACCCACCCATGATCAACTTTGCTCACCACTGGTACGGACAAAATGGATCCGACCACGGAGCGAATGGACACCGGAAATCACCTTCCACCTCGACGGTGAAAGCAAGCGCCAACGAGTCTCGCACCCGAATCTCCAAGCCCGTCCCCCCGCCACAAAGAATCATCACTTCGGAATTCGATCGTGCCATCGCTCCTCCGCTCCCTCTCGTTCTTCGCCCACCCCTCCGAAAGAAGAAATCCTTTTCCCGCGTCTCCAATTGGCTCTTTCCGGGCGGTGGTGCTACAGTGTCCAACTACTCCAACAGCAATCTCCCTGACGCATATGACAGCTACAGAAAACGACAGGACAGCATAAGCAAAGATTCGATCACCAACGTTCCGAAGCCGATCAAGCAAAACGAAGGGTATTATCAGTGCTTCACCCCGTCGCAGGGCAACCAGCAACAGCAACGACAGCAGGGTGCGAGCATGGATTACATGAATAACAACACCTACAGCGACACAGCCTCCACATGCTCCCCCTCCTCATGGCGATCCGAAGAAGAAGAAGTGCCCACCACCACTTGGTCGCTAGGCAGCAGTCCAGTGCGCCAGACGCCCGGACAAACGCCCAAGCAGCAGACTCCGGTGCTGAGTGCTGATGAGGCTAATTTCGCCGTTTCTGCTGCTTTTGGTGCACAATCTACTACTACTGCACCCAAAATCGAAGTTCAAGGGGGAGGGGAAAGAGCAGTTAATGGCAGCAGTTCGAAGGGTGCAGGTGCAGAAGCTGGTGAAGGTGAAAGAACAGGAGATACCGGAACATGTGTGACGGTTACGGGACTGAAGATACCCGAGCACAGGAATGGACACCGGCCGCAGAGCGTGGGTGTCGCGTTTTGAGAGTGCGAATAACGAACGAAACGAACCGCTAAACCCAATCCTCAGTCTTACTGGTATTTCTTTTGGTCAATTTAGGGAGGACATCATCAAATTATCATTTTAACGCTCGGCGGTCCACTGGGCATGGTTAGTCAACTGTTGTACCATCTTGATGATGCGATATCAACCAGTTGACTGGTAACGATGGGTTTTATCCTCCTTTGGAGATGAGGTGGTACTCTGCTTAATTCATTACTTAACCTTTGGCGCAGAGGAAAGGAGCATGATCCGTTCAATCGGATCTGACACATGGGTGACGATTGCGTACTTTTCGCTATCCATGACCGGACGGACGGATGAATCGGCAATGATCGGAATGAAAGTGGACTTATGCAACGGAGATTGCTGGGAAGGCAAGGGGGAAAGTCATTCTAGTCGATGGGCATTGGATTTGGACGGGACGGGTTCGGCCGGATATAGTGTTTACGTCTGGGTTTCATCTCCTGCAGCCCGGCATATACAAAACGGAAGTGAGAAGGAGTTTTGGTGAGGCCGAGCTCGGAAGGAGAGGTGTTGGTAATAACAACACACAGCCAACATTGTGACAGCATAGAAGGGGCGGGGCTCCTTATCTCCGGGCTCGTCACTCTGGGCAGTGTTAATCGATTTGAAAGAAATGGATGGTAGGGTGGGCGAAACAATGGTAAGGGATGCTAAAATCATGGTTACCAAGGGGATAATACCATGGAAGGCGGGCGGGTGACTAGGGAAACAGGGTTTGGACGGAAACAGGGAATTGGAGGTAAACGGCCCCTTTTTGTCCATTGCATTTTATGATACCAGACCGACCGACGCTCAGTAAATATCTATACAAAACCAAAACACACATCCTTATATAATGTAAATAATGCCAGTGTTTCACTAAAACTTCAGTCATGATCGTGAATTCTAGCTAACATCCACTAAATAACTTTATGTCAACATGACAATATGTTTTGCAAAAGAGGCGTGTCGCCGACCAACCTAAAATGCATATCGAGACACGGCGGCAGACCTACATGACTGTGTCTACGTGCATCATTCAATGCCGAGAATCGAACTCGAAGTCGGACAGGGTGGGAGATGCAGAGCTGGGACGGCACTACTAACTATGCTATCCGACCAGAGTCGAACAGGTCGTTGGTTGGGGGGGTGTTGGAAGCAAGTTATGGAATAGGAGCTTATGTGCCTCTGGGCGTTGCTTGGGGGATTGAGTTCCGAATTGGAAGGAAGGAACGGGTAGGCGGGCTTTGGGGGATGGAATGGGATGGAAGAAGCGGCTGACGGGGGGAGGAAGGCAGTGGAGTTTAGAAGTAGCCTTTCCACGAAAGGATGATCTTGACTTTGACTTGAAAGTAGAAGATATGCCATTAATGTCGTTGAGTATTGTAGATTGATGGCACAATTATCCGTCGTAAAAGGGCTATACCACGAGTGTTTCCATATCAACTTCCATGTCCACCTCATACAAGCATCATTACCTCCTGTCCACCAGAAAATGGGGCCCCATACATGTTCATACTTGACCAGATGACCAACCCAAAAGATGAGGACCGCAATGTGTAAAAAGATTTGACTGCCCAAATACCCTTCCACCATGTTTCTCAACGGCCAGACTCCCCTAACACATGTTCTCATAGCCCAGCCATGCGGCTCCACGAAAAATTGAAACTACAGCCTTCATTCTCTCTGTGTGGATGCTTTTTCGTGGTTCACAAGAAGGTGGATGGTCGGATCTGGGCAAATCAGCTGCGGTTTATCCCTACTCGCAGCAGAAGACGACGTATACGCATCAGGCATGTTGGCCCACACGGTAGCCTTGGCTGTGTAATACCGCGAGAAGCAATTGTTGAGAAGGTCGTCCACTCCTTGACCGACTTCGACAATGCCCGTATCGAGGACTTCCTGTTTACAACACGCCGGTTGATTAGTATCTAGCAACATAACGGATCTCAAGTGACATAAAACTAGACTAGATGGAAGAAACGAACCTTAAGATGATCCGCCACCTGCTCAAACTCGACCTTGTTCAGCCTCAATCGATCCGGCAGCCCACTGTTATGCATGAGCGCCAACAGCCCAGCGACAGTGGTGTTTACAGCCGCCAGGATCGTGATTGGCGTCCCTGTGCCGACACCTTCGCTGCCTCCCCATGCGCCCAGAGCCGTCAGGACCGCTCCTAGCACAATCTGCAGGATCATCAACACCCAGCGCATGATGCTGAAGATGTGGTACGAGTACAGGTACCGGGTCCGTTGGTAAACGACATCCCTGTAAAGCCCCTCGGGCATACCCCGGGGCGGCCAGTACCAGCAGGTGGGATGGACAACGTTGTGTGACTCAGAAGAAGGGTCCGCGATACCGCCGATGCTGCGAGCGATACGGGCCCATTCCAATGGCGTCAAGAAACGGAGCTTGGGATAACTTGAGGTACGGAAGGGGTTGGAGACGGGGCGAGGAGAGCTTGACGTGAAGGGTTGCTGGTCGTTCTTGTTGGCGACAAAGGTACTGGTGTTTGCCGTGTTGTTCATGTGAGGAACAGTGGAGGCTGAAAATGGACGGCTGGAAGGTCGATTCGGGTTCGATGGAACACGATTGCCATGGTTGGTATTTGCACCGGCATTGGTGGTCGGGATGGGAATGCTGGACGGCCGGTCGGACTTGTATATGATGCTCTCAACACCAAAGGCTTCGGACTCGGGGGACTGGGGCGGAATCTGGGGGATATTGAAGTCACGATTTTTATGCTTGGGGCTGGCCATTGTGGCAGTTCTTCTGGCAGGAAAAGATTGGTGATAACCTGTTTGGGCGATTTGGCAAAATGGAGTGTCTGATACTCCGACTCCAAGACACCAAAAAGGGCACACCAACAAGAACGATGGATCACGAACTTAAACAGCCTGCAGTGTGTTGAACATCAAGTAAGGGGAGAGAAATGGACGAATTTGTCTCATGACTCCAAAGCATTGATCACAGGAAATGTCTTACTCGGAGAATGGTCTGAGGAGGGAAGGAGCACCCCATCTTGGGCAAGCTGCAACCACGACACGGAAGGAACGGAGGAGAGAGCACTGAAAGGGAAGTGGAATCAATGCAGATGAAAATGAGAGCACTTTGCTCTTACAAAACTGCAAAATGGTAGAAATGACAAGTACCGATGAAATCTGATTTTTTCAACAGTGTCTCTTGGTCCCACGAATGCTCATGAGACGCAGCTTGAAGCTATTCACAAGATCCATGTCTCTTGGCTTGTTTACTTTTGGAAGAAAAAGGAACGAGGAGAAAAGGGGGAGGGGCCTTGAACAGCAGGGGTACGTTGTACCTTGTACTCTCACCGCCCGAGAGTAGAACTTAACCCTTGGCAGGAGTGGGTCCATAGTATTTTCTGCCATTCACTGTTCTCCACAAAAATGTTGTCTCGCGGAGTGATCAACAAGGGTCGTGACTACCTTCTGATTCTCTTTGCTCTGAACTCGAAGACCAATTTGCGCCTCGGCTGATCAGGTCGTCAACACGCGCCTGCGCCCTTCTATATGCGCGCCCTTTTTGCCGCCACATCTTTCCGGCGCATATTCACCCGCTTGATCAGACCAGCCCACCAAAAGGTCCTTCCCCTCACTAACTTCCGCGCAATGGCTTCCGAAGCCAAGGACATCACGGCGCCGCCCGCCGACAAGCAGGTCATCGCCCACGAGGGCAAGCGCTACGTCACAGTCAAAGAAGGCCTCGCACACATTCTCGTCCCGGAACCGTCCGAAGAAGACAAGGAGAACCTCAGGCCCGACCAGGCTGTCCGACAGGTCTTCTACAACCCCATCCAGCAGTACAATAGAGACTTGACCGTCCTTGCCATCAAGGCCTACGGCAAGGAAGCGGTCCAGCAGAAGCAAGCCAGCCACTCCAAGCTTGAGAAGATCATCGAGAAGAAAAGAAAGCGACAGGCACAGAAGCAGGACCAGCAACCGAACAAGGCCCAAAAGGGTGCAGACGGCGAGAAGGCGACCACCGAACCCGCGACTGAGGCTACGTCGGCCGAAACAGTGCAGCAAAATGGAGAAGAGGCTAAGGACGCCACAGAACAAGAGACCGACGTCCCCGTCGAGCAGGGCGACAAACAGGCTACGAATGGTGAAGCCAAAAAGGGAAAGCAGCCACCATTTACCGTCCTCGATGCGCTATCAGCCAGTGGCCTTCGTGCCCTGAGGTATGCCCACGAGATCCCGTTCCTCACCTCAGTAACGGCGAACGATCTCCTCGCGACCGCTGTCGAATCGATCAAGCTCAATGTGAAGCACAACCGCCTCGAAGACAAGGTCAACGTTTGCCACGACGATGCGTTGGCCCACATGTACACCCTGATTGCGAAAGAGCTTCGCTCCAAGGATCCCAAGGGCAAGCCCACCATTAGCGAAAAGTACGATGTTGTCGATCTCGATCCCTACGGCACCGCTGCTCCCTTCTTGGATGCTGCCGTTCAGTCTGTCCGCGATGATGGCGGTTTGCTCTGCGTTACCTGCACTGATTCCGGTGTGTGGGCCTCCAATGGATACCCAGAGAAGTGCTACTCCTTGTACGGCGGTGTCCCTGTCAAGGCATGGTTCTCTCATGAAGTCGGTATTAGACTCATTCTCTACTCGATTCAAACGGCAGCTGCGAAATACGGTCTCACCATCGAGCCACTTCTGTCCCTTTCCATCGATTTCTACATTCGAGTCTTCGTCCGCGTCAAGAAATCCCCTGCTGCTGTCAAGTTCCAGGGCGGTAAGAACATGATGGTTTACAACTGCGATAGCGGCTGCGGAGCTTGGTCAACACAGCTCCTGATGAGAAACAAGGCCTCTCCGAACAAGAAGGGCTCCGGTGTCTTCTACAAGCACACTTTTGCCCAAGGACCTTCGGTTGATAAGGGCTGTGAGCACTGCGGTTCCACAATGCACATGGCTGGTCCGATGTACGGTGGCCGCATTCACTCGCCCGATTTCATCAAGCGCGTCCTCGGCGAACTCGATGAGGCGCCCACAGATGTTTACGGAACGACCCCAAGGATAAGGGGCATGCTGCAGACGGCACTTGAAGAAATTCTGTTGACCCCCGAGGAACAAGAGGCGGAGAAAGCCAAGGAGGAGGCAATCCAGGCCGGCAAGAAGCCAGACCCTGCCTTCAAGGAGGCTGAGCTCGCGGCTATTGATCCCTATCCATTTTACTTCCACCCCGCTACCATATCCGGCATCCTCAAATGCTCCTGCCCACCAGAGGCACCGCTTAAGGGCGCGCTGCGCGGTCTCGGGTACCGGGTTACAAGGAGTCATTGCAAGCCGGGTAGCATGAAGACAGATGCACCATGGTCTATCATTTGGCATGTATTCAGGGAGTGGATCCGTCAGAAGGCACCCGTGAAGGAGGACAACATCAAGCCAGGTACGCCTGGATACAGGCTGCTACGTCTCGGTGAGAAGAAGAAGAAGGAGGAGCAAGCGGAGCAGGCAGATGGTGCCGAGGCTCCAAAGGAGCAGCAGAGCGAACAAGCGGAGGGAGAGAAGATGCCCGAGGTGGTATTTGATGAGCAGCTTGGTCGGGACGACAAGACTGTCAAGTTGGTCCGGTATCAGGCAAACCCAAGAGAAAACTGGGGTCCTCTGAACAGGGCAGTAGGAAAAGTGCCTTCTCACCATCGCAAGGATTGATGAGGTTTAGATACGAGCATCCGTGTTGTTAGGTTTCAATCAGGAGCGAGCTCGCTTTTCCAGATGGTGCGAAAAGGATGCTGGAGTCCGAGGATAAAGTGATCCGACAGCCAGTAAGAAGCTTGGTCCGATAGGCAGCAATTGACTCATGATGAGGTGCAATCCTAAAAAGGATTCAAAGTCCGAACCTAGGCTCAGAGAGCTAGGCTTGGTTTGTCTTTTGGTACCCGATCTATTGTGCGATTGACTACGATCACCGCGCCGTGTTATAGGGTCGGGGATTGATGCCGAGTAGGTGGCCCACTCGGTTCGGTCGGCGCCGACCTGCCCGCCGATAGCAATGGGGGGTTGGAGATGACGCAATTCGGCGGCTGGCTTTGTATATAGCAGATAGCAAGTAATATCATAAAATGAATCTGGTGTAACTCCATATACACACTTGGTAGCGAGCAATGACTACGCATCTCTACTGCATTCCAGTTTCCCTTCCAGGTTCGGTCAATAAGGCGGCCGCTGATCCGAACATCTACATCTGGAGCTATCATCGTCTGACACCGCAACAGGAGGAAGTCAAGAATATTAATTCATTCTAAACGTCAATTGCTGATCGAAAGCTAACATCCTTCCGTCTGCTTTGTTCTTCTTGCCTTCCCTTGCTCGATCGAGATGCCGTCCTGGCTCAAGAAGATTGTCTCACTCGGTCGTCGACCAAAGGGCTCCACCTCTGTCACTAAACAAGATCAGAGCAATAGTCGATCTGATTTCAAATCAGCTGCTCCTTCAGAGCGGCCCTATTCGAACGGACAAAAGTCAACGCCCGAAAGTCAACCGGATGAGAGGGTTGGTGAAAGGAAGAGGACACAACCGCAGGAAAAATTACCCCGCAACACCACCAAGAATAGTGAGGAGCAGCCCCGCGATAGCGTGAATATGACCGCCGCCGCTACTACCGCCGTGTCGCACACTCAAAAGACATCTACATCAGTATCAGACCACATACATCTCAGTCAACGGACCGGAGACCTCATCCAAACATCTGCTCACAATGGCGTCCGTGATATCGAGAACTCGGGAGGCGCCTTAAACCCCAACCAAATCGTCTTCGTCCTCAAAAGCGGCAATGGCCGTTATCGCATTTACTCGCTCATCGAAGAGGAGCCATCTTCTGCCGTCGCCGCCACCGCCAAGTCTTCCGACGAGAGCGCTTCCGAGGACGGAGAGAAGATCAAGAAGGCCAAGGTCATCAATGGAAAGGCCGGTGATGATCATGAGAAGACGAAGAAACTATCGCCTTTCAAACTATCCGTCACATATGCGCAAAGCCTGCCAGAAGAATTGACGCGGGAGTTCCTGGTTGAGAAGGCGCCGGAGCACTTGGCTGGGGTTGACGAGTTGCATGTGATTGTCTCGACGCGGTCGGGGTTGGGGCTGGCGGCGGGCTTCTATGAGGGCGTCTTGAAGCCGCTTTTGGAGGAGGGATTTGGGTTTGAGGCTGTTGGCGATGTGGTTGAGGGTGATGATGACGACAATGAAGGGCGAAAAGCCAGGTCAGGCAAAACATATCAAATTACCTTCACCAAAAGCGCAGACACAGTCAAGGATTTTGCTCGGGGACTAGTGTCTCCATCATCTTCTTTTGCTCAAGGACGACAACAGCGACAACCAAGCAGGACCATCATTCTCCTGTCCGGCGACGGCGGCATCATTAACCTGCTCAACGGTCTCGACCATCATCCGCTCGATGTATCTTCATCGCCATCACCATCTTCAACCCCAACCCTCGCCATCCTCCCCCTAGGCACCGGCAACGCCCTCTTTCACTCCCTCCACAAGCCTCTCTACAAGCCCCAGGGCACCGATGGCCCATCACCACTAGTCCTCGGCCTCCGCACCCTCTTTAAGCGCGGCGTCTCAGCTCCGCTCCCGACTTTCCGAGCCGAATTTTCTCCCGGAGCCAAGTTAATCTCCGGTCAACCGGAAGTACTTCCCGATAGTAACGATTCACCAAAAGATTACCTCTTATTCGACGTTACGAGCACGAGCTCTGGTACTACTCCAATTAGGAAACGGCCGGAAATCACCCACCTCCTAGGCGCCATCGTCTTCTCCTACGGCTTCCACGCCTCCCTAGTGTACGAGTCCGACACGCCTGCTTACCGCGTGCACGGGGACAAGCGGTTCGGTATGGCGGCTGGGGAGTTATTGAAGTTGTCGCATTTATATGATGCAGAGGTTTTTATTCGTCGGTCTTCCTCGTCTTCTTCTTCTTCTGAACGAAGAGAAGAAATCATCACTCTTCTTCCCAAAGATTCCCACTCAACTTACATCCTTCTGACCCTCGTCTCTAACCTCGAAAAGACCTTTTGTATCTCGCCGGCTTCGAGGCCGTTGGATGGACAGTTGCGGTTGGTACATTTTGGGTTCGGTGAAGAAGGCGTAGGTGGAGCTGAAGCGGAGGCTGAAAACAGAGGAAAACAAACCATGGATATCATGATGGCTGCGTATCGTGATGGCGCGCACATCAACGGCCCAGAAGAAAAGTTCAAGGACGTGGTAGGTTACGAAGAAGTAGAAGAAATCAAAGTGGTGATTAATGAAACAGATGAGAGATGGAGAAAGGTCTGTGTGGATGGGACTATTGTGGAGGTTGAGAAGGGCGGGTGGGTTACAGTAAAAAGAGAGGGGGGGATTGGGAGTGGCCAAGGGGAGAAGGGGAGGGAGAGGCTGAGGGTTTTGGTTGATAAGGGGGTAGTGGTTGGGAGGTGGTGAGTGGTGGCTATCGGGAATGATGAGGATCAGGACATAGATGATGGGATCTTGACACAGCCATAGAATAGACACGTTTCCTAGCGAATGAATTATCTGAAGCCTACGTGTATCATGACTGTCCTACACGCAGCCTTTGGAGCTAGAAGTGATGAATGACAAGTGAGTGAGTAGAGACATCAAACGGCAAGTGTATTTCGCAACAACAACAAC